CTGGTGTTATCAGCAAGAATAAAACACACATCTTAAATATTATTGGAAGTGTAGAATTTGTTTTATGTTTTATTATATCTGCATCAAACAGAACTTGATTCATTCTCCAACATTTCAGAAATGAACCACTGGGTTCAAATAAGATAACAAACTAAGTGAAACATTTCATTTGGTGTTATTTCTGACACCCTTGAACTGTGGCATAAATATTTGACTCTAGAGCTGCTCAGAGACATTAAACACTCCTATATGAACCCATTATGGATTTTATTATTACATTATGTGTCCTGTAGGTTTTCAGTATTTTTTCAGATTTGGTGAGTTTTTGCAAAGCGTGTTTTTCTCAGCCTGAGGCGTGGCTGTTGAATGAGGAAATAGATATTTTTACTTTGTTAAATCTTAAATGTTTAAAATGTTTTGTCCTAACCTGTTGTGAATGGAGAGCATTTCAGAGATGGCAGGTTGGGTCAATTACATTTTTGATAAAAAAATAAGATAAAATAAATAAATAAGCAATATCTGACATCTTCTATTTATCAATGAAAACAAATCAATATGAAATAATCGTGATACATCGGGATATCGAATTGATTTGAATCGTTGACCCAATAACCATAATTGAATCAAATCGGGAGACAAGTGAAGATTCACACCTCTACTAATTATGTCTGAGAAATTGTAACTTGGCTCTTTAGAGACAAGTAACTTTCACCACATAATGATGCAGATTAGATGACTATCAGTATATTTGTGTAATTATTCAAATGGAAAGGTAACTGTCTGAATGTAAAGTCTGATCACTACAAACTGGGCCTATGTGTTGCCCCTTAACCCTCCCACTGTCCTAATGGGTGACCCCACGAGGAAAGTTGACCATTGAGCAGGGTTGATGGTTTATCCCTTGGGTCCATGTGGCAGGGGTGAGGAGTGAGCACCACCTTACCCCTGCCACATGGACCTTAAGGGATAAACCATCAACCCTGCTCAATGGTCAACTTTTCCTGTGAGGTCACCCATTAGGACAGTGGGAGGGCTAGATGTGTTAGTAAGCAGACATGCAGCAGCGTTTTTAACCAAATGCAACCCGGTAAGATTGTTTTGTGGTAAACCGGTATATAAGCAGAAACTGAAGGAACCATGGCTTTTCTAGGTTACAACAGCTTAGAAATGGTTTTACTTTAGCCAAAGGCTGGAGTTGGAAGAAACTTGTCTTGACAGCCAAATCAATCTGCTTGTCGGATTTCATGCCACTATCAAATATGACAACCAAATTTGTCACTTGATTTTTAAAACTTGGGTCTAAAAATCCAAAATCTGACATTGTGACATTTTTAGAAAAAAAATACACCTGGTTTTGTCATTATTGAGGTGCAATAAATGGTCTGATCACCACAGCTGGATGTCATCTAGACAGTTTAACAGAGATGATATTGTCTTACCAGCACTGGACTTTACTGACAAATAGGGAGTCATCAATGTAATAATGGAAAGATAGTTTGTCTTTTGATGAATGTACCCAGTGACATGAAAAGCCAGTTCACCATAGTGTACGGCAACAGTAAGTTACAGTAATTTTTATTTTTATTTTTCCCCGTGTCCTGTCTGGCTGTGAAGCAAACAGAATAAATGTCTGAATGCTGGTGACAAACCTTACAGATTTACACTCAGGTGGAGCATCAAAGCTTCTGCTTTAATGTCATGCCTGCTACTTAAAACTTCATTGCTATTGTTTTTTGGATGTTTCTTAATTGTGACCAGACATGGAGACAGAGGTGAAAGAGAAAGGAGGGGGGGGGGGGGGGGTCCACAAAAATATACAATCAATGATCAACTAAAGTCTGCTTCTAGACCTGCAGAAAGAGAAAAACAAACAAAAGAAGGGGACACACAACAATACAACAAGAGCAAGCCATCACTGCGTGAACCTGATGATGAAATATAAAATCAACATTGTTTTACTGAACAATCACACAATAATAAATCACAGTGCATTAAGTGCCAACCACAGCCTTGAGACATGTGTTGAAAATGCCCAACTCCATACTTATGAGAGCACCATGTGAGCACCTGTGTGTGTACACGCGCTTGTATATGTAAGGTTTCTCTATAAGAGCGTCTAATAGAGAGTGTGAGAGGCCACAGATCTGCCCCCAAAGATGCGTAGAAGACAGAGGGAGCTCCAAGTTACAGTAGTTTTGAACAGACAGCAAAACTGGCGACTGGGTTTGTTTTTCTACCTCTACTAGTTCAAACCCAGTTCACTTGTGGGAAGATTTAGCGCACGTAGGTGGTGCTCATTAGAGCAATATTTACAAAAGTTGTATTCGCTTGCTTACAAACATTATTGCACATTCACCTTGGTGCTGTTCACCGATGTAAACAAGTTGCTGACTTAAAAAAGTTTGGATCCCTACCCATTATTGTCGCTGGTTGGGTCACCAGGTTCAGCTGCTAAACTTCTGAGTCTCCCTGGTAAGGTCTTTTCAGGGGTTCTGGAGAGGAGGATTCGGCAGATTATCAAACCTCGGATTGAGGAGGAAAAATTTGGTTTTCATCCTGGCCGTGGAACACTGGACATGCGTGGCATTAAGATGTGCGTGGCAGTGCGACCAACCAATCTACACGTGTTTTGCAGATTTGGACAAGGCATTTGACCGCGTCCCTCGGGGGCCCTTTTGGGGTACTTCAAGAGTATGGGGTACCAGGCCCTCTGATGTGGTCTGTTAGGTCCCTATATGACCGGTGCCAGAGCTTGGTTTGCATTACTGGCAGTAAGTCAGGGTTGGCTTCCGGAAAGATTTGGACTTCGCCAAGGCTGCTCTTTGTCACGATTCTGTTCATAACTTTTATGGACAGGATTTTTGGGCGCAGCCAAGGTGTTGAGGGGATCTGTTTTGGTGGCCCAAGGATTGAGTCTCTGCTCTTTGCAGATGATATAGTCCTGCTGGCTTCATCAGACAGTGATCTCAGGCTTTTGCTAGAGCGGTTTGCAGCCGAGTGTGAAGCAACTGGGATGAGAATCAGCTCCTCTAAATCAGAGACCGTGGTCTTGAGTCTGAAGAGGGTAGAATGCCTTCTCTTGGTCAGTGATGAGGTCATGCCCCAAGTGGAGGAGTTTAGGTATCTCGGGTTCTTGTTCACAAGTGAGGGAAAGCTGGAGCACAAGATCGACAGGCGGGTTGGTGCTGCGTCTGCAGTAATGCGGGCGTTGTACCAACCTGCCGTGGTGAAGAGAGAGATGAGCCAGAAGGCAAAGCTCTCAATTTACTGGTCGATCTATGTTCCAGCCCTCACCGATGACGAGCTTTGGGCAGTGACCGAAAGAATGAAGATCGCAGATACAAGTGGCTGAAATTAGTTTTCTCAGTTCACAGGGTGTCTGTGCTCTCCCTTAGAGATAGGGTGAGAAGCTCAGTCATCCGGTAGGGGCTCGGAGTAGACCCGCTGCTCCTCCACATCGAGAGGAGCCAGTTGAGGTGGCTCAGGCATCTAGTTAGGATGACTCCCTGGTGAGGTATTCCAGGCACATCTTCTTTGGTCTTCCAATAGGAAAAGAACTAAAAACGTCAAGTTTCATCATTTCTTCAGTTCACCATATATTTCTGAAAACTACGCAACACTAAATAAGTTGTTATCTTTATTTAAGGATGCTAATTCTTTTTGTGACTCTGGCTGTAATTTTCCTGCTGACAGAATGTGACAATAGCTCATTAAAGTTTGAATTATGGAAGAGAAAATTCCACGGAGGAAGTGACGTTTTGCCTGAATCAACCATAGAATGAGTGAGTGGTTTAGGCTCTTCTAACAGTTTGTGGCCTGTTGTTGGTCACAGACAGATGAGCTTCCTGCCACATTAAAGCTCAGACTCAATCAGCATGTGACTACAGCTGGTGTTATATTGAAGCAGTTTGAAACAAGCAGGGCCATTGTTCTGTCTCTGCCATCTGTGAACACTTTAGTGCCAACAGCTTGGTTCGCGTCTCCTCATTCCTGCAGACGGACCTGGACGCTGTTCTCAGGACAGATGGACACACACATTTTATGTTATGTCTAAATGTTTTATTATTTATGGGAGAGGGCCGAGCGGATCAAAGTGAGACAAAGGGTTTAACGCAGTAGCACAAGTGAATAAAGTCCCACATATATCAGTGCGCTGACAATATAAATCAAGCTGCCTTGGGTGAATTATATCCTCTGGTCATCCTTGTTTCCTCCTGCAGATTTGTGTTGTTTCTTCTTTCTATCGGCGCCCCCCTGGCTTGCTGTTCTCCTGTCAACATCACATAAATGAAGCAGGATGTTTTATCCTGCTTGTTCTGCTTCTAGCTGAGACATGTGAGACGGCTCGCCTCAGACGACCATCTGAAGTGAGCTGGTGTATGTCTGTGTAGGCGCGCGTACTAGTAGGGATTACTGACTAACAGCAGGATTTGTTATGGTTAATGAAAAAAGCCACAGCTATCTGCATCTGGATCCAGCCGTTTCTGTTTACTCAGACCATGGCAATTAAAAGCCAGCAACAGAGTAAGGTTTGTTTCCCCGCTGACCTTGTTTCTCCACTTCAAAAAGAATTTGAATAAGAGCAAGACAAGAAAGTTAAAGTTTGTTTTGTTTGGTTCTTGGGAAATCTGATCTGCAGGCAGAAAAGAGACTGACATTTAAAGATGATGAGATTCTGATACAAAATTAAAATGAAAAGATCTAATCTGCAAGATTTCTTTGAAATATGAGTTTCTCTTTTCCAGTTTACATTCCTTTCCTTGAGTGGTTTGTTTAAATAGAGAAATTAGCTGTTTAATAAGTGAGGTCGAGTTGCATTAATCACCGGGTCCATATATAGATCTTGTAAATAAACATCAACACTTCATTTTTTGCATTAAAAACTTACAAAAATAAGAAATTGAGAGTCTCAGTTTTGTATTTTTTGTGAGTTGAACTAAAATAGTTCAGTTATGAATCACAGTGCTCTGATTCGTCTCATGGTCTTTGTGTTTTTAAAGAGAGGTGAACTTTAAGAACTACACGCTGCTGCAGCTGGACGAGGAGTTTTCTCGGGGACGGGGTCTAGACGTCGGGGCACGGGCCTGGAAGGGAGGCAATGTGCTGCTTTTCTTCTGCGACGTGGACATCTACTTCACCACCGAGTTCCTCAACACCTGCAGGCTCAACACACAGCCTGGTGGGACGCCGCACACACAAATACACAGAAAAATAATACTTTCATTCGAATAGATGGTTTTCCCCAGAATCTTTCATGCTGAGTGGGAAAGCCTCTCCCAGTTGAACAAGTTTGAAATGATATCACCTGTGTGATAGGAACTAGATCTTTGGGAATAGCTGCATATTTTTGCATCTTCTGCCAGGATGTTGTGGCTGAAAAGCAATTTTAATTGTATGAAGAAATGATCCTTTAATTTAACACTTATAAACTTGTCCTTGAACACACCATAAGCTGTGAATTGCATAATGGTAGCATTGCAGTGTGCTGAAATTCAATGTTGGTGTCAACTTTTTTTCGGTTTTCTTTGTTCCCTGGCTGGAACTTATAAATTTCACATGTATTTCTTACATGTTCTCGCTTAGTTGCCATTGTTACGCATTTAATTGTTACGCGTTATTCTGTAAGAATATTTGAGTTTATCAGGCTGTTTAAATCAAAAACAAGCATTTTTTGCTGCCTGAACGTCACCGACTAGCTTTGGCTAGACAAGGCCAGAATGTGTTCTAAACCAATTTGATGCAGGATTTATTTTTATAAATCAGAGTAAGTGAAAAGTGGAGAACTTTGCCTAAAAGGTTTACAGCTAACCAAATAATTTTTAATAACAAAAGCTGAAAATTTAAAAAATAAAAAAAGGATATCCAAAAAACAAATAAAGATTTTTCAACTTTTATTTCACTTTGTGTTACAATAAGTTTCCTGTGTTCTAGGATGGTTTCTACTGTTCCATCTGAGGGAGATAACTGTTCCTACATAAAGGGTTTTGTATCACAAATACCTGTCTAGTGGGGTTTCTTTATGCCACCATGTAATTTTCTCCTATTGCGTGCACTCTCAAGAGAATCTCAGAAAACCAAGAGGAGCTCAGAATAGAACCACCTCACGTTGAGAGGAGTGAGCCAATATGGTTTAGGTTCTCCATGAATCTCCCTACGAAAATATCACAACAATTTATTGCATCAATGTTTTCTTAAATTCCTAAACCTCATTCAAATGTTAACAGAATAAGCCAAACTAAATTTACAAGTGTCATTTGATTAAAAACCATATGTTGAAAGTGATTTAGTCCACCTGCAGGTTCTTATTAAACCATCAGTACATTGTCTGATGCTGCTGTATGTGTCTGCAGGTAAAAAGGTGTTCTACCCTGTGTTATTTAGCCAGTACAACCCCACATTGATCTATGGAAGTCCTGAGCACATCCCACCTGTGGAGCAACAACTGGTAACACAACAATCCAATCTGCCTCTTTCCTTCTCTCATTTTTCAGACGCCGCATGACACAAAAATAGAGAAATATCAAACAGTTCCAGCTGCTATAGGCATTCAGGTGTGTGTGTGTGTGTGTGTGTGTGTGTGTGTGTGTGTGTGTGTGTGTGTGTGTGTGTGTGTGTGTGTGTGTGTGTGTGTGTGTGTGTGTGTGTGTGTGTGTGTGTGTGTGTGTGTGTGTGTGTTCTCTACCTCTCTCATCAGGTGATCAAAAAGGACACAGGATTCTGGAGGGACTTTGGTTTCGGGATGACCTGCCAGTACAGGTCTGACTTCATTAACATAGGTAATACAGAACAACAGGATATGCAGAGCAGCGCTACCAGTCACGTCTCAGCAGTTACTTCTGAGAGTTAATTATCATTGTAGAGGTGTTAGAACAGAGGGAAATACACACTGCTATGCTAATGGTGCTATAACTTAATGGTCATGAAAAACTGCAGAGCACAAATGGCTCGGGATCACATTAGTTTTCCAACGGTAGGAGATTTTATTACTTTGCTGTACATAAAGGGGCCTTGATCAGCAGCAGAGTACACGCGTCTCCTCGTGCTCTTTGCTTCTGTACACTGGCTGAATTAGACTGGCTCTCTAGACAAATTTACACCAACTTAGTTTCCCTACAAATAAAAACAATTAAATGCAGAAAGGGAAGTATTTTGTTGTTTAGATAACACCACTTATAGGTATCCATGTATACTTTATGTCTGTACTGGGCTCTAAAGCAGACGTCTGATAAGGCACAGATGCAAATTTACATTTTATTTTTTCAGATCTGAATTCATGTGCTTTAGTTTGCATGCGTATGTACTCCAGGAGTATGTGTTGGATATTTAAGGGTTCTATGTAAATGAAAAAATATGCAGAGTTAACCAAGATTAAACTGTTTATTTTTGAAAGAAGACTTAGCATAAAAAGGCAAACAAGTAATAGGTCGTCCCCTACTTCAAATACGGTTAAAAGAAATTACTTTAATAAATTTTTTAAATGTTTAAGTACTAAATTTGACTATAAACTGTATCAGCAAATGTTTGAATTTTGATGTTTTTCACAAAAATGTCTGACATCATGATCCCTCTGCTGGCAACCAGGGGAATCACCACATAATGCCTGAATGAACTTAGTCTGTTTGAAAAACCCTGTTGTTTCAAAGTGTGTGTGTGTGTGTGTGTGTGTGTGTGTGTGTGTGTGTGTGTGTGTGTGTGTGTGTGTGTGTGTGCGTGCGTGCGTGCATGCGTGCGTGTATGTGTGTGTGTGTGTGTGTGTGTGTGTGTGTGTGTGTGTGTGTGTGTGTGTGTGTGCACGTGCGTGCATGTTGGGGGTTAAAACCCTTCTTTTGTCACTAAACTTTTATGTTTTGATTTTTCTTCTCTCTCTCACTCACTCACACACACACACACACACACACACACACACACACACACACACACACACACACACACACAAATAAAGGGTCTATGTGTCCTGCAGAGATGAACAGTTCTACATTGTTGACTGGATGTTCTTACTCTGCTCTCTCAGGAGGTTTTGACATCGACATCAAAGGCTGGGGCGGTGAAGACGTCCACCTCTACAGAAAGTATCTCCACAGCAACCTGCTGGTGGTTCGAGCCCCGTCACGCGGCCTGTTCCACTTGTGGCACGAGAAGCACTGTGCTGACGAGCTCCCTCCGGATCAGTACCGCATGTGCATGCAGTCCAAGGCCATGAACGAAGCCTCGCATGGCCAGCTGGGCATGCTCTTCTTCAGGCATGAGATTGAAGCTCACCTCCGCAAACAGAAACAAAACCCAAAGTAGACTCGGAGACTATGAACCAGTTTGGTTATAATGGCTGAGAGTACTGCTGCCTGTTAAAACAGAAAAGATGGATTCTGCCAACTGGACTTCCTGTTTTAGATAAAGCTTTTTGTAAACGCTTCTCAAGATATAAGGTTGATATTTAATTCATGCTGTTGCTGAAAGCAAGAATCCACTCATATTTTTCAGCTAATGTCACTGTAAAGATCCTGTTTCAGGTGTTTTAAAATAAAACACGTAGTTCTGAACTGTAGGATTCCTGATGTGTGTGCCTTATGTAAATAAGAGCTGAAAACTCTTCAGAACAAGTTTTCATGTAATGAAACGGCACCCACTAGTGGGTTGAGACCAAACAGCATGCTGTTGAATAAACAGTGAAGGACTTTAGTAAAACTTTTTACATAATTTATACATTTGCTTTTTGTGCTTTTATTTATGTTTGATGTTCTCTGTAAAAATCATCTTAAAAAATGTGTGTGTTTTTTTGCATAAATGGGCTAATTATTGCAACTTGAGATGAAAAAATTGCTTATGGGGAAAATAAATTATTCTAAATGAAAACAGTTAATCTATTTATTAGGTACTGAAAATCAGCTTGCCTATGCATCTCTGAAGATCAACAGATTTTAAAATAGTTGAGACAGTAAATAATTTATGGAAACAGCTTTTGACGATGACTTAAAAAGTCAGAACCAGCTCAATTTTTAACAGAATTCAAAATGTGACTCATATCCGATTTAAACAAATTCAAAGAGTTGCTATTGTGTGTGCATTTTCTCCTCCTTTACACTCTTTTCCAGCATTTGTTTTGTCCGTGAACAGAATCAGTGTAATAATTGTAGGTGGAACAACCTGAGAACACAGTTACTGTAAACCTTTGATGCTTTTATTTGACAAGTTTTTTTACTTGAATTAAATAAATAAACAAACACAAAATTATTTGTGAGTTGCTATTAGGTTAGAATCTGTTGTCACATCTGATCAAGGGAAACTATCGGGAAGTGTGGTAAATGATTTTAGGATGATCACCCCAACGTGACCCCAAGATTTATGTATTTATTTATTTGTTTATTTATTTATGAATGTGGCTTGGACGGCAGCATACACCCCACAAAGTGATATAAAAATGACCGGCTCTGCCTTAGGAAGTGTGGTATAACATGATTATAGGATGATCACACCAATTTCATGATTTTGAGGTGCTTACCCTAATTTGACCCCAGTATTTATTAATCTACTTCTATATTAATTTATTTATGTGGCAGTGTGCAGCTCTACAAAAGTTGCATCAAAATTACCAATTCTGCAGTGGAAAGTGTGGTATATTTGGGTGGTCAGCCCAATGTCACCCAAAGATTGATTGATTAATTAAATGATAAGACTCAAACGGCAGCCCACAAATGATACATCAAAACAACCGGCTCGGCAATGGGAAGTGTGGTATATCACAATTTTGGGGTGCTCACCCCAGTGTCACCCCAAGATTGACTGATTGGTTGGTTGGTTTATTTATTTATTTAAGGAAGAATGTTATCTTATTTAGAGCATCAGCTGGAAGGATTCTGTCTGCTGGGCTAAGGGCCAACGTCTTTTCTTCTTTTTACTAGGGCGACGGTGGCACAGGAGTTAAGTGTTCACCTCGTAATTGGAAGGTTGCAGGTTCAAGCCCCTCTCAGTCTGTTGCTGTCATTGTGTCCTTGGGCAAGACATGTAACCCACCTTGCCTGCTGGTGGTGTTCGGAAGGACAGGTGGCGCATGTGTACGGCAGACTCACCTCCGTCAGTGTGCCCCAGGGCAGCTGTGGCTACAATGTATCTCATCAACACCAGGGTGTGAATGTGTGTGTGAATGGGTGAATGACTGATTGTGTTGTACCGGGACCAGAGTGAGTAGAGTGTGTATGGGGAGCGTGGGTATGACATACATTCTTGTAAGTCTTTAGGTCGTATGTGTATGTGTGAGCATGACGGAGGAAGCGTGTGAATGTGTTTGTGTGTGAAGGTATCTGTTAGGTGGGGTCTTGGACTCCTTTCCTCTCCTGGGACATCTTGTGATGCTACAACATCTTTGCCTACCCTCCCCCTGCAACTTTTTCTGCCAGTGGGTGGTGCCTTGGTCTGAATACCTTTAAGTACCTGGGTGTTCACCTCAACAGCAAACTGAACTGGTCCAACAACAAAGATGCTCTGTATAAGAAGGGCCAAAGCCGCCTCCACCTCCTGAGGAGGCTGAGGTCCTTTGGAGTTAATTCTCAGCTGCTAAAATCCTTTTATCACTCTCTTGTTGGCTCTATTATCCACTCTGCTGGGGTCTGTTGGGGTGCAGACAACTCTGACCGAGATAGGAAGAGAATTAGCAAGTTAGTTCACAAAGCTAGCTCGGTTCTGAGGTACCCACTGGATACAGTTGAGGAGACGTGTGAAAGGAGGATGCTGGGGAAGATGACCTCCATCTTAACCTCCTGAGACCTGGATTTGTATTTGGTGTGATGTAAAATAAATTTGAATAAAAATCTTAACAGGTTTTCTAGATAAAACTAAAAAGAGATGTTTTTACCTAAAGTTGATATTAAATGTTTCTAAATAATAAAAAATCAAGGTGTACTTTGAAGAGAATAAAAACTTTTAGTGAAAGATGCCAATGAGGACCAGGGTCTCAGGAGCTTAAAAATACCCTCCCACCCACTGCATTCCATTGTGGAGACCATGGACAGCTCCCTCAGAGGCAGACTGAGATCCCAGATGTAAAACAGAACGCTATTCATCCCCTCTGCAGTAACAGTGTACAACTCCTCACTTTAAGCTACACTGGCATGATCCTGTTACACAATAACACCAATGCAATATTCAGTATGTGGTAAATACTCGTTCGATAACAGATTTACGTAGTATGTCCTTGTCACTTGCAGTATGCTGCGTAGTATTGGAACCCAAGTTTTTTCCTTTTTTATTTGTGGTTTTTAGTGGTTGAACATTACAATACTAGACTACTGCCAATGTGTGTATACATGTACCTTTGTCGTTTTTTTTTTTTTTTTTCAAATTATTCTCTTAAATGTTGGTGCTGTAACAAGTGAATTTCCCCACTGTGGGATCAATAAAGTCAGTTCTATTTTATTTTATTTTAATTATTCTATTCTGCAAGTCTAAAAGCAGATTCTTGTTCATCATTTATTGTTTATTTTTGTGAATCCCCCTCCCCCACCTCTTCCTTCTCTCTCACTCTTTCTCTTACACTTTTGTCTCCGTTGGGATTTAAAACAACCAATACTATTTCCAATAGCAGAAGCTATAACGCTCCACCTGTGAGAGTGAAACTGCAAGGCTTGTCTTCGGCATTCAGACATCAATTGTGATTGCTTCACGGCCAGTCAAGTCAACGTTTTAAAAATAATTATAAACATTTTTGTTTCACTAAGATGCATTGGTACCACTTTACAATAAGGCTTCCTTTTGTATTTATAAATGTTTATTAACTATTAATAAATAAAGACTTGTTTTACACTTTACAATTAGACTCCCTTCAATCGTAAGTATTTATTTATTATTTTTGGGCACATGATTATTTGCCCAAAATAGTAAAAATAAATCTGGTTTACTATTTAGCAAGAAACTAGTGAGTTCAGTCTCTTTCTCACCCTTAATTAATGCATAATAAACATTTATTAGTCATTTATAAAGCATTATAGATTGAACAATAACTTGTTTATAAACTATTTGTTAGCCATTTATTGTAAAGTGGTACAGATGCATTTTTATAAGGTGCTCCAGATGTTTATGCAATTCAGAGCCTAACAAGTCCTACTTTTGGAGGAACCAACATTTCTTATTATTCTTTGTTAAAATCCTTCTACACTAAAAATCTTCTGTTGCTGCAAATTCATAACTCTCATAAATATGGTGTAGCTAATGAACGCCTTGACGGCTGCTCTTGTGGTCTGCCTGCATCTGTTGTAATATAATACATATAAAAATTTGTATGTCTAACCTTGGTCAGGCTGTACTGCGGAGGCAAACTTCTATGCTTCAGAACGCAGGGGTATTGACAATTAAGTTGATTCTAATAATAAAGACTTAGTATCTTGAATTTATGACTTATCTTTCTTGTAGTTATAAGACAATTTAAAAAAAATGTATCTGAGTGGCAGCAATGGGCTTTGATACTGCAACAGATTAATAATTGTTTGTGTTGTTGACCAGTTCCTTTCATTTTTCTGGGATTAGTCCTCTGATAACTCCACCTGCTCAACATAAACACACCGATCCAGACACAGAAGATTATTTGTGATAAAAACTCGAAAGTCCACACTGATAGTTTTCTCTTAACAACTTGTAATTTTACCACAAAAAAGCATTTTAGCCAAACAAAATACTGATAATGTAACAGGGGCCAGTGTGTTTAATTTGAATTACTTATGTTTGTGTTTCACCAGTCGAAGTCTTAAAAAGATTAATATCATTACTTACAATAAAATCACAAATGAATGTTTAAGATAAGTTACATTTTTAGATCAAATCATAAACATAATGTTCTATGCTCCCTCTCCTGGTATTACATTCTTTCTAGCATGAACACTGAGCTGCCACAAGATGTCTCACTTTACCAAAGCATGAGGCATCATGAAGCAGCATCTTTTCTAAATAAATAGACTTTATTTTAGGTTTTAATTTCTCATTTTTGAATGTGTTTTGTCTTAGGAGGCCTGTTTGGGAACACAGCCAACCAAGAGTCTGGATTCCCAGCAGGACTGGAAACCGGTACCGCTGCTGGAACATCAGGGTTTGGAACTGGATTTGGAGGTTTTAACATCCAGCAGCACCAAGGCCAGTGCCTCCTTTTCCGAGTGTTTACGTGCAGCAATCGGGAGGTTATTGTTGTACCAAGTCTGTTTCTGTACACGAATAAATCCAGTCTCAGACATTAAAATAATCTAAAACACTGCATACATTCATAGTGAAAATTCTGCATTAATAGCATTTGTTTGTTTGTCTAAACCCATCCTACGATGCAAAGTGAGTCAACAACCAGAAAGTTTCAGCTGCTCATCCATCTCAACTAAAACTGTTATTTAAAACAACAAACTCCAAAGAATTTAGGTTAATCTGAGATATGTTTTCCTTTTGCCTGAGCAGGAGGCCTGTTTGGCCCGCAGACCCAACAGCAGGGTCAGACTCAGCCCAGCCAGCTTCACCAGCAGGTCACCGCTCTGTCGGCCCCGACCCTCTTAGGAGATGAACGAGACTCCATACTGGCTAAGTGGAACCAGCTGCAGGCCTACTGGGGTACAGGGAAGGGCTACTACAGCAACAACAACCCGCCTGTGGAGTTTACTCAGGAGAACTCTTTTTGCAGGTTCAAGGTAATCAGGAACAGTTAGAATTATTCACCTGGTTCTTTTCAGTTTGATACTAAAATAGTGATCTGTTGGCTTTGGGGTTGTTTTTGCTCCTAGGCAGTGGGATATAGCTGCATCCCAGTAAGCAAGGATGAAGATGGTTTAGTGGTGCTGGTTCTGAATAAAAAGGAAGCTGATGTTCGAGCTCAGCAGCAGCAGCTGGTCGAGTCCCTTCACAAAGTCCTGGGAAGCAACCAGACTCTGTCAGTTAATGTAGATGGTGTCAAAGCCCTGCCCAATGACCAGTAAGTCTCTAAACCTGCTGCACAAACACACCTAGCAGTTAGTGCTTGTTTTACATCATTTACACACTCCTAAAGTAAAAGTGTTTTCTTCATGTTTGTTTTGTGGGACAGAGGTCATCATTAAAAAAAAATTATACAAGAGTGCTTTACAGTAGAATTTTATATTTTTACAAAAAGAAAATGTACAAATTACTGTTTTCACCACTTAATTTATAGACGACAATTTCACGTAAAATCAACAGTTTTAGATAGTTTTATAGTTGACGGGTTTTTCCTGTCATGGTTTCATGGCTAATCACTGTTAAATATACAGAGCTTTTTTCACAGAGCTCAGCTCAAGCAGCTGCTGCAAAATGCTCCTGCAGGTAAACATTTTCCTACATTTGCCACCATGGCCGCTGCGTGTTCTCAACGTGTGTGTTCTGAAGATGTCGTCTTCCCTCCACAGGAGTGGACCCCATCATCTGGGAGCAGGCTAAGGTGGACAACCCGGACCCTGAGAGGTAACCATCGATGATACAAACTTCCCTCGTAAAACTAAACTAATGTGAGGCCTATCATTGATTGGCTTTGACCATTTCCTGATCTGAGCCGTGCACCAGTGGCCATGACCATTAAAAGCTGTTTCTAACAGTCAGGATCAGACTCATCTTTCTGTTCTCCTCCAGGTTAATCCCTGTGCCCATGGTTGGGTTTAAGGAGCTGCTCTGCAGATTGCAGATCCAGGAGCAGATGACTAAACAACACCAGACAAGAGTGGATGTGAGTAAAAATATCTCTGCTGTTGTTTCTAGATTTAGAAAATGTGGGAAAAAAAGAGGAACAAGAAGTGGACTCGGCGTGGTTTGGTTATCAACAGCAGGAACTCTGGGGCGGATCTCTGCGGTGCCAAGGACGGTTCACAGATGTAGTTGATGCCTGCTGCCAGCACTTATTTTCAGCTTGAATTATTAGAAATACTGCTGTAAGTGTCAGTGTCAAGAGCAGATGTGCTTCGCTCGTTTACGGCAAAGTTAGGCCAAAAATCTAATTTCCTTTTGTGGTTTGGTTATGACAGAAAGTAAAGGATGATCTAAGTATGAAACATTATTATTAATAATTAAATTTATAGTCTGAGATCAAGTCTAGCACTTGGACTCAGATGGATGTGTTGCTGAATTAAAGGGATACTTAGCAGTTCTGGCTTGCTTTTAGCACCCCCTAGTGTCTGTTAGTCAAAGGCAAAAGTAAAATTTATATCTGCTGTGCATTTGTCTTTTTAACACCTTAATCTAACAGCTGAAAGTTGCAAGAGTGACCATTGTTTTGGCCAAGGCAGTGGGATCTGAGTGACATTTCATTAACCCTGTAAAGCTCAGTGGCCTAGTGTTAGAGTGTCCGCCCTGAGACTGGGAGATCAGGGTTCGATTCGTGGTCGGGTCATACCAAAGACTTAGAAAAGCATGAGACCCAATGCCTCCCTGCTTGACACTCAGCATTAAGGGTTGGATTGGGGGGGTTAAACCACCAAATGGTTCCCGAGCGCGGCTGTGTCTGCAGCTCACCGCTCCCCCAGGGGATGGGTCAAATGCGGAGAGCAAATTTTGCACACACACCAGTGTGTGTGACAACTAATGGGACTTTAACTTTAACATGTGTCAGAGTCAAGGCCCGCGGGCCAGATGCGGCCCGCAGAGCATTTTTATGTGGCCCGCGAGATAAATATCAAAAATATATTAAAACTGGCCCGCTGGCCGATTTTACCACAAAGACTTCAACTCCCATGATGCTTTGCGGCGTCAGCGCGGAGCCGACGCGCCCCCTCCTTTGTGTTTTTTCCAGCGCCTGCTGCCGGTGTCTGCAGCTCCGCTGTCTCGGACAAACTACACCCCTCTCACTCAGCGCCAAGTTCACTCAGCTATTTTCTGACGTTGAAGCCCAGAAACAGAGATTCTAGCCGCTCAGTAATGTGTTCACGACTGAAAGAGAAAGTTTTCCAACTAACTTCCAGACAGAGCTGATATAACTCCAGCGAACAGCGACACGCTCAAACCAGCACGGCTCTGTGGAAGCTGTCGTGTTTCCTCCTCGACACACAACAACGTGGTCCAGCTGCTCAGACATGTTCATCAGCACAAACCTATGTGAGCACCTGTTGTCATCTAATGTTGTCGTTATTATGATGAAGATGAACAAAACAACAGGAGTCTCCTCCTCAGCTCAGGTCAACCCCATGATGGAGGTATCTGGCTGGAACAGGTGAGCATCACAGTAAATCAGTGGAGCAAACTGAGCTTTAAATATGTTGGTTTTATGCACTTTTTCTGCTCCAAAACATGAAAGTTAACAGGTGAGATGTTGCATTTTCATTTAAGATAAAATGATATTTTTATTTAGTTGTTGGCCCGTGAGAAAAGATTTAAAAGATTTAAAGATTTAAAAGATTTTAAAAATGCTGATTATACCACAAGTAATGAATACCAGTGATGCCTTTTATGTAAAACTGACTTGCTCGTGTGTAATTTGGTTATTCCACATTCAGTGTTAATGCAGAAATAAGTTTGTTTCCAAATTTAAAGGTTCAAAATTGCATATATGTTGATAAAGAAAATGTGCAAATTTGCCGTCACTTTTTCAAAAAATATTAAGTTTGGCCCTCGACTCCGTCCCAGAGTTTCATTTCGGCCCCGTGTGAGTTTGAGTTTGACACCCCTGCTGTAAAGGGTCGTTTTAGCACAAACTGGCTCAAGAATTATTTTTTTAAAATATAAAAATGTTTCATATTATGCCTTTAAAAGTCAACATGTGTGTCCAGTGCAGCTGCAGCATGGTTGGGTTTTTCAGCTCCATTAAAATTGTTGAAATAGAAAATACATGATTAATAATTTGACCCTATTTGCATTAACAGATCATCTCCAATGACATCAGTGAGCTGCAGAAGAACCAGGCAACAACTGTGGCCAAGATTGCTCAGTACAAGAGGAAACTGATGGACCTTTCTCACAGGGTCCTGCAGGTAGCGGCTTCATGCTTCTGAAGCTCATTTCTGGTGTGCACCTCTTTCACTGGTCCAGTTCTGGTATCAAGACAGCTGAGACCTAACCAGAAGTAGTCTGTATTTGGTCTGAAACCAGCCCAGAGGTGTTTCATCTGAGACAAAGATTTATGTAAACGACACAAAGCTGACGTTCAAAGAGCTCAGCTCAGCAGCACTGGTGCAGTTTCTGTCTTTGAAGAGATTAATGTCTGTTGGAAAAATCCATTTCAAATATATGTTCTTTATTATTTTTTTTTTCATTCCAAGAAAAGCTTCTGGTCAGATGTGAATGACCTGGCATGTCTGCATCTCTTCCTGCTGACACTTCTAATCATTCTGCCATGCCGCTAACTTTCCTGCAGGTGCTGATCAAACAGGAGATTCAGAGAAAAAGCGGTTATGCCATACAAGTGGACGAGGAGCATCTCAGAGTGCAGCTGGACACCATCCAGTCAGAACTCAATGCACCCACACAATTCAAGGCAAGTGTGTCTAAAGCAGAGCAGCGTTTCCTCTCAGTACACGGGTTCAGCCTTTAAAGCAGTAAAGCAGGAAATCAACTTCAAACTAATAGAAAGGCTTTAATGTTGACCTGAAACCATCTACTAGCACATTTACACCTTTCAGCAGTACTTTATAAAACACATTTTCATTTTTATAGTCTGTATTCATAAGTAAACAAGATTCACCATATTTACGTTTAATTGTTGGAGTCTTTGTGAATCTAAATGAACAGCGTGAACTTTGCAGCTATTAAATATTAAACTAGTTCTGCTTTTAGGACAAGCTCCATATATTAATGTTGTGTTTGTGTCCTCTGGTCTTTCTCAGGGCCGGTTGAATGAGTTAATGTCCCAGATTCGAATGCAGAACCACTTTGGGGCTGTGAGGTCAGAGGAGCGCTACAGCGTTGATGCTGGTCTTCTCAAAGAAATCAAACAAGTAAGAGTCTACCTTTGCTCTTTAAAATCTGTCCTTTTGCTCCTGAACTTTTACTCAAGTTTCTAAAAACAAAATCCTGAACTTGTGACCTGAAGACTTGTTGCTTTTTGAAAAACTTCTTATATTGATTTTCTGAGTGAAAAAGAAGGAAAAACACCAATTATTTACTCAAATTAAATAACAACTCATTGTGATAATTCCACGTGTTCGAGATCTCTAAAGGATCTCTAAAAACTGCAGGGTACGGTTTTGTTCTGGTCCTGCTGGACCTGACTGCAGCCTTTGACACTGCTGACCACCACCTGTTACTGGAGAGGCTGAGAGACTGGGTAGGCCTATCAGGAACTGCTTCGGAGTGGTTCTCCTCTTATCTGTTCGAGCGTTCCTCCTCAGTGGCAGGCTCCAACTTTCAGTCCTCCACCACCTCCCTCACCCATGGTGTCCCACAAGGTTCTGTGCTGGGACCTCTGCTCTTCCTCCTCTATCTGTTTCCTCTGTGGCACATTCTGAGCTACTTTAGAGCAATCTCCTACCATCTTTATGCAGATGACATCCAACTGTACATCTCCTTTAAGCCCCATGAGATGTCTAAGCTGCAGCTGTGACACACCTGCTTGGACTCTATCAAAACCTGGATGGCTGGGAGCTTTCTTCAGCTGAATGAAGATAAGACTGAGATCCTCATCTGTGCCCCAGACAAGCTGGTTCCCAAAGTCAGAGACTCTCTTGGTCAGCTTGCTTCTCACACCAAACCCTCTGTCAGGAATCTTGGCGTGACCTTTGACCCAACTCTCACCCTGGATTCTCATGTCAGTTATCTTGTTCGCTCTTCCTTCTTCCATCTCAGGAACATTGCAAAGCTGAGTCCCATTCTGTCCCGCTCTGAACTTGAGACAGTTCTCCACACCTTCATCTCCTCATGCTTAGACTACTGTAACTCTCCTTTCACGTGTCTGAACAGAACCTCCCTGAACCGTCTACAGGTGGTTCAGAATGCCTGTGCTCGGCTTCTGACCAAGTCCTCCAAACACACCCACATCACCCCACTTCTCCTCCAGCTTCACTGGCTGCCAGTCAACATCAGGGTTCATTTCAAGATCCTGGTTCTGGTCTATATGGCCTTACATGGACAAGCACCATCTTACATTGGTGATCTTCTTAGTCCCTACACCCCCAGCAGGTCCCTGAGGTTCAGTGACCAAAGCCTACTGGTTGTGCAGCGCCAGGCTAAAGACCAAAGGTGACAGATCATTTGCTGCTGTGGCCCCCAGACTCTGGAACTCTCTCCCCCTGAGCCTGAGATCAGTGGACTCAGTGGTCTCCTTTAAAAAGCAGCTGAAACTCATCTGTTCAAGCTGGCTTTTGCGTGACCTTCGTCACCACCCTCTCCTGATTCTGCTCTTTCTACTTATTTTGCTTTTCCCGGGATCCACTGATTTCCCTCTTTCCGATTCATTTTAATAATAATAATAATAATAATAATAATGCATTGAACTTATATAACGCTTTTCAAGATACCCAAAGACGCTTTCACACACTCTCACATTCACACACTGCTAGTGATGGTAAGCTACTTGTAGCCACAGCCGCCCTGGGGAGGTCTGACAGAGGCGAGGCTGCCATTTTCTCTCCTTTTATCTTCTTTTCTTACCATCTTTAATCACAATTAGTATTTTTGCCAGTTTAAACATATTTTTTAAATCTTTTTTTTTCTTTTTATAATTGACATGTTTTGTGTTTGTGAAGCGCCTGAGAAGCGCTGTATAAAGATTGCTTTCTTCCTTTTTTTAAAAGCACAGCTTTGTGTATCATGGCGGTTTATTTTAAACAGTGTTTGCGTTTCTCACACGTTCAGCACTTGAAGCAGCAGCAAGATGGTTTAAGTCACCTGATCAGCGTCATTAAAGAAGACCTGGAGGACATCAAACTGATAGAGCATGGACTGAGTGATCGTGGCCACACGAGAGGAGGCATCCTGAGCTGAGCCCAGGAGCCTGAATCAGTCTGGAGCGAGGCGTGCTTCTCACCCAGACCAGATATGTCACGACCACAGCTCCAAAGGTCTAAATGAACAGACTCGGAAAGGATCTGTTTGCTCTCTTCTTGTGTTTTTGGTGGGTTTATTAAATCACACCTTTTTTAATCAATAAAAGAAAGCTTCTCTACATTCAGAAGCCTGATGGAGACTCAGTGGTGTCTAATAAAGCTGGCTACCCTTCAGTCTAATCAGATTATGGATTTGATGCGACTATAAATGTCTGGAGCAAGTAAACAAGGTAGGATTAAATGTGCTCCATGGTCTGAAACTATGTAAATACATGTTTGTCTTTCTTTTTTACGCTATTAGAATAATAATAAATTTAGTGTAAAGCTGATAACAGTTGCGCTTCTTTACTTTGATTCAGGCTGAAATGTTAAAATTTCCACCTTTTTACTGGCCATTTTTCTGCCATGTTGGATTTCATGTTTAGACAGTTTGTTTATACGAGTCGTCTGACCTTCTCTGTTTACCTCCTCAGACTTTCACTTACCTGCATCTCATCCGAGCACGGCTGGAGCTAATAGGATTTATGTTGTGGATTTGCTTTCCTTTTGGGGTGAAGGCTTTCACACAGATTATTTCCCATCATGCAACAGTGTCGCCCACATCCAAACGTTCTGAATTAAATGTCAAAGAACAAATGAAACGTTCATCAAAAACATGTGAAAAATATTTTATTTAACAGCAAAACATTTAATAACAAGACATAAACTTTAAAGTACAAAAACACATTCCATAAAGCTTTAAAAAGGTAGAAGACACCTGTGTGTCAGTAACTCCTAAAGCTCCGGTTATTCCATTCATCAGGTGTGTGAGGAGAGGTCCACCAGACGAAAGGCCTCCATGAACTCGTTGATGTCGATGCTGCCGTCCTTGTTGAAGTCCATGCTCTGAGCCAGGTCTGTGATGGCCTTATCACTGATCTCCATCTTCAGATGAGAGCTCAGGAGCTTCCAAGTCTGATGAAACTCCTCAAAAGAGATCAACCCTGGAGGAGGAGGATGGTAACCAGATCTTTTGATGTGGATTGATTGAATCTAGACATTCCTGAGCTGTTTGATCTTACAGAAAAGTGATGACTATGATTACAGCCAGTCTGATTAGACTGACTTCCAGGTGAGTTTAGTGCCGCTGACTCACCTGAGTGATCTGTGTCTATGATACGGAAGATGGTTTCCAGGTTGGAGTGGTTTTTGTACATCGTCTCCAGGATACTGGTATCCGACACCTGCCCAGAGTACAAAAATACTACTTTTCATCTATTTCTTTTAACACCTGAAGCAGAGGAGAGAAAGAAGATCACCTCTAATTTGGGCTCAGTGATGGAGAGCTCCTTAATCCACTGCAGGTAGTTCACCATCCCATAATGAGTCCTGCTCACGAGCTGAGGCCGCAGCACCCTCCATGGCAGACCCAGCTTCAGGACGCTGTCTGTGGCAGTCGCCCAGTGCCTTAGAGAGATCAGCCCTGAAATACAGGAAGGAAATCCTAACTTCCACCATGACTTCCATCACTCTGTGTCCTGGAGCATAAAGATGTGTTCACTGTTTGGTACCCATGTTGTCAGGATCAAACTCCTGGAAGGCCCTGATCAGATCTGACTTGTGTACGAACAGCTGCTCCTTCAGAGCTTGCAGGGCTGATCTTTCTGTCCGCCCAACACTGATTTAAATAAATAAAATAGGAAAAGCAATCACTGACTTTAAATTGAGCAGAATCACAGAATTTCTCTCTCTTTCAAGAGTTCAAATGATACATTTTTCTGGGTTTTAAATTCTCCAAGTTTGCACCTTTGTCTCAGGGTGAGCTCTCTGCTTGTCCTGCTGGCCTGATACTGAATGCAGCGAGGAACCAGGTCAGGGCCCATTCTGATGTAGGCCCCTCTGTTGCTGCCCACCTCGTAGTAGTTAGAGGCTGAGAATATGGTCAACACCTGAAAAAGACGCAGTTTTCAAATTTCCTATCATGAACTCTTCCTGCTCTCCAGAACCTGAGCAGTGTTTCTCTCTGCTCACTTTGCGATTGTGGCAGAACTCGTAACCGTCCTGTTTGCACTCATGGGAGCGGATGAGGAGCTGGAGGCTGTGTCTTCCCAACACCTCCTCAGTAACGTCGGGACCCCAGTAGCAGCCCCCTCCTCGCACCTCATTGGGAACGCAGCCCTTTTGTGGCATTGGATCACTCCACAGCAGGTCCACAATCTAAGTAAAATCACAGCTTGTTGTAAATCACAGAAGCAGGAAAAAGTCGATGTAGGTCCTACATGTCAGATTTTTGAACCTCTAATAATGAAAGACTGGTTTTATTTAGAACTGATCATGTAAAACATCTTTCCAAATCATTAAAGAAAATACAAACTAATGATGCTCACTTGTTTCCACTCACGCCCATATATTTCTGTCCGTTCTCTAAACTCTGGGTCAGAGTCAGAGTCTGATGTCTTCATCTCTCCGTAGGACTGGTCAAACCCAGCCAGCCGACGCCTCTTCTTCAGCTCATCCTCCACCGAGCAGCTCAAATAATTCCCCACAGACAGGTTGTGAAGGGAACGCCGATGGAAGTTGTTCCTGTGAGCCGGCGCAGAGCTGTGGTTGGTCAGAGAACGCACTCGTCGACGGCCTTCCATTGGTCCATCAATATCTCCATTCCCGCTGTTGCGTTGGTGGGTCATCTTAGGAGGCCGTAAGACTGACACATACTGCACACACACCACTTTGAGATTTTTACACGACTCACTGACAGAACTGAGGCTGATGGCTCCTCTTACTTTGTGCCTGTCTATTCTGGAAACAATATGGAGGTTTGTTGAGTTGGAGATCCCTCCATGAACCACCAGGACCTTGTGATCGATCACTGCGGCCAGAGGAAGCCAGCTGAAGATCTTTTGGAGAAGCTTTAAAATCTTCTTGCCATGAAACTGAAATCAAGTTATAATACATATTATCAGGACTTTGACAGCTAGTGACACTTTAAATGTGTTTGCTCAATACTTACCCTGTACTTTCCGAGGACTTCTTTAGTGAAACCATATCTAAGTAAAACACAAGTCAGAGTTGTTTAAATGTGGTTATTTTAAAGGCACACTTGGCAGATCGGTTTGCTTTCAGCACCCCCTACTGGCTGTTTAGTAGAACCAAAAGCTGTGCGTTTGTGTTTTTAACACCTTGATCTTAACTGCTGAAACGTCTCCCCAGCTTTTATTAGTGTCTACAGGAGTGATTCTTCGCTAAATTAAACAAATCAGTTGTGTTAATGATCTAAAACGTGCAGAAAACGTGCTGGAATCAGACTGCAGTGCCAGGCTTGACAGCTCAATTTCCACAGGTGGCGGCCTGTCAGTCTGAAGTTGGCAGTGGGGTATTCTGGCCACAAAAGGGGAAATGGGGGGGGGGGGGGGGGTCCTGAGTGACAAGGTCACTTTAGCACATGCAGGCTCAAGACAATTGTTTAAAAATATAAAAAAGTTGCAAAGTATCCCATTAAAATCTAAAGCAATTTACTCTGATAAAACTGATCTAAGTTATTTTATTGAATTTTAAAACATTTGTCCCATTTTTAAAAAGCAAACTGAAAATATCATGAGCTTTGACAAATGTTTCCCCCCATCAACTACAGTAATTGGACCCATCGACTACAACCAGAATGTCTAAATTAAAAATGATGTCATACTGATTAAAAACAATTCCCTTTTATTAGTTTCAATAACTAAACCAGACTGATAAAGCAGATAAAACTATCTACAAAAACGGATGGGTACTAAGCTGACCTCAGGTTAACAATGTGGTCCTCGTGGTTCCCTCGGTTCAGATGCACGTCATTGGGGTAAACCAGCAGGAACCCAAACAGGATGAGCAGAATCTCCAAGGAGTTCTTGCCTCGATCCACAAAGTCTCCATTGAAGATGTACGGTTTCTCACTGGAAGGTAGCCCGTTCTGCACAGTTCGAAGTTTAGGTTTTAGTTTAAAATCTCAACACCCTGCGTGACATGATAAATTACATTCTAAATACACCTTATAGAATATTAACAGCAGATCTTCAAGTTGCCCGTGCAAGTCTCCTGTGAAAGGAGAATCGTTTAAAACACAATATGATGAATTTGAAAGACAATAGAATGAGTGTCTGAGATAACACTGGAGGAGAGTCAAAGATCAGCCTGCTGCAGCGTACCACAAATAGTAATCTCCTTGGTATGGCAGACAGAGATGTGATTAATGTTAGGGAGATTTCGTAAGAGTCTCCAAGTTTCTCCAAGAATCTGAAGAACATACCGAGCATGGAGCTGCTACTAGGAAAAAAACATGTATAAATACACACAAACAAAATGAAACATGTGCTTCTGCTTTAAAAATCAACCATCCGGGTAACAGTGCACCTACTTGTTTGTGTCTAAAGGCCTCCATGAGTTTTGACACTCCACAGAAGCTCATGGGGAAGGTCAGGTGAGGTCCATTGTAGCTGTCGGGCACCTCAACGCCCTTGTAGCAAAAATATTTCTCCCATTCCGTCTCATGGCAGATCTCATTCTCACGAAAGATGTGAGATATAAGATTTCCTTTTTTCCAGACAAAGAAAGAGGCAGAGATTTGAATGCATCAACAGAGTTTCTTTTGAACTATCATTGTCTTACTTTCACTGCTGGCTGGAGTGAAATGGTCCATCAAGAAGCCAAAAAAGTTGTACAGCTGCAGAAAAGAAAACCATGTCTTTAAAAGCAGCCCCTTCTACATGAATAGGATGTTTTATTAGGTTTAATAACGTAAAAAACTCTAAACAGGAAGAAAATCACAGATAAAACATAACACAACTAGAACAGTTGATTTATTTTCAGATTCTGTTTCAAATTAATATTGGAAAATTTTGCTGAAACTTGTATTTTAACTAGAGTTGAAGTTATTTTCTGTTTGCGGATTTTATATGTGGCACGTGGCAATCAAAGCAAGAGATCTTCTTTTTTCATAAAGTAGCTTAATCAGAGTTTTACACACTTGGCAGAGTTACAGGGAAACTGAATCCATGTTGCTTCTTAAGCTGAAACCGAGCTGCTGGTTCCTTGTGATTACCGTTAAAAGTGGGTAAAAATCTAATGCTGTGCATCAGTAATGGTAATTTTCAGTATATTGTATTATATTGTTTTTATTACAATTGGTGTTTCAAGATGAACAATGAACAGAGTCCTTCTGCAGACTGTGAGATCTAATCCACCACCATGAGTTTTTTGTATCTGCAGCAAAAACAGACGAGGTAATTCAGCTGGATTTTAATTTCACACTAGCGGCACATTTATGCAACTTATTTATTCTATTTGCTTTAATATGATATACCTTTGAATTTTAATACCTCCACATGTTGATGTGTTCATTGTCTGTCCCGTAAACTGTGTCTACTACATGATTTTTTTGAGATGTGAAATGATGGACCGCCTGAATTTCTCCAGGTAACAGTGTTTACAACGACCATGAACATTTTCCATGCTCTAATGGCAGATTATGAAGTTAGTATGTAAGAACGATACTTAAAAGTTCCCAGATTGAAGCGAATTTCAGTAACCTTGAGAGGAAGAAGCAGAGACTCAAGTTTCTGGCCCCTCTCTGCTGTGCTTCAGCCTCCATCTCTGCCGAGACACATTTTGAAATCGGCTCTAATAAGAATTACTGAGACCAGAGTGTTCTGTTCTGTAACAGGTTGTTAACAGACCGACAGCGTGAATTATTCACACCAGATTTTATGTTTTACTTCTACTTTCACTTGTGTTTTGTGTGGTTTTAGTCATAAACAACATGCTGGATTACATGTGCTAAAATACAACAGGAACTATAGAGGCTATATAGAATAACTCATCCAGATGTAGGCAATCCAGGTCCTGGAGTGCCGCTATCCAGCATGTTTTAACTCCAACACACCTAAGTAATTGGTCACCTGTTCACCAAGTTATAAAGCTCTGCAGAAGCTTGTTGATCACCTATGATTTAAATTAGGTGTGTTGGAACTGGGGAAAACTAAAATATGGTGCATAGCAGCACTTTAGGACCAGGACTGCCTACCCCGTTCTAAACCTTGAGGACTATGGAAGTGATTTGTAATGATTTGTTGCGACTGACCAATAAAAACTGAGCAGCCTTTTGGTCGTACCTTTATCTGATCCTGTTCTCCTGCATATTCAATAGACTGGAAGATGTTCCACGTGCACCTGCGTCTGATCTCCAGCCGGGCAACATACTGACGGTACCAGCGCTGGATCAGCAGAGCTGCTCTGATTGCTGAAGAACAGAAGACACAATAATGATCCCTGTTGAACGGGTTGGTTCTGTGGGTGTTTATAGGACCCTAGACTGAAAAGGTCTGGGTGTTTTCTTCAATCAGTTCAGTGATCTGGAGAACTTAACCCTCTGGAGGCAGGTGTTGCAGATTAGCAACGTTAAAACCTACCTGGTTACTCCACATACGTACTTCATGAGCATTTTTTAACTCAGAAGTACCCCTGAAGGATTTAGTTGTTCGTCCTTTTATCAAAACTTATTTTGAGCCTGAGGGTTAAATTCTGCACAAAGCCTTTCATGTTGGTTTGATATTATTACTAATAATAATTAGATTCTGAACTTGCCTGTAGCAGCTTCACATGTTGCATTAAAATTAGATTCCAGAAATTAACATATACAAATGTGTGCTGGTGCACTGATGTGATCTTAGGTCAAAATAAAATAAATGAATGAAAATACCTGGGACTGAGATGCTCACTGGAAATGAACAAAAATGAAAACAAAGCAAATGTTGAATGATTAAACCCATAGAAAACATTTATTTAAACAAAAACGCTTCACCTCTGTCACACTTCTCCTGTAGAGGTCTTGATTTTCCCATGCCACATCCCATGACCCTTTTGTTGTTTTCTCTGTCAGAATCAACGGAGCATTATTGTGTGAGGCTCAGATAGTGACCTTGTTACAAATCTGGGAACGATTCTGTGGTAAAGCATCTACACAAAGTAACAAATGACTCTGAATTCACCTGATTAATGAAACACAGCAGGAAAATTTCAGTAATTGTAGATAATTTGGTTAGAACATGAATTTTCTTTATCATTTCTGTATAATTACACATCTACTATATAAAAATCACTCATGTGTTCAGATGCAACAACAAACTGACATGGAGGAAACTCACCTGCTACATCTCCACCTCCGTGTTTCCTCAGCACCTTAAAGGCATCTGCTCATGATATCAGGAATTCCCAGGATGCATCATTGCAGCAATAATGTCAAAAATCCAGCTTTATGTGTCGGTTTCCTCTGCAGGGTGGATAGTTGTAATATCGTAACTCTCAGCAGCTACTCCACCGTCAGAAACACACACCAGCTGAAGGCTCCTTTGATCACCTACTGAAAACCAGATGCAAGTGGATTAGGATTAAACCCCACCACAGGCGACGTGAGCGCTGAATAAACAGATGAAGGCTCTGTTAAAGGGCAGCGAGCCTCTGAGAAGGATGCTGAGTTGTGTGGGACTCTTAGGACGAGCTTTAGCTGTCTGATCAAGAACACTGATGACTCAGACTCTTTTAATAAAGATTTAATTATGTGTCCAATAAAATGATCGGTGAACTCTTTAATGGCTGACTGAACAAATTTTACATGATTTATTTAGTCTTTTATTTCCTGAAATACTCCAGATTCTTTTAGAACGTGTAAAATATTTCTCCTGACTGTATTTCTGTCGGTTTCTGCTTCCTCCTCCGTTTCTCCTGCTCTCATAACAAGTTGCTGCAAAGTAACCATCTCCCATCAGCAGCTTTTAAACTCCCCTCATTATGAACGTGTTGAAATGCATGTCAGGAATGTTCCCCGCTGCGTCTGTGCTAATATTTATCATGCAAATCACTCATCCGAGCACAACAGCTTCCCAGGCATCAGCAGCTGGTGGTGACCGGACTCTCAGCTACAGCAGCGACTCGGTGGGAACCATCAAGGACTCGTTCTCGTCCATGGATGGTTGGAAAACCTGCAGGATCAAACCGTGACCTCCTTCGTGTTTGTGTTTGTACATTAGTGGGAAGAGTTTTGCTCTCCAACAGAATTCTTCTGTTTTGGCTTTTTTCTGGTCAGAATACATTTTTCAGATCAGCAAACTCATTTAAATATCAACAATAACCTGATTAAACACGAAATGCATTTAAAATATTGGTTTTATTTCTTAAAGGATAAAAACATCTTTCCACACCAACTTGGCCCTGTGTGAAAACCTAATAGCCGCTCTGGTAAATAAAGATTTAGCTGTGATTAACCACATTATCTATCTAGCTATCATTAGTTTCACTAGTCGCTCTGAGGCCTGATAGCTGCCACACCTGAAATCACTCCTAGCGAAAAGATCTCAAAAAGCAACATAAATGCCCCGTTTTATAGAACTTCAATAACAAAATAGCTCAGAACAACATCTGAAGCTCTGCAGGTCTCACTTGGTTCAGGTAAAGGTCAGAGGTCATGTTCCAACAACATGAAACATTTGCCAGAAAACATCTCAATGATCCCAAAATGTTGGGTAAAAGATTCTGCTGACTGACAAAACCAAAGTGAAACAGTTAGACGGTGGGCGTCCCGTTAGATCAGGTTTAAAACTAGTGCTGCATCTCAGAAAAAATACATCACACCAACAGTCAGACATGCTGGTGCACCTGGGTTATGCAGGAAAATCCTCCCCAGAAGAACTCAAAGGTCAAGCTTAAATCTAACTACGCTGCTGCAGGACCTTAAACTGGCAGGACTGCAGAAGCTTGCTCACATTCATCATGAAAGTAGGACAGATCTTCAGCCTGAGACGGGTTAAGAGAGGACACAAGCATGGAGGCACGGTCGGATGAAAAACAAAAATAAACTTTAGTTACTGAGTGAAAGACAGAACGAAAGAAGCTGCAGGGCAGGAACTAAAGATGCATAAATCCATGAAACATGACTCGAGAACAGGAAGACAGTCTGTGCTGAAGAGACGAGACCGAGACACCAGGAGGATTAAAATACCAGTTTAATGACTGAAACCTTGTTAGACTTTAATGCAGAAAGGACAGAATAACTGGATAAAACAGATAAAACAGTGGGTTCATTTCTTTCCTGCCAAACATGTTTTAGTTTAGAGCAGGACTCTGCAGCTGCCATGATGGAAGGACACGTTTAGAATCATCTGACCTTTTCAACATTAGTGCTATTAAGCCACTAAATCTAATAGAGATTTTTCAGTTCAAATCTAATCATTGGCTCCAAAGTTAAACTGATCACTTGGTGGAAGTTGAAGCCGTTTGTAGCTAAACGAGGCATAAATGATGGGATGCTGTATGCACAGTGCATTTATGTAATAGCTGACATGTAAACAAGCAGAGGTTTCTTTCTGCTGCAGAGCTGCAGGCTGCAGAGTTTAACTGAAGCCATTGAGGCAGAAGTTCTCTGGAGGTTTTTGGGGAAAATCAGAACAGAGGTGAGAATTATTTTCAATAGTGGAAACAGTATTTGTGCAGTTACAGAGGGTTTCCACTGAGCTGATTGGGTCACATCAGGTCGGGGAGAGTGGAAGCTCGTGTCCTGGAACACGTCTGAACTGAGGTCATGTCTGTAGCAATCATCTGACCTGGGTCTGGTTTGTTGGTTCTGCTCTGAGAAGCTGATACTGAGGCACAATTAGACTCTAGATAAAGATCTCAGCAGGGTTGTTCGGACTCGTTTATCATCTTATCAAGCAGATCAAGTTATATAAGATTATAAAAGTATTTGGGTTGTGTATGTAAGGAAGCACGGCAGAGCACAAACACATGAATATCTAAAAATATCATTTTAGCTGCAGAGAAAGAAAAAACAAGGTCTTGCTCCAGCTTGCACCAGCATTCCTCTGGTCTGGCGAAAAAGGGTTTGACATCCAGGGCAGCTGATGAAACATCTCCGTTTGAGACTCAGGAGAAGGTATTGCTTGGCCTCAGTTTAGGTCCAGAGGTCACCAAAGGTCACAGAGCAAATCTCAAACCCTCACTGACCTCTGAGTTGTGCTGACGTCTGTTGTTTTTCCCCATCTTACTTTTGGCTTTCAGACAGGAACATCACCTGCTCTGTGTTACATTTTGCCCTCAGGATCCTGTCCTTGAACAACTGCAGGGGAATAAAGTTGTTATTTTGTTTATCAGAGGAAATTACTGCTTTTCATATCAAGCCAGCAAAAGGGAGATGCAGTGAAAGATGTGCAGGATGAATGAAGCGTTTATGCTCTATAGTCTAAAGACTGTCAGCGTTCTGTCATATCTTCATGTTCCAGGATCCTTTTGGGAGTCCATCACTGTTTAAACACAGTTGTTGCTTTCTTGGTTTGATCCCAAAAGCATCAGGGAGGATTTCTGGTTCAGTTACAAACATTACTGATTTCAGCATGCACCTGCCCTCAAACTTCCTTCTTCACTTTCCACACCTGGTGCTCACAGGGAAGTTCCCATCCAGCGTTGTCCTGCCCTGACCCTGCTTACCTTCTGAGATAAGACAAGCTCAGGCCCGCATACAAGGGCAGGGCCAAGAGCTGCAGAAGCTGCCAAAGAATGTCAGGATGGAAAATCTCAGAAAATAAGATAAGCAAACTATTCATGGCCTAAATTTATGTAACGCAATCATTAACTAAACCTGTGAGTTCTGCTTTTGTTTGTCGGAGCAATAGTAGCTTGTTAGGTCGACTAACTCCAACATGTGAACCATTCAGATGAAAAAGGCTCCTAAACTCGAGAAATCCTGTTTTAATTTGGAGCTTTGGGTTCTTTGTTAATAGCAGACTGTTCATCCACTTTAAAGGTGAATTTGTTCTATCATCACTGTGAGAAAATTTTCAGACACGTGTGTGAGTATAGGCCCACACACACACGGGTGATGCTATGGTCTCATTCATTTATTTCATGCAGTTTACAGGTCTCTAAAGCTGCAGGAGTGCAGCTGTTTAATTGTTAGAATAGAATAGAATAGAATAGAATATTTTTAATCTCCTGCTTTAACCTCCTGAGACCTTACGTTCTCACACGAGACCCCATGTCCTCACATGAGACCTTATGTCCTCACATGAGACCTTATGTCCTCACATGAGACCTTATGCCCTCACATGAGACCTTATGTCCTCACATGAGACCTTATGTCCTCACATGATACCTTATGTCCTCACATGAGGACATTGGCTTCCTGTCCCATCATATTTTATTCAGTTGTCCTTCTTCATTAGGTTTGCTCTCAACAACAGGATCCACACAGTTTTATATCTTGGTCTGATTGTGTTTATGACTAATTTCAGTTCATCGGTCTCTGTGTATTTTTAATAGAGTCTGATTTAGCCTTAAATGAACAAATTTTAGTCAAATAAATCAAACTGGTTTTAATCTGGAACCATCCCACCTTGTAGAATCTGAGGCAGGATTGTTTTATTCCAGCTGTTACTGATGCTGATCAAACATCATCGATCAAGTCTTCCAGAAGTTCATCCAAAAAGGCTCAACCTTTCGAACAGGAAACAAAATAAATGTTAAAATACTAAATATTAAACATTCATCTTTTGCCTATTCTTGTGCATATCAGTAGTTTATTCATCTTTAATCTGCTCTCATAATCCATCCATTCAGCATAATCTTATTCTGCATCTAAAATACATTTTTACTGTTTAACGTTGAAACAAATGCTTGTTAAAGTTAAGCAAACAGCTTATTTACCTGGTAGAGTTCATCTGTCCCAACATCGTCCTGAAATGTAACTGAAATAATCTATAAAAGAAAATAAATCTACACATTTTTGATGAAAAAGATACTTTCACATTTTATCACCTATTAAATAAAAGCTTGTTGTTATTTATTGAGTTTCATTAAAATCTGCTCAGTAGTTCATGAGAGTTTCTGCTCACACACACACACACAGCTCATGTTTGTCTGCAGGTGATAATAATTATATATGATTCAGAATTTTCTCATTCAGAACAAAAGTTTTCAGTTAATTAACTGCAAATAATTGGTGACATTTTCTTTATTGAGAATGTGCCGTTGGGTTTGATTTAAGGTATAAAGACTGTTCTCTTTGTAATCCTACTGAGTAAAATTTAGTTTTTTAACAACTTTTCCATGAAAACATTCATTTTGATGTTTTAAAAGAAGAAAATCTAATAATTAATGATGTACTAGTTTCAGAGTCGGTTTATGAGGAAGTTTGCAGAAAAATGTTTTTCCATCTGTTGTTTGTCCAAATTTTCCTCAACTTTTAGTTGCTTTTGCACTTTGCTCCTTAGAGCTGCAAAACTCATCCAGGTGACTCTGAATTCACCTGAAAAATTAGATGATGAATCTTGTTTTTCAGCAGAATCGAGTAGCTTCATTAAACTCTGCTTCTGCTGCTTTGCTGTTGAAACGTATCGGATATGTTTGTTGCTCCTGCAGAGACACAAAAGCTGAACAACAGGAGCTTTGTCCTGGTGCTGTTCTTCTCACTCACATTGTAATGTGTGTGGCAGCTTGCTAATTTAGTCTCCCTCTCACCTCTCATTCCTGAATGGTTGCCTTGAATCTCCGTCTATCTGTCTCCCTCTTGGATCATCCTGCTTGTGCTTTTTCACACAGAGCAGGGGACAAGACAACATTGTAAAGAATCTCAAGGCCACAGTGGGGTACAAGAAGATAAAACTCAGGTTCCCAGACTGTGAAGAACAGTACCTTGTGCAGCATCCTTGTCTCGCCACTCCTGTCTCCTCCTCCAAATAGACAGTCGCCTGACTCTAGCGAAGTCCCTAGATTGACCACACCGCTCGTCCACCATGTCCTTGACATTTGTCATGATGTTGATGCTTCTGGGTTCTGCAGTGGTGAATGCATTTGTCTTGCATCCGTCCAAGGAAGAGCCTGCAGCTAATTCTGCTTTTCCTCGTCAAAGGTCAGTTTAAGCAAATCTTTCAGCTTAAATGATGTTTTAAATGAAGAAAACATGAACTGCAGCTATTTTGTTTTGCAGGATTAATAGATTAAGGTAAAATTTTCCACAGTCTGTGAAGCAGATGTGGAAAGTGCAAAGTGGTTTTTGTGCTAAATACTTGGAAATGTATTTCTTTTATGCAAGTAAAGTGAAAAGATGTGGTTCTACCCTGGATAAGTAAGCAGAAGTATAAATCAAGAGTTTTTCTTTCTTCTGCCAAATACTTGAAGTTGTTCCAGAGAGCAGTCAGAGGAAATTTCACAACCACATCTGGCATGCTTTGGAACAAGTTGCTCATCTACTGAATCTTTTTTTTACATGTGAATGATTATTATGTTGGTATGTGATTCTGTTTGGGACGGTCAGGTGCCCGGATGAGTCCCTGCGGGCAATAAGGAAGAGTCTCCTTGGAGAACTCAACCTGCAGTCTGAGCCACAGCTGCCGGCTGGTGTGGTGGACAGCATCCGAAAACAGTGGCAGAGAACTTTCAGCACCGTTTCTCTAAGTGCCAAAGACACTGCAGGCAAGTGGAACGCAAAAAATTAAAAATGTTTTTTTAAATTGCTTTATTGTTATTCTGATCCTGTGCTGCTACATTTACATCATCCATCTTCCTCCAGGAGCCTCTGACGTCTCAGAATCACATGACGGTGGAAACAGCACAGGCCTCCAGTGCTGCTCCATGGCCTCTGAGATCTTCATGAAAGGTTTACAACAATAAAATAATTCATATGAGCCTAATACTAATAGATCTGTGTTTTTAAATATTTGTTTATTTTGCAGACTTGGGCTGGGACACCTGGATGATCCATCCTGTGAGCCTGACCATTGTTCAGTGTGCCGCGTGCAACCCTGTGGACAACAGCGTGCAGTGTCCTTCATCCTCCTCCTCCAGCATCCAGGTATCATCATTAAGTCTCAGCTGGAGACGAGCTGTTTTTCCTTCATCCATGTCTGTTTGGCAACAATCAGCACGTAACTTTGTTTACCTTGGTGTGTTTCTGAGATACGCTGTTTGTTCTGACCTTTACCTGGCACATGCCAGAATGCACGTGGTAATAGGGGTGGTATTAAAACAGAGATTAGCTAATCCGGACTGAACATCTGTGGAGAATTTATTTGATGTTATTTAATATGAAACATAAAAGTTGCTAAAAGTTGGCTTCAGTATGTTTTTAGACGTTAAGTTGATCACCAACACTTTATTTTCTTTCTCCAGGCCGATTTGCCATGCTGTCAGCCCGCTTCCCAGAAGATGGTATCCATCGCCTACATGGATGAAACCGGCGCCATTAACCTTTCCTCGGTGCAGCTGACCCGCAGCTGCGGCTGTGAACCTGGGAACGCCCAGCAGCAGAGCAGAAAATAGGCTGAGGTTTGTCCTTCGGTCCTCACCTGCGTGCATCGAGCCACGTCCTGTATTCAGATTGTCTTCCTGTCCAGGTCTGCTGACTCCCACCTCTCCTGCTGACTGTTTATATCTGACGATGTTCCTCAGAACGTTCAGAGCTTAGCGTGGGAGCCAAAGCAAAGTCTCAGTTTTGCATTCCTGCTGCACCCTTGTAGCAATAACAGTTTTGTTGTGCCCGCCACTCGTGGAAATGAAATGTTCTACATTTACGGCCTAAATCAATTTGCTATTTAAAATAAAATCTACATTAACATCAGAAAATGCTTTTTCTTATTTTAGATAAATTTAACATTTCTGGCACCAAGTGAAGGGAACTTATCGGGGTTCGGTTTACGTTTGGGTGATACATCTCATTTATTTATAGCTGCTAAGTTACTGAGTGTTCTCTCTAAAAGCCTGAGAGCGACCGGAGCCAAATACTCGACAAGCCAGCTGTCTCCGGCCTGATGTACGCTTCCACCACGTCCTCTTATGGGAACAAATTCCTTTTTATCTCAGCAGGCAAACTAAGGTCAGCAAAGTCAGGCTGTAAATTCTTTAAATGCTTCCTGATTTTGAAACTTCCCCGAAAAAAAAAACATCCCAGAATTAGTGAGGAGCAGCCAGAAGCTTTGCAGCCTTGGCCTCAGTGGCCTTTATTTAAACATTAACACATAAAGATATTTTTGCCTTAAAATGATGAATAAAATAAAAACATTATGAGTCAGATGCTGATGTGTTTTAAAAACAAACTCCAGTGATTCAGCACAAGTACATGTAATACTACACCCTCTGTAGCCAGCTCAGGACTTGTTGAAATCTGAAGCAGCCTCGGCCGCCTTCAGAGGTTCTGGGATGTCAGGAACGTTTACTAGAACACAGCCTGCAGTTTGGACTCGGTGCCGGTTTCTTTTGGCTACCAGCGACATCCAGTTTGTGCCGTGGTGCTGGTTCCAGCTGAGCTTTGAGGTGTGTCCAGCAAAATGCCGTCATTAAATGTTTAATAATTTACCTTAAAGAAAGATCACCTTGATTAAAAGTCTGAGTGAAATGATTAAAAACATGTTCTTGGTCCAGATCAAAAGTTATTATTTAAGCATAAAAGCATTTTTAGTCTCTCTTTGGTTCCTTTATCTAATCTGCTGCTTGAACACAAAACTTTGACTTTGTTTGCTAAATAATTATTTGTCTTGTTTGTTTTTTAATTTAGAACAAATGTTTGTTTGTGGGGAAAGTTCTCATTAGTAATTTTTAATGCATTAGAGTCTTTTTGTGTGTACTATTCAAGTTTTTACTATGTTACCTCCAAATTGAAGTATTAACGTGTTTTTCTCATGTGTACTAGTACTCAGCTGAATCAGTAGATTTAACTCTTTTATCATCATAATCATTTGTACCAAATCTGTGATTTTACTTTTTGTTCTCATAAATAAAAATGCATGAAATAAAATGATGTTTTTATTGAACAAAACTTTTTAGTTTAGATCTTATTTTGAAAGGTTGAAACGTGTTCCTTAAGTCAGCCAGTTTTCATTTGCTGCCAGAGCAGCAGAGCTGGTGATGTTCAGCCAAGAGGGAGGGGGCTAGATGAAGGAATGTTCTCCACATGACCAGGTGCCTCTGAGGGGACGAGCAACACGCTGGATGCTTCAGATCAGCTCTTGATGTTTCCACCGGTGCTCGGATTCTGCTGTTTAACTCATCATCCTCACAACGTTTAAAGATCTGGGTCTGTCACTGAGTTTTACCAAAAGATATATTCTTTTAGTTTTTGTCCACCGTTACTGGGCAGAATGTCAGGATGCTTCAGCGTATGGGTGTGTGTCGTCCTCCTGTCCCCACTTCTGACAGCTGAAGGGACAATTGAATGCTTGGAGAAAGAAACACCTTTGGAGCTGAACACCATGGAGAAACCCACGGACTGTTTGGTAGAGTGCAGCTCAATGACTTACATCAAAAAAATCCAGCTTCAGGACAACCACAACATTCAGATTAGAGACTCTAGAGAAGGTAAGAAATGTTTTACACCAAAATAAGATAATAATACTGGTAAATAAGACAATGATGTAGATTATCAGACATGGAAGTGATGTCTCTCAATCCATCACTTTAAATAATCTGCTGTAATTTCACCTGACAAACAGATTTTTAACTAGTTTACAGATAAAACACATCACTTTGACCAATTTCCCTTAAAAACAGAAAATAAACAACAACATTTAAATCATTTTCATTAATCAATATTAAACTAAACCAACATCTTTCGGTTTTAAGAGCTGTTCTTGTGATCCTGTTTTCATGGACTTATTTGTTTTGTCAGGAGAGCCTGGAGAATACTGCTGGTCCACTGAGTTCAAGTGTAAGATTGGAGAGAGGTTTCTGAATGCATACGTGGTGCTGCCTGTGGATGTATCTGCGCTGGGAAACCAACCACTGGAAGTTAAAACCACAGGGTCGGCCACCACAACGCTGCACGTTCACAACAGCCCCACAACCATCGCAGAGAGCTGCGGCCTCCTTTACAAAGTCACACAGTTTATCAGCTCGCCCAACACGGAGACCTCGTTATTCTGCGTTCAAGTTGTCATCCAAGGAAACGAGCCGGGAGACAGAGTCCTCACATGTCCTCCATATCTGGTCACTTTCTGGCAGAGAAGTCCAACCTAATCCAGCCAGCATGGAGGTGGATAAAGTGCTCAGATTATAGCAGCCTTAATGCTACAGTAAAAGTTCTCATTGGATTATGTAAATATTTAATCAGAATATTAATGCCTTTTGTAGTCGGTGGTGTGTGTGTGTGTGTGCGTGTGTGCGTGCGTGCGTGTGTGTGTGTGTGTGTGTGTGTGTGTGTGTGTGTGTGTGTGTGTGTGTGTGTGTGTGTGTGTGTGTGTGATAAAACCAAAACAAAATGGTTTTACTAAAACGTTTTCTTATATGTTTTATTGTTTTTAGGAGATTTTCATATTTCATAATATTAAGAACCCAAAGGTGATTATTTCTTCACTAGACATGGAGTAAACACACACACACACACACACACACACACACACACCACACACACACACACACACACACACACACACACACTTATGGTTTGTTCTTTTTGCAGTTATTCAGAGATGATGTTGAACCAGAGAAGTTAGGATGATGTCATTCACTTGCAGATGGATTTATTCATATTGCTCTTGTTTAGATGAATTAAACAGATGATAAATGTGCTTTCACCCTTCACCAACATCAAGTTAAGTGCTACAGTTATTATTCATCTGCTGCTTTGATGGAACTCTTTATGGGTTTCTGCATTAACTGATAAATTAACATTTATTAAATTCTTTAAGGACTCAAGTGAAGTGTTTTTGTGATTGTAGAAACATTGTAATTGTTTATTTTTTCTGGTAAATAACTTTTTTTGTATAAATAATCTAAAATCAGAGTACATGAATATCTGTGGTAAATAAACTGTACTTTATGTGACTTCAGCCATTTGTTTTTTGTGTTTGAGAGTCTTTAACTTTGTTTATACTAAGATGTAAACAGAGATTTTACTCTTCATTGTCTAATCTGTTCAAATGTTTGGTAAAAAGTTATCATAACCAAATCTGTCCATCAGGAAACCAGCTGGCAAGATGATTAATAACTAAAATAGCTGTACCTGTTTTATTTTTCTATGATTGACTACTATGAATGACTTCTGCAACTTCGATCCATAAATAACAACTTGGTTTTTGAGTGTCATTTACATGTGAGCGTCACTTCGTCTACTTCGTTTATTTATTTTGTTGGCTGGATGTTCAAATCGTTTGCTTTTCAACATTAGAAACAAAAGAGCGCCCTCTTCTGGACGTTGTATAAACTAATGACATTAACCACTGAGGGTTAATGCATTTTGTGCATCATGTAAGGTGAACTAAGAATATATTCTGTTAAACTGAAACTAATTATAATAACAGTAATAAACAAGGTCCTGTTCTAAACACATGTGTAATAAGTGTGGTGCTCCAACATTCACACATGTTCAACTTTGGAATTTAGATGAAATTACAGGAGCCCTAAAACTCCTATTAGATTTCTTTATGATGAAAAATTTTGTTTTGTTACACACACACACACACACACACACACACACACCATATCATATCATAACATATCATAACATATCATATCTTATCGTATTGTCTAATACTTTCCTTGTTTTGTTCATTCTTATTTTTCTCATCGGGACAGCAGTAGCTTGGAGCAGGTTGTCCGCAGTAATTGAAAGGTTGCAGGTTTGATCCCGGCTCTGACCAGAGAACGCAGTTGTTGTGTCCTTGGCCTGCCTTGCCTGCTGGTAGTGGTTGGAGGGACCGGTGGCGCCAGTGTTCGGCATGGCAGGCCTCGCCTCTGTCAGTGCGCCCCAGGGCAGCTGTGGTTACATTGTAGCTCATCCCCACCAGCGTGTGAATGGGTGAATGACTGACTGTGTTGTTAAGCGCCTGGGGGGGGGGGGGGGGGGGGGGGTTGTAGAACCTTAAGAAGGTGCTATACATTTGTCAAGTCCTTATTATTGCTGTAATCCTATGAATGTATTGTGGGGTTTTTATCAATCAGAACAAGATTCATGTACAGGTGCTGGCCAGTAAATTAGAATATCATCAAAAGGTTGAAAATATTTCAGTAATTCCATTCAAAACGTGAAACTTGTACATTATATTCATGCAATGCACACAGACCAATGTATTTCCAATGTTCATTACATTTAAATTTGATATTTATAGGTGGCAACCAATGAAAACATCAAATCTGGTATCTCAGAAAATTAGAATATTCTAAAGGCCAATGAAAAAATGTTTGTTTCTCTAATGTTGGCCAACTGAAAAGAATGAACATGAAAAGAATGTGCATGTATAGCACTCAATACTTAGTCGGGGCTCCTTTTGCCTCAATAACTGCAGTAATGCGGCGTGGCATGGACTCGATCAGTCTGTGGCACTGCTCAGGTGTTATGAGAGCCCAGGTTGCTCTGATAGTCGTCTTCAGCTCCTCTGCATTGTTGGGTCTAGCGTATTGCATCCTCCGCTTCACAATACCCCATAGATTTTCTATGGGGTTAAGGTCAGGCGAGTTTGCTGGCCAATCAAGGACAGGGATACCATGGTCCTTGAACCAGGTGCTGGTGGTTTTGGCACTGTGTGCAGGTGCCAAGTCCTGTTGAAAGGTGAAGTCTGCATCCCCATAAAGTTGGTCAGCAGCAGGAAGCATGAAGTGCTCTAAAACTTCCTGGTAGACGGCTGCATTGACCCTGGACCTCAGGAAACAGAGTGGGCCAACACCGGCAGATGACATGGCACCCCACACCATCACTGACGGTGGAAACTTTACACTGGACCTCATGCAACGTGGATTCTGTGCTTCTCCGCTCTTCCTCCAGACTCTGGGTCCTTGATTTCCAAAGGAAATGCAGAACTTGCTTTCATCAGAAAACATAACTTTGGACCACTCAGCATCAGTCCAGTCCTTTTTGTCCTTGGCCCAGGCGAGACGCTTCTTGCGCTGTTTCTTGTTCAAGAGTGGCTTGACACACGGAATGCGACACCTGAATCCCATGTCTTTCATGAGTCTCCTCGTGGTGGTTCTTGAAGCGCTGACTCCAGCTGCAGTCCACTCTTTGTGGATCTCCCCCACATTTTTGAATGGGTTTGTCGTCACAATTCTCTGCAGGGTGCGGTTATCCCTAGAGCTTGTACACTTTTTTCTACCACATTTTTTCCGTCCCTTCGCCTGTCTGTTAATGTGCTTGGACACAGAGCTCTGCGAACAGCCAGCTTCTTTAGCAATCACCTTTTGTGTCTTGCCCTCCTTGTGCAAGGTGTCAATGATTGTCTTTTGGACAGCTGTTAAGTCAGAAGTCTTCCCCATGATTGTGGTGCCTTCAAAACAAGACTGAGGGACCTTTTAAAGGCCTTTGCAGGTGTTTTGAGTAAATCAGCTGATTAGAGTGGCAGCAGGTGTCTTCTATATTCAGCCTTTTCAGAATATTCTAATTTTTTGAGATACCAAATTTGGAGTTTTCATTAGTTGTCACTTATGAATATCAAATTTAAATGTAATGAACATTGGAAATACATTGGTCTGTGTGCATTGCATGAATATAATGTACAAGTTTCACGTTTTGAATGGAATTACTGAAATATTTTCAACCTTTTGATGATATTCTAATTTACTGGCCAGCACCTGTATTGTTACAACTTTCCTAGCATAGTTATTAGCTTGGCTCATCCCTTTAGTTATGCCACTATAGGCTTACAACTTAGTAGCTGTTGCTGCCATTAACCTTCTCTTTTCTGTAGACCTGGCAAATCATTTTTGGGGTGGTTGCAGCTTTCTTTTTCTCTCATTTATTCAGGGCAGAAATTTGCCCAATAATGTGAGCTTGGTTCTGGTTCTGATGGAGGTTGCTTACTAAAAACTATTTTCCTTCTTACTGTTGCCCATCATACTCTGCCTTGTCATGATGGGGCATGTCATCAAAGTAACAATTTGATGCAATCTGTTGGATTTCTTATACAGGCTCTAGGACAACTATCAACACAATTTGAACCTTTAAGTTCTTTGATATGTGACTTCATGTGGTCTGGAAAAGCAAAGTGAACTCAATTGATTTTTTTTTTAATTTGTTTAAGAATGACCATTTTTGGTGTTTGTTGTAAAATTTGTAAACATAAAATCAGTTTTGTTTGTAATTAAAAACAGTTTATTTAATGTCTTCTGAGGTGTTAGCCTATGAAAAGAGGATCTGTATAGGGTTTATTTTTCCGGAATGAAAAAACTACTGCTTTGATTCTGCTATCATTTTTAACCATAAGTTTACAGAAACACTTGACTGTACCACGTTTGTCGCATAGGGGTAGTGTCCAAAGTTCAAACAAACTAACAAAAACGAGAAAAAATAATCAATTACATGGTTTGTATAGATTTAGGCCAATGTATTTAGTTTGTATTTACGGGAAAAACAAAATAAGGCCTTCGCTTCTTGAGTGTTTTGGGTGAAATAGGGTGTATAAAGCATGAGCTTGGACCCCGGCTGGTGGAGAACGGTAGAACAATCCAGCAGGCAGGCAGGCAGACTGCTTGGAACCCGAACTCTGTCGGTTAGCTGACATTTATTAAACAACGGGCGACTGACAGTCAGTTTAAATGATTAAGTCAACTTCACCGGTAAACGATGTAACCGAATGTGAAGAGCACCTCGGTGGAGACCGCAGGAGACGTTCGGCCACCAACTTTGGTTGGAGGCGCAGCTCACCATGGCATCCCAACCGAGGTATGGAGACCCCTCCGCGGTTACCTGCTAGCAGCTAGCCCTGCTGCGGTGCTTAAACTAGGTTCAGCGGCTGAATTCGGTCCGTGGCAGCGCTCGGGACACGTCTGAAAGCACTGGTTTAGGTTCAGTTTTACTTATTTGTCATTAAAAATGTTGTTTTGACTTGTTAATGTTTGGCGACTTGAAGACGAGAGAGAAGGAGCTGGAATCAGCTGGAAACACGGAAGGCTGGTTTTACACACACGGAGCTGTGAGGGGTTAAACGAGGCATTTAGTCAAGTTAAGAGTTTTCTCGTTAATCTAACCAACTAGTCGCCTACCAGCATGGGTTATTTAAACCTTACACGAATTGCTGTTGGACAGTTAAACTTTTCTCAATTAATCATTTAAGCGCAGCATTGTATTCATTAGAAAAATAAATGTTGTGTTTTGTTTGTTTTTATTTATTTTCATTACAGTTTCCTGTGAAGTCTCTAGTCTTGTTTACCAAATTGATCTTGGGCTGTAGAAGGGCCATGATCACACCCACTTATTGTACACCCCATTTCAGCTAAATTATCTGTGTTTAAACAACACACACAAATAAATAAATCATAAATTTGTGTCTAGCATTATAAATACGTTCCTGTTTCTTCATGGTCAAGCACTTGAGGAAAATATAATCTGATTATTTTTAATCAAGATTGGAATTGCAATTGTTGAATTTAATTGGCTATAGAGCTGAGAAACGCTATCCAGAGTTCACATTTTAAGGAGACTGCAGGCTCTGATTTACATCACCAAGTGGCAGAGTTGAGCTCAGCCGTCCCCCAGTTGGGGGGCAAACAACTGTAGCAGCAAAAGGCCTAGGGTCCAAAGTTAAAAACTGTGTGTGAAGTAGGGATGTCTCATTCCAATATTGATATCGGAAGTAGTTCGATATCTGCCCAAAAACAGTGTATCGGATTATATCGGACGGCATCAAAAATCTCCGATATAAGCAGTTCGTTAAGGTTGAAAGTTTTGCAACCTGTAGTTAAGAAAAAAATGTTTTTTTTTCATACGTTAGGTCTTGTTCTCCGATTGAGTAATATCACTTCATCAAGCCTTTCATACATTCCACACTACGAAATAGGTAAAAGTATGTATGATTTGTGCTGATGTTGTGTCAGATTTATATTGGTATTGGTCAATACTGAAGACTGCAGTATCGGTGTCGTATCGGAAGTGAAAGTGTTGTATCAGCACATCCCTAGTGTGAAGTAGGGCTGGGCCATACAGCCTATAATCAATATTTTGATATATTGAGGATTTCACCTCGATAACGATAAATGGACGATAACTACAGGTATGCGCAGAAACAAAGTTGTCCACTAGATGGAGCTGCCACATGTATTACGTTGAGTCACATTTTTACACGACTCAAGGTGGTACAGCTTCTTAAATGGACATGAACTTTGCCAACCTACACACATATGTTCATTTTTTATTATCAAACTTACTGACGTGAAAAGTTATCTCTTAAGAGTCAGAAATTTTGATAACGATACATTTTCTATTTATTGCCCAGTCCTAGTGTGAAGTTAGAGACCAAAATTAATGTTGTACTAGAATCTACATAGAAAAATTCGTATTTTACTTTATCTAAAGTAAATCCATTAAGAAACTGGTATTTTTTAGGCTTTAGTTTTTAACATATCTAAACCTTACTCTTCCACCTGATCCATCAGTCACATGTAGCACTGCTACTAAAGCTTATTGGGCAAGCATGCAGTAAATTTATATATTCATATATATATATTAACATTAACATCACCGGTCGTAACAAAAATAAACATTTATTTTTTTCAGCAGTGCCCACACATTGAAATAGAGCTAAATGGAAAGTGTTTCTGGATGCCATGCCACAGCACGTGTGGGGTGTTTATAATTCTGAATAATAACGGCATATTATGTTTTACATGAGTCCCCAGTCACTGGTGTGTTTTGCTCACATCCTTCCAATGACTTTTTAAAAATGCCACATGTGAGTTTAACTTTCAGAAGAGGAGGAACTGCTCCTCCTCTCATGACAAAAGATCACAGCCTGAGTTTGCCTTCTAATCCACCGCTAAATGAAATGAATGCAATTTATTTTCATTAAAACCATCGATGAAAATATCTACAAACCTCACTTTATTGCTCAGAGGTTTTATTTTATTCTAAAATAGATTTGTGTGAGTTGGGGAAAAAGTACACCAAGCAAACTAAGATATATTATAATCAAACATCCCCCCTACATTTAGAAATATTGTAAATATTTCATTTTCATTTTGCTTCAAGTCTGATTTAGCAGAAAAGCACAAACAACGTTCTGGTAAATATGATGCTGATGACTTGTGCTTCGTGAACAGTTCCCATTCACTGAGAAACTTTGTAATACTTACTCATTTTAAAATGATTGTTTACGCTGAGTTGCTTATGTATTCTAAACATTAGCTGCAGTGGCTAGCTCTGAAGAAGACAGAGTGGTCAAAACTGTCAGCAAGGTAAAACAACCTTTCCTGTGTTGAAAAAAGAACCTAATGCAATCAGAAGAAACACGCAGAAGGAATACACAAAAGATGTTTAAATTTTGAGATACGCTGCTAATTACGTGCAAATGTGTATTTTATGCTGGTTTGCTAACGTGTGCGTCTGTGTTTTTGGAAGCAGGTGTCTTTGGGGCTGCCTTGCACATTTCAGCGGAGGCTTATGGGCTCGACACACGGGAGGCGACATCGCCTCTCCTCCATTTATTTTCAATGAGACATGCGCAACAAAGCGATAATCGCGGGTCTCCCTCCTACTAAGCCAGGGGTCTGCAACCTGTTCCCATCCAAGAGCCATTATTACCTGTTTCCCACAGTAAAGAAAACACTGGGAGCCACAGCAGCCACAGCGTTGTGGGCGGGGCCTACCCTCAGACAGCAGAGAGCTGCTTTAACCAATCACAACAGGTGACAGCAGCCGGTACCGGTCGCTCGTGTACATCAAAGTTATCTTTCATAAGAAGATAATCAATAAAACGATTTATATAAAATGAATCCAGAAGTTGTAGCCCGCCTCTGCCTACAATATTTTGATATTTTACACCCTGTTGGTGGTTTTACTGAGCAGGTGCCACTTTTGTCATACATTTCTTTTTAAAACATGTTTAGACTGTTCAGAATACAAATCCAGGCTCTGTCACGTTTGATTGTTGTAATTAAACTTTGTAGGTGGGGAAGGTCAGAAAAGGATCAGATCATTTTGTTTTTCCCTCGTTTACAGTGACGGAGATAACTGCGCAGTGTGCCTGGCTCTGGTGTTAATCAAGTTAAATTATATCTCTTTGCAACAATTTTCACAAGAAAACAGAACGGTTAAAAGCAGGGCTTGTGTTGACCAGATAGTTCCCGTATTTGACCGTTTATTTTGACGGAGAAAGAATAGAAAGAATTACCCCGACGCAAGCAGACGAACTGACATTTTATTCGTTACGCACATCAGAGATGTAGCTAAATCACTCAAGAAAAGATTCCCATCTGAACATCTGAGCCGGACACTGCTCAGCGCAGCTCACTGTCAGCGCGTACGTACGGTGCACAACGAGCTGAAGATGTGGAGAGAGGCTTGGAGCGCATCGCAGAACCAGAGCGCATGCAGGATGATTCCTCTGACTGAAGCGAGACTTGTCACTTAGAAAATGTTCCCTGATTATGAAACTTTGGCTGAATAGTGCTTGTTCCTGTCTCCAATGTGGCGACACATCCATGAGCCGTCTGAGGAGAATCCCAGAATCTCACATCCTCGTCAGCTCCGAAAGCGCCGATATGATTACGCACAAGCGTGACCCATGAACCCGGTCTCACAGTAAGACCGGGTTGGAACTGTTCAGGTTTACTCAGACAATCTTTACATTTAGAATTGGCATACAGATGTAAAATTAATGCAGTAAAATATAAAGCATTTTATTTAAATATCCATTCATTATTTTACAAGCACAGAGAGCTGCATCAGATGGATGGAAGAGCCACATGCGGCTCCAGAGCCACGGGTTGCCGACCCCCGTACTAAGCGAAATGCGAAAACGTGCGTGTGAAATTTTGCGCTCGTGCACGTGTCGTGCACAGACGACCCAGCAACGCGATCCCAGAAAGTTGAAATATTTTCTACTTTTCATCGCTGTCACTTGGACGAGGACCAATCAACGGAGGTTTCATTCACTGACCAATGAGCGGACAGGATGCTCCGTACATCTCCGAGCAAACATGAATGAGAAGTTTATTATTATTATGTTTTATATAGTAAAATCAGAAGTAAGATTTCACATAACTCTAGCAGCACCTTGTGAAACATCATATCTACAGTTTTTTTTAACTCTGAACCGCTTAAATAACCTTAATTTCCTCCAACCTGACACAGCAAATCAAAACAACAGAAGTTTTGATTTTGCCATGGAACAGAACGCGTCGACGGCTTTGCCGCTGCCGCGAGTCGCCTCCCGTGTGTCAGGTATTAAAGGCGACAAATTTCGCTGATCGCAGTCATTTGTCACCTCCCATGTGTCGAGCCCATTACAGTCATGTTTTGTCATAAAGTAAAGTCTAAACTGACGCCTGAGATTTCTTTGTTACTAATTATTTTCACTTGTAGGTAATATGATCATTGAGGTCACCAAGCAGATTTGGGATCACTATTTTTAAGGACTTTTTTGACTTACAATGCTAGTTGTATCCATTCACTTAGAAAGAAAGAAAACAATCATTTATATTGCGCCTCTCAAGGTAAAAATCACGCTTCACAAAAGCAACAAATATTCAAGTATAAAAAGATTTCAATTTTTTTTTTACTGTTTAAAATTATAAAAAATATAAATTGTGATTTTAAAAATGTAAGGAAAGGGAGAGAGAAAATGAATAGGAATGAGTAAATCAGTGGATCCTGGGAAAGGCGGAATAAGAGCAGAATAAAGAAAGGGTGGTGACAAAGGTCAAGCAAAAGCCAGCTTAAACAAGTGAGTTTTCATCTGTTTTTTAAAGGAGGCCACTGAGTCCACTGATCTTGGGCTCACTATGTTTTATAATAAGCTAAAGCGAAAGGAGTACAGCCGGGTCAGGAGAATGACTGGATTGTTTGAAAACATTTTTTTTTCCCATTTCTTTAACTCTGGGAAATATGTCAACAGACAGAATTTCAATTATTGGTGGAGTATCCCTTTAAGTAATTGGCTGTCACACTAACGTAGGGTAATGAGGTTAAATGCATCACATTGTATTAACCACGGGTTACAATTTCAGATGAGCCTGCTCTGGTATTTTTTAAAGAAACTAAAGGCAGCAGAGGAAGAGAGCTTTGGTCAGGTAAACAAAGCAATGCCACATCATACAGGATACGTTATTGTCAAATATGCTAACCGTTCCCATATCGTTGTTTCATCTGGACTGGGGTTTCCATATTGCAAAGCAGTCCTGACTCTTTTGGAACATGTTCTAATTGAAGGCCCGCTGTGGAATTTGGCACTAAGCTGTTGGGAGCTATTGTCCTTATGGCACTGTAAGCTTCAAGGTGGGGGCTCTATGGATTGTTTGCCCAGTTCATGTATTAGTTGTTCAATTGAAATTAAATCTGGAAAACTGGTAGACGTGATGTGTTCCTTGAACCTTTTTGAAGTATTGTTTGTAGACCTCTTCCTGCTGTATCAGACCACTTTGGATGATGAGATCAAAATGAAATAGTTTGGCTAAACAATTATTAAATTTAGCCAAAACAAAACATAGTACATAATTAAAAGTGCCTCATATCAGTGGGTCAACAATGGTAATAACAGGGGAACACTTTAAGCTTGTTTTGCAGCCATGGCCCTTGCACAGATATGGAAAATATCTAGTCTCTAAGCCAACATTTTAGACTCTAAAAGTGAAAGCCATAATCTGATAAATTTCAAGTATAGCTTCAGAATGTCCGTCTGAAAAAGAGAACAAAATGAAGGTGTTGCAACGACCTGGTCAAAGTCCAGTCCTTAACGTGACAGAAAGGCTTCAGCCGGTCCTTAAGAGAGCTGTGTAGAAACCCATGTCCTCAATGAAGTGAAGCAACATTGTGTAAATAAAAAGTGGAGTTGCATTCCTCAACAACAATGTGAGAGACTGACGTAGTGTTTTTGAGGATATTTAAGAGATGTTTTTGCTCCTAAATTTGGTCCAACAAACTACGGGTACTTGGCTTTTGGAGTAAGAGTTTCTGCACTTTTGCTTTAGTTTGGGTAAACCGATGAGGACATTGCATAATTGGTGGTTCATCTGGAATTGTATTATTAAATAACTGATGAAAAGGTGACTTTAGTCAAATATCGATCCAAATTGTGGGAGATTTGAATAATTGAACAGCCTTTTATTCGTGCTCGTCTCCACTCTCCATCTGAAATTGACTCTTGTTGTATTTGGAAATGTTAATTTGAATTTCCCGAACAAATCACTAATAACAAGATTTTTAACATGTCTCTGGTGTTATTAGCCCGCTGTTAATTATTTTTGCTGTGTTCTGGGCTGAGTGCTTTTTCAGCAATGGAAGCACTATTTTAACACTTCAATACAACATCAATAACTAAGAGTAGACTGATTGGAAAGGTTGATTCAGTGTTTCTGATTTTCTGTTAGTGATATAGCCTGTCATTTTCTTCATTTTTGATTAATGCTGTTTTTAATTTGAAATTTGACCTTGGTGTGTCACCCATACATCTGGTTATTTCTAATATTTAACCATTCTCAGCGTCTAGCAAAAAAACAAAGATACAAACGTTTTCTTGTCATGAAACATGTGTTAAGTTGTTTACCTTTGGGTATTGGTGGTGTGACTGGGCAGTACCAGTCCCTGCTATCCAAGGGGTTCAACCAGCGTATCTGCTACATTAATGAGATAGTGCTCATGTGTTTGGCTTAGTCCCAAATCTTTTCTGCTTCACTTGTTGCCATGGCAGCATCCCACTGGGACTGTGGTGAGGATGATCAGCTCTGTATTTTAAGGAAATATAGAAATATTTGAAGTCTATACCACATACTGTTTCCAGAATGAACTGTTGATGTAGCTTTATGGGATTATTTAAATAATTTTTTAGGGTGTCTTATTAGATCACATCTCTTCTTTGGGGACTTAACAGAAAAGATGTGAATGTTGTCGTGAATCCTCTTAGCTGGTGCGAGCCAATTTACACTCGTTTTCAGATTTGAACTTGCCAGACGTTTCGGTTTCACTCCCCTTGGGGGAAGGAGTCTGAGAGGAAAGCACACATGTACTTAGTTCTGATTTTTGGTATCTTTATAATTCGTAAGAAATTCTTGTAATAAACATTCATATTACTAGAATTTTATATGAAAACCTCTAAAATAAAACAATCTGTTTTCATTTCTTGTCAGTGAGAGGGAATAATCACAATAGTTTTATTTTTCGATTTTGAATATGAATCTGAAATAGAAAAGGCATTAATTTCTCTCATGTTTGTATTTTCTAGTGTACACAATGAAGACAGGAACCTTCTTCGCCTCCGAGCTTGGGAACAGAGGACCCAAGAAACCAGCCAAACCAAAGAAACAAACCTAGAAAATGTGCCGCTCTTTGGGGAACCATACAAGGTAAAGAACAACATGATGAGTACAATTTGTCAGGAAGGTGGTTTGTAGGTTCAGACAATTTTGTTGTGTTAACATGTAAACAGAAGTGAAGCACGTGACAGGACTTTTTTTTTAATTCATTCATTTTTTCCCCCCTTTTTTTTATCAATAGTAGTGTACTAATTTTGGCTCTATCTAAAAAGTTGTAAAGGTTCAAAATAACAGTTCCTCTGTAAACACAGTAAGGGAAAAACAAGATGACTATTCCCAACTAAACCCATATCTTTTAATTTTATAAATACACCATCTGTCAGAAGTTAGGGAACTCTTGAACTTTTATTTTCATTGGAAACTCATGAAAATATACAGTTTGATGGAAATAATTAATGTTTTCTTGAAACTTTGCTCTATTCAGAGTTAATGGATATAAACACATTTTTGAGCTAATGCAGCCTTCTAGAAATTAGGGTGTTTGCTGTCAGATTGTCCAAGTAGTCTGAGACTTCAACCCATGCTTCCTGGAGCATCTCACATGATGGACCCCAAATTGAACAAGTGTACCTAGATCTTAAAAAGCAGCTCAGATGATGAAACTGCAACTATGATTCTGATAACAGGCTAACAAATTGAACTAAGATAACCGGCTAGCAGAGCTTCTGACTGACAGTTTATGTGCAGCAGCAAATCAACTATCCTGATTAACAAGGTTATAAAAGCTCATAAATGAAAAATCACTTTGTTGTGTGGGGGAACTTTTCCAGGCCCTTTTTAGCAGGGTGGGACTGGGAGGAGAGTGCTGTAGCCTTTTAGCTGGAAGCTAACCGGAGCCTGGGGCTAACATCACCACCCGGTGGAACACTAGCGACATGGAGGTGGGTGGGTTGGTTCACCGGCACTTGTCAGAGTCAGCCCGGTTACTATCAGCTGCTTAACGACACTGAGCGGACTCACTTTCACGTTTGAAAGCAGCGCTGATTCCAGAAACATCAGCACAAAGTGCGTTCGTTAATCTGAGCCAGCATGACGAACAAGAGAACGGCGCCGCTAACTCAGTTAGGGTGTTGCGTTCCACCCTTCCTAAGGGTCTACGTAGGGGGCGGGCATATTACGTGAACGGACCCATCTGATTGGCCGCATATCAGAAGGGCTACATTTGATTGGTCAAATAATACTTCCGTGTAAAAAAGAGCTGGTTTACAAAAAGGTGCTGTTTGACACGGATGGAAATGTTTGAACCAAACATTTATCGCCATTTTTGACGTGCTTTGCGATGGGCCTATCGCACGTCCTGTTACTGCGATGACGATTTCGATATATTGTGCAGCCCTAGTTAAAACCAAACGTTTTCACATATTTTCTATGTAGTTTTTTTTTTTGCCAGTCCCTCTTCTGAAAGGTAGACAATTGTTTTTCTCTTTCCCTCAGAAAATCTTAATATTGTCCTAGTTTGGCCCAGCACAGTTCACTTTCCAATTGCAGCAACAGCCTTATATCATAACCACATAAGTGGAGAAAATGTTCAGTAGCAATGAGAGAATTTGCTGTTGCATTTAAGTGATATTAACTATTATTTAACATTTAAACTTATTTTCAGATATTTTTATTTATTCAAAAACCCTGGTAAGGGATGTTTTTCTGTATTTGGAGCATCAGAAAAAATTTTATGGTGGAGGTGATGTTTTAAAGTCACTGAGAAACTGCATGCATGCAGTTTGTTGTTTTGCTGCTAACACAGTAGCAGGTGCAGCTGCATATTTTTTCAATAAAAATGTTATGTTGTAATGGAATTCATGCATTAGTTTTTGTTTGCTTTGAACCCAGAGCAGACGTCACACGCCAGACGACATCAACACTGCATACTTTAGTATTTGTTCATTTATCGTGAGTAATATCGACATCGCAGTATTATCGAATATCGCAGGTTTTCCTAATATCGTGCAGCCCTATTGCAATATAATCTGAAGCATGTGCGATTACAATATATACTGCTATATATTTTTCCTTTGTTTATATATGTCAAAATGACATGCTTTAAAAAAAATCCTCATATGGAAAATCTATTGCAGCAGAATAAAGACGTCCAAAAAGTGTAGAATGCTCCTCCTCCCGCTACATGCTTGCAGCCACTGCCATTCTGTTGTTCCAATGTCGGCGGGGGTGCACATCTTAGTGACATCATGTGTTATCGCGGTAGAGCCAAAAACTTATCATTACCCAATTTTATATCGTTTCTACCTTTATATCATTGATATTGCCCACCCCTAAATTTTATTTGTTTCTTTTGCATGAAAATGGGCTTTTTTATTTTTTTGAAAAACAAAAAATCTCAAACATTGAAGTGTGCTGTTTGTCATGAATATGAAGTTCTGTCTAAATTGTTATGTATTTATAATAACAACTTTAATCTTCTTTCACATTGAAGGCATATTTAAAAACATTAACTGAAATCTTCTTTTGGTTTTTTTACTTGACTGAGTTCTGCTTTGGGTAGTGACCGCTTCCCCCTTCCCAGCCAACTAATTCCCTTAATGACCTCTCTGACTAAAATAGCTCAGCCTCTGTGCACCCTGAGAGGGGATACCCAGGGTTTTAAGGTCAGTGAAACAGGAGATGCATCTCCTAGAGATTATTTCTAAGTGGACACAATCATAATGGTTGAACCCTTTTAAAGTTTATTAGTTCTCTGCTTAACCTTTTCCGTTTAAATAAAGACAACTGGAAGAAGTAGTCGAGGTAAATTTGACCAGCAAAATGAAAATAATTGCAGGACAAAAGATAGTAATTGTGTCTTCTATTAAAATGGGGATATGTTTACTTGTGTTTTAAGAACTACCTTTAATTAATCTTTGCCATGTGGTTTTAGAGGTGCTTTTGAAAGAATGTCTGATCGTTCTGCCTGTAAATTGCCTGCAGTTATTCTGAGGAAGAGTTTTTATATAAATAAATAAAAGGAAACATTGAGAGTTTGTTGCATGGGAGGTCTCCTAAAATGCACTTTGTCAGTAACTCTTGACATCATGGTTGTTTTGGAGGACTTCAGTGTTGCTATGCTCAATTAAGATTCTATAAAGTGAGACTTTGGAAATTTTTATTTATTTATTTATTTTTTTTGCAGACGAACAAAGGGGATGAGCTTTCCAATCGAATCCAAAGGATGCTGGGCAGTTATGAAGATGTGAATGATCCATATCCCTTTTCTATCGAGGCTCTACCCATTCCTACTTGTGCATCCTTCTCACAGTCATCTCATTGTCCGCCAAACTCGGATAAATCAGCAACACCTCCATTCCACAATCAAAGCCTTTACTCATCTACCCAAACCCAGAAAGATACATCTGGTCCCAGTTACTCCTCCCAGCTGATGAGGATGTCGATTGCTGCATCTTCTCCTAACCACTCTGAACATTCATCCACTTTTTCAAAGAGTTCCACGAACCTCAATCAGTTCAGTCACTCAGGACGGCAACAAAAGGAGAGTGAAGTATTTTCACATCTCAGGGGATTTGTTGGCCTTCACCAAGAAATGTCTGTTCAGTCTCCTAATGCTACGTCACTACCACTCCCTCATTCCACTGACCATAATATTGACATGGATACTAAGGACACTTTGAATAGACATCAGCTTCAAGGATCTACAGATTATTCCTCAGAGTGCCCCAGCGCCATGGATGTTTCCACACTGAAAATGAAGCATCCGCCCAAAGATGCATCTCTGCCTCAGGCCAAGACTAACTCTCTACCCTCCCAGACGTTTCCTTCACTGCTTTCATCTAAGCATCCCGGGATAGTCATGACCCAGAAACCAACGGCATACGTGCGACCCTTGGATGGCCAGGACCAGGTGGTTAATGAGTCACCTGAGCTAAAGCTATCTCCAGAGCAGTATGTACCACTACCAGACCTAATCAGCAAATCTGGCCCTGCTAAAACCAAGATAATGCCTCAGTTTATGGAGGTAAGTTTGCTTTCTTGGTTCTTGGCAATGAGAGCGAAGCCCTAATCAAATACGTTAGTGCTAATAAGGGAATGGTCTGTCATTTTGGGGAATGTATTTTTTGTGTTAAATGTAATTGGCATAATTAGTATTTTTACCCAAAGTGCTTTGGACCTTTAAAGGTATATTATGTAAGAATTGTGTAATCAAATGATCAGAAAATAGTCTAATGTCTCTATCATGTTGGAAGGAACATTACATTGAAACAGATTTCCTTCTCAGTCGACTGTCCTTTTTTTCTCCTTTCAGAATTGCCAATAAGAGACATATTGTTTGTGTATGATCTGTGAGCCCAGGGCGTTGCAGAGTCTGAGTTTCTCATGTTTTTGGTAAATGGGCTGCAGTAACCATATTTAAGTGCAAGATGTCAATCTTACTTCATTCTTACATGTTGCACCTTTAACTCAAATCCACACACACATCTTGCTACGTTGCAGGTAAAAATCACACCTTAGAAGTTTGGTAGACAGATGAATATATTTACACTAGCACTATTCATTAAATCTCTGTGGTAGTTAAATTACAGACAGTGGCCACTTTAGGGTGATAGCTATTGTTGTTTAGCATAAGACTTTTATTGAAATTTCAGATTTAAAAAATGAAGGTTCTTGGCCTAACCTGTAAGCCAGGTTGCTATCATGTTTTCCTCTTAACAGAATTTAAACAAACAAAATTTTGGTTCATTATGAGTTTAATTTTAGCTAATTTAGGATGAGATAAATTGATATGGTGGTGCAGTGAGTATGTAAAAAAAGTCTTCAGAGTCTAAATTTTAGATACCTAATGGTCTCACTGAAATGTGATGTCCACCTTTTATACCAGTTACAAACGTAGTCTAGTGCAGATAAGTTCTTACACCTTTTTCAATTTGTATTTTCATGTCAAATTTCTTTCTCATTGATACTTTTTCAAGTTACATGATCTTAATATTGCATGCTTGTCAAGCAGTGTGTGTGTGTGTGTGTGTGTGTGTGTGTGTGTGTGTGTGTGTGTGTGTGTGTGTGTGTGTGTGTGTGTGTGTGTGTGTGTGTGTGTGTGTGTGTGTGTGTGTGTGTGTGTGTGTGTGTGTGTGTGTGTGTGTGTGTGTGTGTGTGTGTGTGTGTGTGTGTGTGTGTGTGTGTGTGTGTGTGTGTGTGTGTGTGTGTGTGAGCTCGACCTCAGCTGCCTCCGATAAATTCACCCCTGGTATCAGCAGAACAATAAATAAGCTTTGTCACCAACTTGCATAACTGCCCCAGGGCCCCATTCAGCCTGAACTTCTCTCAAACACTGACCATTCAGAAGGAAGAAATCTGAAAGATAAGCCTGCAAACAGAAATATAGCTGTTGTCTCAGTCACACGAGGTCTTTATCCGACATTGGCATTGGCTTATGATTTTGGCCTTATTGCTTAATTTGTTAATTCTGTAGCTCTTAAAGGCTTCAGTTAATGGTGGTGGTAGAATTTGCAGAGGGGTAAATGTTTTAGTACATGAAAAGTAATTTTTTTAATTCAGTTATGTCCTCTTTTGGTGTCTGTTGCCGAGGCTTTTTCAATTATGATAAAAGTCTATGCCAGCATTGAATATTAATATTTAATATTTATATAAACTTTCTTTTTCTCATTTAGAAAACGTTTTTGTTTGTTCCATTACATGTTGCAGTGATATTTTCTGTTCTATAAAATTAAAACTTGACCAGAATGTGAACACTAGTAGCAGCAGATATGTTTTGTCATTGCTAATCATGCCTATATTGATTAAGTTGTAAAATTTAGTTTTGAAATACTCTTTCAAAACTCTGTTCTACTTTTTGTGACTGCAATTAGAGTACTCACAGATGCTCATACTTGTTATTGTGATTCATTTTAAGATGGTGCCAGAGGAACCTCACTGTGTGGAAGACATTTTAAGGGTAAGTTCAATTCAATTTCATTTATCTAGCGCCAAATAACGACAAGAGTCATCTCAAGGCACTTCACATAATAAACATTCCAATTCAGGTCAGTTCATTAAGCCAATCAGAAAAAATGTTTCCTATATAAGGAACCCAGCAAATTGCACCAAGTCACTGACTAGTGTCAGTGACTTGGTGCAAACCTCATACTAAGCAAGCATTTAGCGACAGTGGAGAGGAAAACTCCCTTTTAACAGGAAGAAACCTCCAGAGAATCCTGGCTCAGTATAAGCAGCCATCCTCCATGACCCACTGGGGATCGAGAAGACGGAGCACACACACACACACACACACACACACACACACACACACACACACACACACACACACACACACACACACACACACACCAATTAATGTGTCCATGGTTACACCGTGATTGTTTAGTAAATATTCTATTTGGCGAGAGATAAACTTTATTGTATTTATCCTAGTGAATCTATTGTTAAACGGGTAAACTAGCAGTAGCACATTCAACGTCAAGGAAAGCAAAAAGCTATTATCAGGAGAGGGAGAATGTTTAAGTGGTTAGCAGCAGTGTGCTAGACGATGGCCCCCTCCATGAGGCCACCACAGCTCAGCAGAACATCTTTGTCGCTTCTGGGGAGAAAAACACTTAGAGAAAAAATAAAGTTAATAGCTGAAGTAGCAGGAAATAATACAGTTAAAGAGCACATTGTAGAAGAAAGTAGTAGAGTGAAAAGTGGTCAGTGTGTATCCTCTGACTCTAAAGCTGCTCAGAGACATTAAACACTCCTATATGAACCCATTATGTATTTTATTATTACATTATGTGTCCTGTAGGTTTTCAGTATTTTTTTTTTCTTCAGATTTTGTGAGTTTTTGCAAAGCACGTTTTCCTCAGCCTGAGGCGTGGTGTTGAATGAGGAAACAGATTGTTTTACTTTGTTAAATCTTCTTAAATGTTTAAAATGTTTTGTCCTAACCTGTTGTGAATGGAGAGATTTTGAGGGATGGCAGGTTGTGTCAGTTACGTTTTTGATATAAAAAAAATAAATCAATAAATACAAATTAAAAGCTATTATCTGACATCTTCTATTTATCGATGAAAACAAATATGAAATAATTGTGATGCATCGTGATGCATCGGGATATCGAATCGAATTGAATCGTTGACCCAATAATCGTAATCGAATCGGGAGACAAGTGAAGATTCACACCTCTAGTTTCAGTGCTGTGATATTCTCTAAAACCAGACTGAAATTCCTCAAACAGATCTTTAGTTTTTTAAACACTCACATACTTGGATGGCCACTATTTTCTCCAGAACTTTGGATAAAAATGGAAGGTTAGATATTGGTCTATAATTCATTGGGTCATCTGAATCCAGAGATGGCTTCTTAAGTGAAGGTTTGATTACAGCAACCTTAAAATCCTGTGGTGCATATCCGTTTACTAAGGATAGATTGATTGTATCTAGAATGGAGGCAGTAACCAAAGGAAATGCATCTTTAAATAATTTGGTTGGGATTGGATCTAAAATGCAAGTGGAAGGTTTAGATGAAGCTAATATTTTTGATAACTCTGAAAGCTCAACTGGATCAAAACGGTTCAAACACAGATGAGGTTCTACAGTTACCTCTGAAGAAGAAGAAGAAAATATCATTTCTATAGCGCCTCTCAAGATAAAAATCACAAGGCGCTTCACAAAAACAAAAAATATAAAAATTGTAAAAATGTAAAAAAGCATTTCGAAAATGTTTAAAAATATATTTAAAATGAGCAAGAATAAGTAATTGCGATTTAAAAGAAAAAATGTTAAGAAAGAGAGAGAGTGAATAGGAAAGAGGGAAATCAGTGGATCCTGAGGAAGGTGGAATAGGTGGGGAGAACCGAATAAAGAGAGTGGTGAAGAAGGTCATACAAAAAAATGATACTGCTCTGATGCTGCCTCACTTACTGAGGAAGAATAAATCGCATTAGGGAGGATGCTAAAGATTGTGTTTCTAATAGAATTAATTTTACTTGTGAAAAATCCCATGAAGTCATTGCTGCTGAGGGCCAAGGGAATAGATGGTTCAGAGCTAAGATTCTGTGTAAGTTTGGCAACTGTACTGAAAAGAAATTTAGGATTATTCTTATTTTCCTCAATTAACGCTGAGAAATGAGCAGTTCTAGTTTGTCGAAGCTTATTTTTATAAAGCACAAGACTATTTTTCCAGGAGAGATAGGCCTCCTCATTGTGCATAGAGCGCCATGTTCTCTCCAATTTTCTAGAGTTTTGTTTTCAAGCTCGTAAATGAGAATTAAACCAGGGAGCCAACTTCATGTCCATAATTACCTTCTTTTTTAAAGGGGCAACATCATCGAATGCCACACGTAAAGAGGAAGTAACATTATGAACTAAGGCATCAGTTTGTGTGGGGCTAGAAATAAAAATATTGTCCTCTGCTACGTTCCTCTGAGATGCTGAGGACAGTAAAGATGGAACAGTTGATTTAAAAGATGCAACTGCGTTGTCAGATAGAGACCCGACTATAGTGAAATTTCTAGTCTAGCTAGTTATAATCTACAGTTCAAGTTGAAGTCATTTTATGCAGGACATAAAAATATTTCACAATAAATTGTAGTCCATTACAAAAAAATGTTTAGCTGAACACAGCTTACTTGACACAGCTGTGGTAAAACAATCATTACTATGCATGTCCCAAAAAAGACACTTGGTCTGCTCGTTACAAATGTAATTCTGAATTTCTTCGTAAAAGTCCTACAAAGATGAAATACAAACCCAAGCAGATCTGGCTACCAGATCTAACGTCATTAGCACAGATTGTGTGGACCAACCAAAATCTTCAATGTCAACATGCCAATGTAATTTCTGTCATTCGTTCAGACCAGCCAGTGGCATCACTCAGTTTGAATATTGGGCATCTGAAAAATTATGAGAGCCTGGAAATTTGCCTCAATTTATGGATTTCCCACCCCTACCATACACTTTTATTTTTGCTGAAATGAACGAGTCAGTATTAAAGTACTACATCTCCAAAAATGAAGATATCATGAAAAGTCTAATAATTTTGTCATTCATTTAAAAAAGGTAAACTCTTATTGTGATAATTCGTCACACGTAGTAAAATACTTTGAAAAAGTATTAAATTTAATTTTGAGATCCTGCATGTACCCTGTTAAAGACCCTGCAACAAGTATGATCCTGACTGGTTTGAGAAACTCAAGCCTTTTGACAACACAATCAAAATATTTCAAGTCTTCTCATTAACATCGAGTGTTTATACAATCTCAATCAAAAGTTTAAGACCACCTGGAAAAGGGCCACATATCGTATTTTTCATGGTTGGAGCTTAACAAGGTTCAACAAGAAGAGACGGGAGTGAGACAAAACATTTTCTAAGCAGCTATTTATTGAAAACTACACAAAAACCTAAACGTGCTGTTTAACAGCTGATCAAAAACAAGACCACGTGCTTTAAAAAAGGTCACATCTGCAAAAATGTGGATTCATTGTCATTTTCTGTTGGGTAGTCGCACTGTCTTGATGTTCTGATGAAAAAGGCAGAAAATGTCCCCGTTTTCAAATGTGGGGTTGTTGAATTCCATAAGCTGGGTTTATTGCAGCGCCACATCACTGGTGAGGTCAGAAACAGTAAGACTGTCATCTGGAAGACTTAAATGATCCTGAGGGTTATGTATTAAATTTATATGGAAGACTCAAAAAATGTCATCAGCACTGAGCTGAAGGATCCCATTGGCTGTCCTTGAAGACACTGGATGATCCTTGACCCAACTTGAGGCCTCACTGGTGCTGACTGCATCCTTATAACCATCAGATGGCATCCGAGATTGAAGGGCTTCAAAAAAAAAGAAAGTTTTCAGAGACCATGTCTTCTAACGCCTATTACTTACAGGAAGCATCAGTGGCATGGAACAGTTTACTTGCAAGCTTCAATGCGGTTCAGCCCACACTGGGAGAGTGTTTGCTGCAGAACGGCTTCCTCGCTGGACTTCAAAAATCACAAAATCCCTCAAGACTTCAAAGTTTATGGTTCGTTTATGCCATCCGCCATTAAACCAAAAAGAAGAAATCACGATTGATATCACTGTTTGATGTCATATATGATGATGTTCCTCTCCACTGCCAGGATTAAAGCCATTAAAGACACGCCACTGCACTTCTGGAATGATGCAAGGAGTAGTCATTACGTCACACATATTGGCGTAATCTACATGGATACGGTATTGCATCATTATAATAGTCTTATTTTGAAAATTGACAGTGTGTGATTTCCTGTCTAGCTCTATGTTAACTCTGGAAATTGACTAGCCTGGCCTGCCAGACTCGCCCTCCGTTTAATTCTACACAGATAATTAGTCTGGTTACTCACAGGCAGAGGTACGGGAATAGCCAGTTCAAAAATAACCAATCAGAAAAAAGGTGTAAATGCTGACTGAACTGCACAAAAGCTGTAGTTTTTCTGCTGTGGTCAAAAATGGTGTCTTTAGAAGAAACTGAACATTGCAGTGGGTGACGTACTCTGCTCATTGCTGATTGGCTTGGTTAGAATTCTCAGGGGGTGGGGTTATTTGAATAGGAGCGTTCCCAGGCTGGCCAGGCTAGAAATGAACGTGTCCCAGAAGCGGAAACGGCAAAAATCGAACCCGATCATATCTTTAGCGGCGCAGTGTGCCGCTTCTGGGACACACCTAAAAATTGTCGCATCGTGGCTGGTTTGAATCACCCCATAGACTATAATGGATTCTATTTAACCCTCCCACTGTCCTAATGAGTGTGACCCTGTGAGGAAAGTTGACCATTGAGCAGGGTTGATGGTTTATCCCTTGGGTTCATGTGGCAGGGGTGAGGAGTGAGCACTACCTCACCCCTGCCACATGGACCTCAAGGGATAAACCATCAATCCTGCTCAATGGTCAACTTTCCTCACGGGGTCACCTATAAAGACAGTGGGAGGGTTAAAGCAGTGACGTTCCACTGCCATTCTGTGCCACTGATGCTTCCAGTGTGAAACAGGTTCAATGCCACAGAACTGCCTGTTTGGGCCTGGCAAGAGAAGATGGTACCAAACATTGGACATTGAAAGGTGGAATAAAGTTATAATTGATGAGAAGACAGTTAACTTTGATGGTCCTGATGGTTTCCAACATTACTGGCATGATGAGCAAATTCCACCTGTGATGAATTCTACGCACCACAATGGAGGGGCCACCATAAAAGTCTGGGGTTCTTTTTCCTTCTGTGGAACAATGGAGCTTCAGCAAGTACAGGGATGTCAAACAGGCTGGATGTTGCAGAGAGTATCACTTGTGACTAAGATCCCTCGTCTATGTGGTAATAACTGGGTTTTTCTACGGGATAGTGTTATGGTACATAATGCCCACAGGACAAGAAATCTTCCAGGAGACGAACTTCATACTTTGGACCAATCTGTGTGTTGCCCTGATCAGCTGTGAAACGGCATGTTTCAGATTATGCCTTGTTTTCAATAAATTGCTGCTCAGAAAATGTTTTAACTCCCTTGTTTCCTTGTTTCATGTATGGATCCACTTAGAACCTTGAGATCCAACCACGCAAAGTGATTTTTGGCCATTTTGCAAGTGGTCTTTTTTGTTTTATTTTATTATTGTAATGTCTTTTCTGTTAACAGAATTGTAAAATTGTGAAAATGTCTGTTCTAAAATGCTACGGTAACAAGCTTAACATCCTGTTGTGTAGAAACTGAATTCCTGCCCTTCTTAAGAGTTTTTGAAAATTAAATTAAAAGCACTCCTGTAGGTTTTATTATTTGGAACATTTCAGTGTTCCTCTCCTCACATCTGTCCAAACATTCATTTGTTAAATTCATGTAGAAACTGTAGCTGTCTATATCGGAACTCGAGTTCTTTTTGGGATTGTTTCACTGAACAGAAGAAGTATGTGTGCTTGTTTTCTATTTAATGAACTGGAGCCTGGTTTGAGCCTTATTTCATTTATATATTTATATAATGTTGGTCTTCACAGGAAATGACTCACTCATGGCCCCCTCTTCTGACAGAAGTACACACACCTAGCTCAGATGAACCATCCAAAGCTCCATTCCCAACCAAGGTGAGAGCTCAAAGGTAGAATTTTATCTAGATTTTATTCAAATCAACAGCTTGCAAAAGATTTTCTGATAGTCTTATTTTTTCTTATTGATTTCTGCAATTAGAATATACCTGTTTATTTTTAGCCTGTGCAGGAGAGGACTTAGTTCTGGCTTTTCTGAAAGAGAACACCTTCGTTTTACTATTAGATTCAAACCAAAGCATTTCACATTTCCTAAAATAAGGGGTTTTATTTAGTTTTTGTTTTCATCTTAATACAGTATAGGATTACTATGAAACTACCATGAAACGTTCTTTATCTTAAAGAGCAAATTGCAGGTAATTTTTTTCTAATTCATATAAAATGCTGTCCAAAAAATACTATTTGAAATGCTTATTGTGGATATTTCTTTTTTAAATACATAACAGCATAGTTTTTCTAGGAAAAAGTGGCTTTTCTCGGCAAAGCTTCTAAAAAGGGAAATTTTTCTAAATATTAATTTCTGACGTAACCAAAGGGAGTTAGAAGCTAGGCGCTGCCTCAGCTCAGTGTGGAGAGTGGCTAGTTTTAGGGTAGAGAGGTCATGTTATTGAGTCAGTGTGCATGTGTTTGCTAGTTCTGGATTGTGTTCATTTAGATAAAGTATAGTTTGTGAAGGCTGTACCTCCAGTCACTCCAGCCTGTCCAGACATCAAGTCCATGGGTTTCCAAATAAGAGAAACAATGCCTCTATCTCCGTGCCTGATGGTGTTTTGTGCAGCTGAAAAGATGGAACTTCTGTAGCCCGCATCGGTCGGTACTGGGACAGGGAGGTCGGGCTCTGGAGACCCGTGGCAGGGTTTAAAAAATTAAATGTGGATTTCTGGAGCTCAGATCACCGTCAGAACCAGGTCAGAACCGACCACCAGAAGAGACGCGTGGCTCAGCGGGCTAGCTGGTTTCTGAGTCAGAACCGGATCAGAACCGCCGCTTGGACCACCAGGAGAGGATGTGCTGCTTTCAAAAATACCAGCTTGACTGGCTCGCTGGTGTCTGGGTCGGATCCAGCTCACAGAAGCCCGCATGAGACGACTCTTGTCGTGATTTGGCGCTATATAAATAAAATTGAATTGAAATTATTTGAATGAGCCCCAGAACCGGATGGCAGGCGTCACTCTCCCTCTCTCTGAGACAGGGATGCCCAATCCTGGTCCTCAAGGGCCAGTATCCAGCATGTTTTAGTTTTAATTCGGCTTCAACACCTGATTTCAATCAGCAGGTGATTAACAGGCTTCTGCAGAGCCTGATGAGATGCCGCACAGGTGATTCAACCAGTTAATCAAGTGTGTTGGTGACAGAGGCGGATTTAGCAATTTGGGGGCCCAAGGCGAACACAGACATGGGGCCCCTTACACTAAATTTTTGACAATCTTACCTTTAACTGGATTTGCGAAACTCTCCTCTTCTGACATGAATTGGGGCAGCAGTAGCTCAACAGGTTGAGCAGGTTGTCCAGTAATTGGAAGGTTGCAGGTTCGATTCCGGCTCCGGACAGAGAATTCTGCTGTTGTGTCCTTGGGCAAGACACTTAACCCACCTTGCCTGCTGGTGGTAGTCTGAGGGACCGATGGCGCCTGTACTCGGCAGCCTCGCCTCTGTCAGTGCGCCCCAGGGCAGCTGTGGCTACATTGTAGCTCATCACCATCGGTGTGTGAATGTGTGTGTGATACACTGTAGTGTAAAGCGCTTTGGAGTCCTTACTCTGAGAGGCGCTATACAAGTGCGGGTCATTTATCATTTATTTTCCCTTTATATTAGTCCTCTTTTCCTGTATTTCCCTCCCTTTGAGCACTTTCAATATTTGCTCTGCTTTCTTTTTCCTGTCAGTGCTCCTGTGCTTTAGCCTTAGTTATTTTTTTTTCTATTTTCCATTTTGGTCTGTTTTCCTCCCTTTAAACATTTTCCATTGTCTTTCGTTTCTGCTTCCTTTGATGTTTACATCGAAAAACGACATCACTTTCAGAAGTGAAAATAAAAGCTTTTATGAAGTATGCTGCTTCTTTCTCTTGTTGGAGCCACTTGGATAACTCCATTTCATGCTTCATGTTTTGACTATCGCTTTGAGTTTGTTACGAACACTCCCGCCACTCTTCTTATTATTATTTGTGGTCTTTTGGCAAACAACAATTTGGTGCCTTACCGCCACCAACTGGATTGGAGTGGAATGACTACCAATCACTTCCTGTTTGTGCTTCGCTGTCTTAATGACCCTCTTATGACCATAATTATAACAGGGCCGCCCGGTATTTTTTTAATCTTATGGCTGTAAAATTGTAATAAGTATAAAGTGTGTGTAACTCTTCTCCTTTTTTCAGAACAACCTCAGCTTTTAGTGTATGGTTTGCAATTAGAATTTATTTCCATTAAAGCCTTTAAAAAATCAGCTTAAAAGTGAAAAAAGCAAAAAACGGATTTGAATTTTTTACATTTATTACTGAACAGGAACTTCAAAATTATTGGGCAAACAATTTGGAATGAATAATTTAAACTTTGAACTGTAATGCATCAATTCTTAAAAAAGTTTGAACCTCAGTATCTTTTTTTTTGCAGTTTTTAAGACCATTTATTTTTGTAAACTTTCAGACGTTTTTATTTGATGTGGTAGACCTTGAAGCAGTTTCTCTCCAGCTGCAGGCAGAGCGCACCTCACACTGCCATGGGGTGCTTCTCTTGCACACCGTGCACTGCTACACCAAAAACTTTTGTTTTAGCAAATATAATTATTTATTGTAAAAAGATAAATAATGCTGGATTGAAGCTGAATCTTACAATTAGCAATTAGCATTTTCCATAATTTCATGCTGGTTTTTATGCTAATTAGCTTCCCCGTCCCATTATCCGCTTTCACCTCGGCGCTGCGCTCCGTTTCAATCAGGCTGTACAGCAGGATTTCCCTTCGTAGCGATATTTTCCATAACTCTGATTGCTTCATGCTATAGATCGTTGGAAAGCTGCTTTTATGTACTTTTAGGAACAGTTGGTATTTTTGAATCTGATCAGCCATTCAAAAGTTATAAAACGGAGCATTTTGGATGACAAACTCAGCACGTCTCTGAATCTGTGTTGTGATTCGTTGCGCTCAAGACGGGGAATCCCGGTGGCTACCGTAATGTATTGTATATGCATGAAAAGCCCCATTTTTAATCTTTTCAGCACTTTTGGAATTTTAATGATATCTTGAACGGTTCAGGAATTATGGTATTGAGAAGTGTGCATGTCCAATCCTGTCTGCGGCGACAGGTTGGTAATAAGAATATTGTGGCATTAACAGAGGGGTGCCAGCAGTCAGGGCTACGGGGCCCCTCAACACAAGGGGGCCCCAGGCGGCCGCCGACCTATGCCTAATGGTAAAATCGCCTCTGGTTGGAGAAGAAAAACCACAAAACCTGCTGGATAGCGGCCCTCCAGGACCAGGAATGGGCACCCCGGCTCTAAGAGCTAAACTACGTTAGGTGAACAGCTATTAACGAGTACGAGACAGCTGACAGACGCTCATTAGTATTAATATTATATTAACTGACCGATACTATTTTAATTGTCTGGTACATGATAGTAATCTGTACAATATTGTGATGTTAGCACACGAGTTTAAGCTAGCATCGTTCACTCACCTGCTGCTCCCCCGCTGCTTCTCCACAATCTCTCTGCTTTGGCCGATGGTTTCTCCCTCTGGTTTGTCTCTGCTCTCTGGGGCGAGCAGCAAACTCATAACTTCATGGTTTTGGTCCATAATAAGTAGAATTATAAACATTTAAAGTTTCTTCTGTATCAGAGCCACATTAGAGTCCATATTTTTCTCTGGATTAAGCTAACAGGACTCCCTCAGCTGACGTCACTTGGTTTGGCAAAAAAATAAATAAAAACCTTTCTCACAAAAATGACTCTAAAAGCCGAAATCATTTATGTATGTGAAAAAAAAATTGTTTAAAACGAGTTTCTGTTATGTTTCTCTAAACATTGTTTCATGGGAGTCTCTAACCTGCAATTTACTCTTTAACCTTTTGACTCAAATGATGCAATGTTACATTTTATTAAACATTTTTATAACATCTGAAGGAAGAAAATAGTTTTAGCTGCTATTCTTTAGAATCTCAATTAAAGACTTATGTTAAATCTGTTCTAAGTTTATTGTAAAGTTGGATTTTATTGAAATACTTCTTGCTCTTTCTGTGTTTACAGGAACCGGAACAAGTTTCCTCATGTCCAGAAGAAAGTGAGTAACGACAGAATAAAGAGATTCTGACCTAAAGCCTCATTTGGGCTCTATTGTTGTTCTACAGCTTTTTGCAGCAGTGTGTTTGTGCCATGTCTGCTTCAGTGGCTTTGATATGTTACGACTTGTTTATTTTGTAGGACTAATCTTTATTTTCTCCATGTGTTTGTTTTCAGAAAGCCAGAATTTTTCTCCCACAGAACTCTCTCATTTCAGCCAGAAGAGCTCCTCAGTGTGAGTGTCATCATTTTATAATCAAACTGAGTTTTGCAGGGAAACGTCATAAAGTTAAGAGACTCAAGCGTATTTAACACAAACTCTTACTAGGTAAAGGAAATCAGACCACACACATTTTAGTTTAGGCTGCAAATACAAATCTTTGAAATTTAATCAGCAAATAATAAAAAAAATGATCAGTCTGGATGGATAAGAGATTAAAACCAATATTTTTATTTATTTTCCTAAATTGTAAAAAAAAAAAATTAAAGAAAGTAGCTTTTTTTTAATGCCTTCAGATATTGTGGCACAAACCCCCAATTAATTATGTTGTAGGTGAAATATTTCATTAGGATTCTTCTTGCAAGTTTACCACATGAGATTTGCATCCACATCCACTCTAGTCCCACTGCAGCCTGGTCAACACTGTGAGCTTGTCGATCTTATTGGGCAGAGAATGGACATTTCCTATAATCACGGATGGTAAATATAGTTTATCTCAGCTTCCTCTTCTGGAGCTTGCATCCCACATACTCTACACTTCCTCCTTAATTCTGCGGGCAGAACAGACTCTTCTGTGGAGAAGAAACTGTGTCCACAACGCCAACAGCTGATCTCTAGTGTAAACCATACATTCATGGATGGAGCTAGAGGAAACTCCCAGTGTGTTCCCAACGAGTAAAAAAAAAAAAAACACAAACAACACAAAAGTACTCCTATGGATTGTGTGGCTGAGGGAACATATGCCCACATTAAGGGCATTAAAAGCATGCAAGACAAGTAAAGGGTAAAAAAAGGGAGTAAAGAAGCGAGAGCTGATGTAACTGGCTGCTGCTCGTGCCATCTCGGTTATAAATGTGTGCATCTGTTAAAAAATTGGTATTGTGTTCCTTATCTAACATCCGTGTGTGTTTTAGTTCATTTGAAGCGGCACGTTCCAGTGATGCTGAGCTGGTGAGCTCCAGCGACTCGGAGAGCAGCCATGGGTCAGAGTCAGATGGTGAAAGCTCCACAGTGGAGCCGCCTCCACCCTCAGAGGGCAGCTTGGTTAAAGCAGAGGTACTGCTCAGAATAAAGAAGTCACACACTCTTTCCAGTTCTCTAAGTTGCTCTGGTTGTATGTCTATCTAAATATACAATTTTTTTTCCCCCATTTTGAAGCTTGATGCTCCATCACTGAGCCATGGTGCCTGGCAGCTGGGGAACTGGATCAAGTCCAGTCAGCAAAACTCCAGCACTGGGATTCCTGCTCAAAAGCAGCTGCTGTCCTGTCAAACCTCCAAACAGACCCGTGTAAACACCAGCAAGGAACCTAAGCTTTCTTCTGAACAAAAACAGTTTACAGGTGACTTGACTGTTTTACAGAAGGGTGGCAAAAGCTCCCAGAACTGTCAACGCAGATGCAAAAAGTCCCTTTCCACTAATGTTAGCAGCTGCAGTGATGCCAAGAAAGTCTTAAAGCGAGCAAAGACCAGCTGTTCAGACCTCTCCCAAACAACAATCAGTGTAAAGACTGAAGGTGCTGCAAACACGCAAACCAGAGAGCCGAGTTTCACAGACAGACCCAAAGTTAAGACGAAAACAGGGAGTTGTAAAAAGGATGGCAATGGTTCCAAAAGCAACCCGAAAAGGACCAAAGGCACCAAATCCAAAGTGCAGAAGGTTGGATCAGAAGCCACTCTCACGCTGTATGGTAGGTGTCCATCATGTGGTGTGAGTTATCCAAACACCTGCTGCTGCCCCACCCAAAGTCCCACTCTGCTGACTCCACAATCTTCCACCCTACCAGTCCAAATGAACTGTAGCAAAACCAAGACAGAAACACGGTGTCCGAACAGCGGCACCAAGGTGCCTAACAAACCAACCCACAAGGTCTCTGAGAAGTTTGAGCATGTAGTTAATGGTTCCTGGGACCACTTCCAGCCTCCTACATCTCTGCTAGTCAAGATAAATCTGTGTCTGCTCATGAGGGTACCCCAGACAGCCAGCAGCATCCACGCAGGGATTTCTACCAGAGCAAAGAGACAGGCTCTGGTCATAGAGCCAGATGGAGGAGGCAATGATGCTTCGAAAGCACACAATCACACCAAAACCAGCAAAACGCTTCAAAACGTGAGTAAAATACTGCTCGAGCTGGCACAGATAGAAAAGTTGTTTTAACATTTGGTCATTTTCTTGTAGGCTGCAGAAGAGAATAAAACCTGTCCCAAGAGGAAACGGAAGCTGGAAAACAAAAATACCCCATCAGCTTGTAGTTCTATGGAAGTAGAGTACGTCTGTTAAAGCATTCTGGATAACAGTTTGTTGCTTTTTTAAACTTCTGTTTTAAATGACCTCTCATCTCATCACTAATAGAAAATCCATTAAGTCGGCAGAAGGCCTTCTTCAAAAGAAAGCTAAAAAAAGTTTCCAGAAACCTGCAACTTCCAAAGACTTCTTTAAAAACCTAAAGGCACAGTGTCAGCAGTCCAATAAAGAGGCGGTAAAGGGCAAAGATTCCATCCGGCACAAGAACAGTGGAAAACCTTTACAGCACACGCGCCAAGAAAAGGTAACCGTTCCAATGAAAGGAGCTCATTCATGACCACAATGCCATAAAGCTGCAGGAATTTAACCTGAAAATCTTTTGAATTCCAGAAAAAGCCTCTAACGAAAAGTCTTCCTTTACCGGCAACGTCTCAACCCCACAGAGAAGCTTCGAGCCGCAGGCCTTTACTAACATTTGATGAGAGGTAAGATTTCAATCTCTGAAGGTTTTTGTTTTTGATTGGACTAAAGACTACCTACGGAGCCACAGTTCTGATTTGTGAGTGGTTTCTCCTTGTTGAACCACAGACCATATCCAGTGAAGCATTACATAAAAGAGGCTAAAAGACTGAAGCACAAGGCAGATGCAGAGGTGGGTTCATCCCTCAGACATTTTTAAAATGACCCAGGTCAACACCTCACAATAGGTTTTCGTCTCCATAGTTGGATAGACTCAGCAAAGCCTTCAACTACCTGGATGCAGCCATGTTCTTTGTTGAAAGTGGGATTGCCATGGAAAAAGATCCACAGATATCAACGTCTTCCTACACGATGTTTGCAGAGACGGTGGAACTCCTGAAGTAAGGACCTACGCGTATCACAGCTTCTGTTTGTCTAGAGTCTGCTCTCTTCTAGCCTTCCACACCAAGAGACACATGTTATAGAATAATGAGGATGTTAAAGCCAAAATGCAGCATCAGTATTTTAAATGTTTGAGTTTTAAGTCAGGATTGTTTCTTTCTGTACTTCTCATTCTCAGATTTGTACTGAAGCTTAAAAACCCAGTCGACTCCTCTGCTCCACCCTCAGAAAAGGACTTTTTAGCACTGTGGTAAGATGATGTTTGAAACCTGACTAAATGTAGAATTTTAGGGTTTGTCTTTGCAAATTTAGATTATTTCTAAGGCAGGGATGTGGAATCAAGCCTTAGAATGGAAAAAAAATAAAACAAGGACTCACGATTTGATTTGGACTTGAAGTTTTGGACGCTCATGAACAATCCTGACACCAGTGTGCTGCACGGGTGAACTGATTAAAATTTAATCCATTTAGCTACTGGCTGAAAAATCTGCAGGCAGATCGTTTTCTTCAGGGAAAGGAAAAAATGAAAATATTCGCTAACATTTATTTGAAATGTGGATCTATAAACTCTTCTGGTGCCATTCCTCCAAATTATGCCCCTTTTCCTTACTGAACCTGACTCAGTTCAGTGTGGGTTGCGTCAAACTGAGACGTGGCTCTAGTGGGTGCTGCCAGGGGCGCAGATAGGATTTTCAAACTGGGGGGGACAAAGTTCCAATGTACCCTCCCCCAAACACACACACACGCACGTACACATACACAAACTGTTGCAAGCGCCTTAACTAGAGCTCAGTCAATTTGTGTAATTTCCTCCAATGGTTTACGTAACAACGAACACTTTTATATACGTGTTTGAAGCCATTATGCAGTGGAACGTTGGCAACAAAGCTCTGCCTGATCAACACTATAAATGATAAATGATCCGCACTTGTATAGCACCTCTCAGAGTAAGGACTTCAAAGTGCTGTACACTACAGTGTATCATTCATCCCTTCACACACTGATGGTGATAAGCTACGATGTAGCCACAGCTGCCTTGGGGCATACTGACAGAGGCGCTCCACTATTTAATTCAGTCATTTGTTATTCTCCCAATCAAGTACTAACCAAAACCTCATGCTTTATGCAAAACATTAAATGATTTTCAGCATACCAATCTTTACAGAAAACATAAAAATCACGAATCGGGGTCGATCTGAATCTGGGGGGGGACAGGACCCCCCCCCCCCCCATCTGTGCGCCTGGGTGCTACACCTACGGCATTATCAAACTTTACTCCTAAACTATAAACAGTGTGAGGTGATCTTAATGCCACCCAAAAGTACATCAACGTTCTGCACAGTGACTGGCTTTTGTCAGACTCTGAACTCAGAAAAGGCAGCAGGCAGAAAACTCTGGAGCGACCAGTGACTCCACCCTCAATCAGTGGCTGACAGTCACTGTTGTTGCGTTTTTGGAACGGCTCGATACGTTGGGAACCACAACAAAGCAGGTGCTGAAAAATCTGTCCAACCGAGCCAAACCCATACAGGTAATGCTGAGTAATGCTGTTTGAAAACAGGCATTAGTGGTATTCTTATCGTTAGTGACACCTACTGTTCAAGATGAGAAATGCAGCAGCACTGGTTAAAAAACAAAAACAGTTGGCTTATATGGTAATACTCACTATTAGGGGTGTAACCGTTCACGGGGGGTGGGGGTGGGGGGTTGAACCGTTTCGGTTCGGCCCACTTGTGTACTGTTTCGCACGCAGCGGCAAAAATGTAAACAAGCACGTCTGCTGAACTTTTTCCCTGGGAAAACTGATAAAGGTGAACTTTTGAGTTTTCATTGTTTTCTGTCTCTTAGTCTAAAGTGCCAGTCTCTCCTGCACATGGCCATGTTTCACCACAAACGCAAAGCTGCACTAAAGCTTTCCAAAACCCTTTCGGATCACTTTAATGTAAGTTATCAATGATTCATCATCTTCTCTAACCAGAAGGTTTCACAAAATCTTAAATTCAGTCTATTTTTCAGAACTCTGCTCAGGCTCTTAATCCTCTCTCCTCGTCAGAGTAAGTCTTCATTGTTCCTGATCACATCTTCAGCTTAGAACAGTGCAAACGCTTTTAACTTTTATATTTCTGCTTCAGGATAGCAGACAACCCACCCACCCTTATGCCCTCTCCAGTCAGCACATCCACCAGTACCAGCAGCTCTGGCATGGGCACGGCTAGCACCACAGTTTCACTTCCTCAAGAGATGGAACAAATGGCCTTTTCTTATGTCAACATCACCACGTTATTCTTAAGCGCTCATGACATTTGGGAGCAGGCAGAGGAGCTGGCTCACAGAGGCAACGGTAAGAATGGAAACGGAAACCATTTGTTTGATTTTAGCAAAGACTTGAGCAAAAGGATGAAGCTTAATGAAGTCTGATACAAAGGCAAGAGAAAAGTTCATGTAAAATGAACTAAATCTGCCTCCAGATTTGGGAGAACCGAAAAAAAAGTAGCTGATCAGGGACATAAGGCTGAAGCAGGTTTAGACAAAAAGCTGGCTTGGTTAGGGACTAGAGGTCGACCGATATTGTTTTTTCATTGGTATTGCTGATAAGTTAAGGTCATGGTCAGCCAATGGCTGATATCTAGTCGTTTTCCCACCTTATTGTCATGCAAAAATACCACTAATGACACCAGTTGATGCACACAATTTCAAAAGCTGAATTAGTTTTGGAAAACTGAATTTAACCAATTTAATCAAACTAATCAGTAAACCGATCAAATACTTGACATTCAAAACTGCTAAATAAAAATACATTTTAATTGGAAATAATTTTTAGAGCAATTCTGCAACAGCACTGGGCTGCCCGGGGATGTCTGACTTTAAATCATCTTAACTAAGGAGGTATATTGGCCGATGCCAATAAATAGAAAAACGGCATGTATCGGCTTGACATATTGGCCGACCAATATACGATCTATCCGTATTAGGGACCGAACAAAATATACCTGAGACTTCAGACACACCTGGGAATATTTAGACATAGTGCTTAGTTATAAACGAGCCAGAACGTTTTACAGGATCAAACCACAAAAATATTAATTTTAACCAATCTGTGATTCGTGGATGAGCCTTGAGGATGCTCGTTGTTTTGACATGTTCGTTCTCTGACATTGTGCCCATGCTTCAGGTCTTCTGGCGGAGCTGGACTCTGTTCTAGGCCCGCTGAGCCTGACTTCATCTATGAGCTCTATGGTCCGCTACACAAGACAAGGTGTCCACTGGCTGAGGCAGGACAGCCAGAAAGTATGAGACCTGAAATGTCCCTCCCTCCTGCCAGCTGTTGACGTCTGTCTTTCACCGTGACATCAACTGAGTGTGTCTACAATTCAAAGCCAGCTGGGATGCTGTTTCATTTGATTAATTCAGTTTCTTCATGGAATATTAAAAAAATGAGGACATCAGCTCTCCCCTCGTGTTTTTACTTTAAACGGTGTCATGAAATAATTTCCTGATCAGGGCTTTTATTCGAGAGTGATTCTTCTTTAACCAAAAGTGCCATTTTGACCCTCCTAGTCACAAACTTGTGAGATGATTCCCATTCGCTCATCTTCTAATAACTTTTGTTAGACTGTAATCCGAAATAAGATGGCCTTGCTGTTTTGCCAACCTACTGTAATTCTCTTAAGACTTTCAGTTTCATTCTGAAACTTTGATTTCACCTGGACTGAAATCAGATGATTTAAATATGGACCTGAACTCTGAGCTCTAATCATTTCCTCAGCTGACCACTCTGAGTTTCAATATCAAATACACGTATTGCCAAAGTGCCACAAATTTATCTTAAATCAGCCTTTGATTACTTTTTACTAACCCTGTGTTGGAATCAATACTCCTAATTTTTCTTATTTTAATGTGCAATAAGGAAAGTTGGATGCTAACCACGTGCCTTACTCTTAGGTTAAATTCGAAAGCTGTCTAATCAGAAGTAAAAACCAAGTTTCAGGGCAATAAACAATTTTTTACGTCATTTTCCTGCTGCTGTAAGACGTTTCTAGACTGATATGTGGGGTGTTTAGTGTGAGATTGTTTTAGGATTACGCTGATCTGGATATTTGACTAACCAAAGCAAGATTCTAGTTGTTGTCTCAATGTTGAACCTAGTTTCTGATCGCTGTAGTCGGCCCTCATGTCAGAGGTCATTAGTGTTATCGTATAGAACCAGCACAGTGGATTGTTTACATCGCTCCAGTGATCCAATTCAGCTACAGCTTCGTTATTTTATTTATTTATTTTTAATTATTATTCAATTTTTGTATCTACGGGCACAACCTACCTGATGAACAAATGCTTCAATCTTTGCATTTACACTTGGTATTAAAAACAATCTTTTTCAGCTGTGATTTAATTGGACCTCCACAAGCACTTATGATTTAAGTATTAATCTTAATAAGATCAACAGAGCTGCTGTTTGGAGTTTCTTATTGGCTGATGTGCACGAGTGCTGCTGCTTAGCTAGTAAATGTAGCTTTGTCAAGCTAGCTGAAGTAGAGCGGAAACGCGTCTGAAGGCCTCTTGAGAGTCGTGATCCTATCTCTGATGCTTATGCATTCTTCAAGCTTTCACACTTCAGCATCAATTATGTAAACAAGTCATTCTGCTTCCGCAGTAGCTTTAGCTCAAATGTAATGTCTTTTTTTTAAACAGAATTTTTGCACTTTTCTCTTGTGTTTGCAGTCCAAAAGAACGAGAACTCCCCAGCAGCAAACCCAATAGAACCAAATGTGGGGCTTGTCTTTGTTTTCAGGTTTTTGTGTATAGAGGGACACCTTCAGTCGTTTTACAGGAGTAAAGCCAAGTTTTTGCTGGATAAGTCACGTTTTCAACTCTTTTATTGAGCTGGTAACTGAATATGTAGGAGTGGAATAAATGGCCAAATTAGAGCTTACTAAAGAATAGTTTTGTGATTACTTGTTTTTGTAGATAATTTCAGTAGTTTAGTGAATATTAGATCAGCTGTATTGTTCTAGTCTTGTTTACTGTGTGTTTGACTCGAAGCATTAAAGCCTTTTTAATGGCTGTGTGGCGAAGTTCTCATTTAAACATGTGGAGAAATGCAAATGGCTGCAGTTACACTAGAAATGTGATCCTAACTTTATTTTCTCACTTCAGTGATGGAAGTTTTGTAATTGAAGCGTGAGTTCACTAGTGCCATGGGATTAGGGATTATTTTATGCATTTTCAGTGGGCTGCTGTAAAACTGAATGTTAGTTTGTTACTATGGGATGTCATTGAGAGCAACTTAATCTGTTTCTGTTTTCCTGGGATGTTGTTTCATTGTTTGTACCTCTTAATTTTTACAATATATTTTTTTTGCTTAATTTATTAATTTAATTTAATAACTTAATTACTGAAGAGCAAAATGTGCAGAAAGAAACTTTTTCCATTCTGTAGAAACATGTTGCTGTGTACAATGACGAATAAACACTGGGAACTATTGTTGTTTACTTTTGTTTATTTTAAACAAATACTTTAACATGTGTTGAAAAGTAGCTAAATAATTGGTGCTCTTGTATGATCCAACTTTATTTTGCTATAAACATCAGTGAAGTTTCCTTTTCAATTTTATTCCATAAACCTTCAACATGCCTCAGAAAGCATGTGATTTTTTTCTTTAAAAAAATATTAACATGGATGAACTTTACAGAGCTTTAGGATCTTTATGTGTCGGATTCTCCTGCGAAGTTGGGATTGGAGAAATTGGGCTGCAACAGAGAAATGACAAAGTCATGAGCTCAAATGTTCAACTCTGGTTCATCTGCGGTGACGGGCTGGTTGCTTACTCACCACATCGATTTTACTGGTTGTTGTTGTTGTTGGTAAACTCAGGCTGCTCAGTTTATATCCCCGCACTCTGAAGACGTAGAACAGCAGTCCGGCTAACAAGCAGATAAAGATGATGGCTCCAATGACGGCTCCGGCTACCACCCCTTCGTTATCTAGAGACACAGCAGATGGGTCAAACAAGTGAGGAAACTTTTTTTTTAGCAACCAACTATTTCTTACTGTCTCTTAAAATGTGGCAAAAGCTGAATAGATTTTACATTCTCTAGCAAAAAATGGATTCTGCCACAAAACCAATGATTGGAAGAGAGATAAAACTGGATTATTGACTGGAAACATTAGACAAATCAGCATTCTCAAAGGTAAACAGCAATTTACATGAAAAAAGGCTGCAAGTTTCAAGAAATTATCGACCGATTAGTGACAGCTGATCACACACAGTCTGATTAACTGGAATGTTACACAATATTGATGAATTTTCAGTATCATCAGGGAACAATAAACATTCATAAACCGTGATATTTTGACTTCCTGCTCTCCTCAGACCTTTTGCTAATATCCATCTCTGGACTGTTTCACACTAACAGCACTAAACGCAGACGTAACACACTACCTGAACCATAAAATATAATGAAACAGTCAGTCCTGTTTTTCCTGCTAGCTCTAAATTCTTGAGATTTAGAAAACCATGGTAACTGATCACTTACTGGTTCCTGGACCATCAGTGGGGAAAATGGGGTGTTTGTTGTCATCTGTTGTGTAGACTGAAAGAGTGTTAAACAAACCAGCTGTTAGTCTCCTATCTAGGAAAATAAAAGTTCTCATTTTGAACTTGAACACTTCATAAACAAAGTCATACACTGGCGATGGCGGCAAATGAAGTTTCTCTTCTGCAGGCAGTTGTTGTCATTCCAGCGTCCGTCGTGGTACATCTCCACACAGTTCTCGGCGACCTCCCCAGGATGGAAGGCTGAGTTGGGCTCACCGGGAGCCCAGTTGAGGAATCCTACTGCTGTTCTGTCCGTCCAGCCCCAGCCAACTGAAGAGCCAAACATGTCATAGTTGGGATTCTTATCTATTTCTACGCTGCATTCAGGTTTTTGTTTTAACACCACTTACAGTTTCCATCCCTGGTGAGACCGATCCAGATGTTGTGATACTTGGTGTGGTTTAGGTTCCTGAGAAACTCCTGCTCTGCTCTGCTGTGAATGGAGGCCAGCTCAGTCCTGAAAGACTGGCAGATGTGTCGAGCGTCCGGCCAGGAGACGCCCTCCTTACTGTCGTGTATGTAATAACAGTGGTGGCCGTAAGGAGCCCAGTGCTCCAGACATTTTCCATCACCAGGACTGGGAGTCGGAGGTGGTTTTTCTGAGGTGGGATGCAAGTTGCTGATGATGTCTCAAGTCTTTTAAAAACAATGTTTTAAAACACGTCAAGTTTCAGATGGTCCTACCTGAGGAGATCTTGCAAATGAAAGGTTTGGCTTGGTCGCATTTGGTGTCATTCCAGGTCCCGTGGAACCAGATTGAAGCATGCATACTGACGCAGCCCTCATCCTTGAAGTTGGTGGGCTCTTCGGGTCCCCACTGAGTGAAGAAAACTGGCCAGCCATCCGTCCACTTGTAAGAGCCATCCTCCTGCATCACATCACAACCCTAGATTTATCTATTTCGCTGCTAAATTTGGGAATTTGGTCATTTTTCTGCTTCAGGTATTTGTTTCCTGCTCTTCAGCTATTTGAGGTAATCCGATGTGCACCTTGCGCCTGAGTCCAATCCAAGCGTCTGCTTTTCCTTGCAGAACGACCCCAGCAACAAAAGCCTGGTCGTAGCTCATGTCGATACTCGCCAAGTTGCCGCCCTGCCCGGCACAGGTTGTCTGAGCTGCCTCCCAGGTGGCCGGCTCCTCGACCAGCTTGTAGCAGTTGTGGTACCAGGAGATGTAGCCGTCTGGGCAGGGGCTCTTGGTTGGAGGAGGAGGTTTGATGCTGCTCGCTGATGAGAGGAGGCAGATAAAAAAAAATGTTGGGGTGTTTTAGTATTTCTTGAAATTAAAGAAACTGAATCAGACCTACATTTCTTCCTGTAGCAGACAAAGCTGTGATTCTTGTGACAAGCATCATCGTTCCACCTGCCAGATGTGAGGACGCCATGAGTCATGGTCACGCAGTGTTCCTGTGGAGCAAAACAAAGAAGAGCTCTTTAATGCTGTCCGGCCCATAAGGAAATACTTCCTAAGAAGCCTCAGCAGTGTTTCCTCACCGCTCCTCCTGCATTGTTGGGTTCGCGTTCATTCCAGTTGGTGTACCGCACTGGGCTGCCCCCATCGCTCCAGCCATATTGGTTCTCCACCAACAGATCTGACAGTCCTATCCAGGTAGCAGTCTCCAGGTCTCTCAAGTGACTAGTGACAAAGTCTGGAGAAGATGAGCAGCAGTCACACTGATTAACTCAATCAGGGGTCCTAGATTTTTAAACCACGTTTACTTTGTTGTTGTTGAATTCCAGACTTAGAATTAATTCCAGAAAGATCCACAGCTTTCCTGTTGAGTTATCCTGACAGCATCATGGAGCCATCAAGGTAAACCAACCAATCAGCATGCAGCACATTTAATATCCCTGTCCTGATTGAGCTGATGGGGCAAAACAGTCTTTCCATAGGGGGAGCTTTATTATGGGGTTGCATTTGGACATTTTTGGGGAGCTCCTAGGTCATTTTGAGCCTCAACAGAGTTTAATCTGCTATATAGAGGCTCAAAGAGAAGTTGTACTAGAATCCCTTTAAAGGTTTTCTGCTGAGCTTACCGTTCTCATACTGGTCATCAATAACGGCCAGCTCTCCTCCTTGTTCTTTGCACCAGCTCCGGGCAGAAGGCCAGCTGGCTTTAAGTTCGTGTCTCTTCCCTTTGAACATGAAGCACTTGTTCTTAAACTGCATCCAACCTGCAGGAAGAAAGGAAGGAACATCTCTTCAACCTTTTAAAAAAACAGTTAAAACTTAAAGAGAAAAAAAGAGAGAACTCAGTGTCGGTCCCTAACATGGACAGAGAGACTAATAGTTGATTTAAATAAAGGAAATTGTAGAGGGAAAGTGACACTTATTGAAGTTACTAGTCTTTTTGAATGCATTAGAGATCTAGTTTCAGTCGTGGATGGATACACTGAATGCGTTACCTTCAGGACAGTTGCCCTCCCAGGGTTGTGTGGGCGGAGGAGGTGTGTGGTTGTCTCCAGGAAACTTCTTACAAACGTAACCCGCTCCAGCCCATCCACAGTTGGCATCATTCCACCCACCTTTTAAAACCCGCCGTTCATTGTGCATATTAAACGGAGTTATTTAGTCAACGTCAACACAAAATCCATTGGAGTCCTCTTACCTTGGTGTCTGTTCATCTGGACGCACTGTTCCTCTCCGTTGGCGTTGTTGGGCTCACCTGGAGCCCAGTGAGTGTATGTCAACGGAGAGAAATCCACCCACCTGAGCACAAATAACACATAGGCACTTTCTTGAATTACGTTTTTAAATAAAACAGTAAAGGTGTGAACTTATCGTTTTTGTAACGATAGAATATTTCCTGGCTCAACCCTGGTCACGTACATGTATTGTGCACTTGTTATGCCAAACATCCTCAGGCCGATCCAGGCTGCAGACACCTCTCCTGTTCCCACCTGAAGGGAAGAGTAAGATATACGAATAAACTCTACCAGAATGTTTTCTACGATAAATCACCTCCAAAGAACCTAGTCGCACCATGGAGTTCACATAAGCCTGTTCGTCTTTGTTGAGAATGGATGCAAGGGTGGCTTTCTCTGCATAGCAGCGCAACATAGCCTCGTGGAAGTCCACTATGTCCGTGTCGTTGTAGTAGTAGCAGATGTTGTTGTTCTTCCTCCAGCCCGGGTTGGAGCCACAGTCAGGAGCTGAAACACGAGTGGAAACAAAGATGGTGAGTTGTTGTATGCTGCAGTGGTCTAGTCGTGCTGAAAGAACCAGGGTTACCTGGAACGGGAGATGGGGGCACTGGAGGAATGATGGGAGTTTTCCCTTTTGTAATCATGCATATCCAGTCCTGATGTGCGTCACAGTTGAGATCGTTCCACCAGGAGAAGGTTCCATTGGTGCTGCTCACCATCTCCACACACTCCTCACGGCCCTCGTGGTTGTTCGGCTCCCCCTGACCCCAGTTGGTATGTGACACGGGTGATCCGTCACTCCAAGAATATCCTAAAAATACACAAGAAGTCATCAGGATGTTAAAATTTTTTTTTTTTTTTTTTAACTTTTTTTCTACCAGAATGGATTTAACATAAAAGCTAGTAGGCTCACCTCCTTCTGTGGGGTTATGCTTAAGGCCGATCCACTTAGTGCTGGCTTTGCTGTACAGAGACAGGAACTCTTCCTCTTCCTGATTGTGGATGCTGACCAAGTTCGCTCCTCTGGAAACACAGTCCTCGTGTGCTGCTCCCCAGCTCTTCTTCAAGGACCAGTCCACATTGTGGAAGAGCTGCAATAAAACTAAAGATAATCAACCTGGTGCTCCCTGCCCAAAAAATGTTTTTCGATGTTTATTTTCCTACCTTGTAGCAGTTCCTGAAGTGGGGCCGAGCCGTCCAGCCTTCAGCGCAGCCCTGTGCAGGAGGAGGCGTCGGAGCCTTGGTAGGTGGTGTGATGTCAGGTCTGGCTTTCTCACAGATGAAGGCGTGTTGCTCGGTGCACTGCTTGTCATCCCAGAAACCTCCAATCTGACCCGTTGTCATAGCCACACAGGTACCGTCCCCATTGTCTAGAGACAGAGAGGAATGTCCTCAGGTGTTTATATTCTCCTCAGATGAGGTTAGAGTTAGAGGTGGGTCTGTACCTGGTTGGTCTTTGTCCCAGTGAGTGAAGGTCAGAGGTGAGCCATTGTCCCAGGTGTAGTCTACCCCTCCACCCGTTCCTCCACGAGCGCGCAGGCCGATCCACCAGAAACCAGTCCTTCCTGTCAGCGCCACTGTGAAATGGGACTGCTCATAGCTGTAATGAGACACAGACGCAAAAGGTTACAGAAATGTGATTCATCATTGTTTCATAATATTTATTAAACTAAGCATTCAAAGTGTGTGAGCAACATCAATAAGTTCTGTGGTTTTCTAAAAAGGGTCTAGGAAACATCCCAATAATCTGCACTAGTTACTTTGCATAGATTAATAAATTGAAAGGCAAGTTATAATTGGTTTGATCAGCATTACTGTCCTTGTAAGTATTGGGTTACATTACAGACGTCATATAAAACCAAACCGGTGCCAAAAAAGTGAATAACTTTGAAAACTTTGGACCTTTTGGATTCCAGGAAATATCTATTTAGATCCTAAACAAGCGGTCAAATGAATGGTAACGGCCTGTAAATATGTAGGGCCGTTTTATGATTCTAAAACCCCCCAAGGCACTTTACAACACAATCAGTCATTCACACACTGGTGATGATGAGCTACAATGTAGCTGCAAGGTTGAGGTCAATTTTATTTATAGAGCACATTTACAGCAGCAAAGCTACACCAAAGCGCTGCACAAGGTACAACAAATCAACAATAAAAACCTAAAATAAGATGAGCACACAACAGTCACAATCTATAATAAAACTGTTAAAAACTATTGAGATGCTCAAGTCAACCTGCATTAGAAGCCAAATAAAAAAATGCGTCTTAAGAAGGGATTTAAAATGCTCTAGATTCTGTGTGGTCCTGATGTTGAGAGGTAGCTTGTTCCACAGTTTGGGACCAACCACAGAGAACGCTCTGTCGCCGCGAGTCTTGTGGCGGGTTTTTGGAACTGTTAAAAGAGCTCGAGAGCTGGACCTCATGGTTCTGGCAGGGACGTAAGCGGGCAGCTGCCCCGGGGTGCACTAACGGAAACGAGACTGCCGAACACTGGCGCCGCCGGTTCCTCCGACCACCACCAGCCGGCAGGTTAAGGGTCTCGCCCAAGGGCACAACAACAGCATTCTCTGGCAGGAGCTGGGATCGAACTTGCAACCTTTCGATTACTGGACAACCCGCTCTACCTCCTGAGCTACTGCTGCTAAATCTCATCAGTGAGAAAGACTTGGCCCTTTTATAGACCCGGTTCCTGACATCCTTGAAACCAACACAGAGGGGTCTAATTTGAGTTATTTTCAGATTACTTCGTGCCAGCTGTGCACATCAGAGAACACATTTAAATGCAACAAGTGGTCAGACCCATGAGCTGACAGCAGCTGAAAATCCCTTCAACTTACCTGTACACAGTCACGGTGGCTTTTGAGCATCAAGCAATGAATTACAGCTAAACCTAATACTAAAATAATATTTGAACTGGCAGCAAAAAGGTAAAAACCCTGTGAATAAATAGAAATCAACACCTGGATGAAACTAGTCTGAGATGTTTTTAATTTGCAGGCTAGAAAATGTTTACCAAGAGGGGGCGGGGCCTAAAAGTTACACTGCAGCCAGCTACTAGGGGAAGCTTTATCTCAACATTATGTTCCTGCGTCTGTTTATAACATATTTATAAAATGCCAACAGTCAAACCACAGATTAACTATTTGAATCTAGTGTCCTTACATGTCTCCGATGTGCAGCAAGAAGCTGCCCTGCTCCTTACAGAAGGCTTTGGCATCCGACCAGCTCCTGGCCGTCTCTTCCATCCAGTAGCAGGAGTAGCCATATGCATCCCAGCCCTACATGCAAAACAAAATCCCATCTGCTAAAATCCTAATCTGAGCTAAACTTTAAAATAAGAAGCTGGTCCTACCTGAGTGCATCCATACACCGTGGGTTTAACTGAGGGTACGGGGTAATGCGCTTTAGGCATTTTGCATATGTATGCATTGAGTTCTGTGCAGGAAACGTCGTTCCATCGTCCGGTCTGATGACAAAAGTTGATTACAATCAGACAAAGTAGAAATCTCCTTTCTCTAAGGAGGTTTTATCTGTTGCTCACTGTGCGTAACATCTCCACGCAGTCCTCACTGAAGCCATCATGGTTGTTGGGTTCTCCTGGAGCCCAGTAGGTGAAGCTCACCGAGTGTTCATTTGACCATACATACATGCCATGTATGACCAGGTCATTCAGGCCAGTCCACACATCACTGGTGACTGCAAAGAACTTTTTTTTTTTATCAGCTCTGATCATTTTTGTAATCATTTGTGGTCTGATTTTCTTAATATACAGATTATTTTCTCTCCTTACCCTCGTACAGATAACTCTCCAGCCAGCTTTGCTCTAACATCGACTGGATAGAAACGAGATCAGCGCCCAGATTCCTGCATGCCCTGCGAGCATTATGCCACGTCTTTTTGTCTACGAAAGGTTTGTAGCAGAACTCCCCAAACTCATACCAGTCAGGCCCAGAACATCTCAGCTCTGTGGGAGGTATAAAGAATAAACTGATTATTAATGTTTATCACTAGCTGAAACATATGTTTAATGTAATCACAGGGATGCAAATAACTCGCCTCCATCCGCAAAAGTGTAGGACACAGCGTAGTTTCCATCAAATCTGTAGGAGTGATATTGTTGAATGGAGGAGCTGCTTTGGTCTTTCATGCTGAACACTTTTAAAAAGGATGAAAATCTCTTCTACTCACTGTCTGGAGGTGATGCCGTTCCTGGTGGAGCCTGGGTAAAAGTTTTGTCCCTCAGCTTTCAACAAGGTGCAGTCTCCTCCAACTTCATTGAGTATCACTCCAGCGTGGATGGCAGCTGCACAAATGTTTGAGTCCTGTCACAGAAAACAGAGCAAACACACAAGAATCTACACCTGGTTCATCAACAATACACACAATACATCTCACTGATCAAAGGATGTATTCACGTACCCCACGATACACCGATGTGCCATACACTATGTAGTTAGACTGGGAGCAGCCTGCAGGGCAGTGGACTCTAATGAATGTAAAAGTCAGAAAATGTAAATGTTCAATGTTAAATTTGAATTTATGCAGCAAGAAAAAGTACAAATGTTGCAATAATCATAAAAATCCAGAAGTTGTTTTACTCACGTCATTTGATCATTGGCGAAGTTGAAGTTGGGTTTGCTTGCACACGTAACTGCATCTGTAGATCCACAGAAAGTTTTTTGTTTTAAACCCTGCTGTGGTTTTGTTTTAAATGTTTATTTAACAGCAAATGTCCCTACAGTCAGGCGTGCATCCTAGAACATCGAATCGAAGGCCTGCCTGGTTGTTGAACTCCAGAGGAAGGATTCGAACGTACTGAGCGGACATGGGTGTGCCCAGCAGCTGGGTTTCAACAGTGTTTCTGTCTGTTGAACCAGGAAAAAACTGTAAAACAGGAAATATTCATATTAAGCAAAGGCATACATTTCCAATTTGGAGTCTGTGTTTACTCACCGGCCCGTCGACATCGTGGTTTGTCCAGGTTATACCATCCATGCTGTGCTGGATCTTAAATTTAGTGACCCAGTAGTCACTCTGAGGACAACCCTGGATTACGATCCCTGTAATTTTTCTGGTCTGACCCAGGTTTACTTGAATCCAGCTTGAGGTTGCTGGAAGACCAAGTGAAGATGCGTTTACCTATCAGTCGGTATTATTTCACACGTGTTGCTGCTGAGCTGCTACATACCACTTCCAGAGGGCATCCAGCAGGAATTCCCGTGCAAACGGGCTTTGTTGGGAGTGAAGAGACCAATGGAAGAAGTAGCAGACAGTTGAGCGTCTGTGATGTTACCATCCTCAACACCCAGGCCGTGCAAACACACTGAAAAAAGCACACATCACAATAATACTGACAATGCAGCTGTAGTGCAAACGAACATAACAGATGTTTCAGAGAGGAAGGTACAGGGATTACCTTTCTGTTCACAGCTGTAGACGATCTCAAGATATTTAGACACAGTTGGACAGGGGTCCACTTCAATGTGAGCTCGAGCGACGCAATAAGGTCGGTTGTCACACCTCTCCCGGTAGATGGGGAGAATACCATCCACTGTGCAGGTGCCTGCAGAAGATGCAGAAGCTATTTAGTTAAAGGGGACATATTTTACCTCTCAAACGAGTTGTAATAGGTGGGCAACCATTACCAACATCTCTCACAAACCGCTGAGCAGACTTTGACGAAACTATCAGAATCCCTGGGTGTGAGTCTAAAAGTGATTATTGTTTGCAAGCAAACCCATTCAAGGCTAAACAGTCTAATTGCTATAACTCAAGTCAGCTTTACAGATTTAGAGTTAAATGTGGATCTTAGTATGATGGTGGCAGAGGAGCTACATGTCCACTCTATAACTGGAAAGTTGAAGGTTTGAGCCTGTTACGAACTCTGGGCTTTTCCTTCTCCTTTTGCATCAGGCAGCCCCAGACTTCTCTAGGCGTTGCTCTGCTTCAGCACCATGGAGAGCGGCACGCCGCTCATCACACGGCTGAAACACATCAGACTTCCCCAGCTGCAGCTCATAAAAGCTAAGACGCACCCACAGAACAGGGAGGAGGAGGAGGAAGTGGACACAGGAGACTCATGAGAGAGAGAGAGAGAGAGAGAGAGAGAGAGAGAGAGAGAGAGAGAGAGAGAGAGAGAGAGAGAGAGAGAGAGAGAGAGAGAGAGAGAGAGAGAGAGAGAGAGAGAGAGAGAGAGAGAGAGAGAGAGAGAGAGAGAGAGAGAGAGAGAGACTGACTTAGAATGGAAGGAGCCAGGAGTTATTGTGCAATCCACCTTTAGGGAAGCTTTGGTAGAACTGTAGGTTTGTTTGGCAAGCTCCCCTTTCTTCTGCTCGTTTGTGAATTGGGCTAAAGCAGGTAGAGCTTTTCATTGGTTGGTTTCCATTCCCCGTACTGGTAAGGCCTTTTTGAGTATTCTGAGCTGAACCCACTCTCGGTACGAATAATGTTTCCTTTACAACGTTTTGTTTTCAGTTCAGTTTGCCTTTTGACGTAATGCACCTCAGTAGTGTTTTGTTCCCATCCCGGTTGAAAGATGGTTTGTTTAGTTAACATGGGCAGTTTTGATTTAATACCTCTGTAAAAGTAAATTTCTCATGTATCTTTAATTGTTTTGTTATTTTTTTGTGTTGATAATAAAGAACTTTGTACTAAAGGTGACTGGTGTGGAGTCTGCTCATTTAGTCACATTTTTGGTTTGGACCTCCCAGGGGTTCCTAGACCTGTTTGGGGTCGTAACAGAGCCCCATCTGTCACAGTCATTGTGTCCTTGTGCAAGACACGTAGCCCGCCTTGTGTAGAACCCTAGAAGGCGCTATCTCAAATATTTACCATTTAAATGTGAGAGTAGTTGAGGGTCATTGACAACACAAACACCCGAGTGCTAACAGGATGTGTGAGATTAATGTTATTTAAAAAATGTGATAAAATAGAAATGAATGCAGATCTCATGAGGTTTGCTGGCTTCCTTGTTCACAGGACAGCTGTTTAAAGTGCCTGGAGAGCAGGTTTTTGTTTACATTTGGCCCAAGAACAACTAGTAGGATGATTCCACAATGCATAAAGGAAAATTTCCTTCAACTCAGACTCAAAGTTATGGATTATTATTGATTGAAGCAATATGGCCAAGGTAAATCAGCTCAGGTAATTAATAGAGGGTGACTTTTAGTCCATCAACAAGATAATCTGAATTCAGATTTATCACTTGAGTTACTTCATGTATATTTAATCCTGAATGCGGATGATACCACATTGTTTTATTCAGGATTAAATGCACATGAAGTAACTCAAGCGATAAACAGTGAATTGATTAAAGTAAAAAAAAATGTTTTGATATAAATAGACTGTCACTGAACCTGAACAAAACAAACTTTATACTGTTTAATAACAGAAGAAGCTGTGATGTATCTTTAATGATAGATGGAATGGAAATTCAAAGAGTAAAAGAAACCAAATTTCTTGGAGTCATGTTCGATGAGAGTCTCACGTGGAAATCACATGTAGGTTATATAAAGGGGAAAATCGCCAAAGCCATAGGTGTATATATAGAGACAAGTTTCTACTAAACTTGTCGGGGTTGTTAACATCGTATCACTCACTGATTGAACCATATTTATTTCATTGTTTAGAAATTTGGGGAGCCACTTGCAAAACTTTTACACAACCGTTGTTCATTTAGCAAAAAAAGAGCATTGAGAATCATTAATACCAGTAACTATAGAGATCACACTAATCAAGTATTCATTAGATACAAAATACTGAAATTTCCTGACTTGGTAGAGTGGAAAATATTGCAAATAATGTCCAGAGGGAATACGAGTAATCTACCAACTAATATTCAGAAAATGTTTCACGAGAGAGTAAGTGGGTACGTGTTAAAAGGAACTGATGTCTCTAAGAAACGTAGATTCAGAACCAAAGTGAGGGAATGTAACATTTCTGTAAAGATTGTGGAATACCATTAACAAGCAATTTAAAGAATCAACTTCACTTGCTATATTTAAAAAATGTATAAAATCTAATGTATTTAGTAATTATGAAAAGGAGAATTATAATGTCAAAGATTAGACATGAAAATATTAGAAAGTGACTGAGGTTACATTGTGTTTGTTTGGTGGATTATTTTATTACGGAAAAAGGGGCAGAAATTATAAGATTTTTCTTCTATCTGCTCCTTTTCATTCAAATGTTTTTTTTTTCAATATGTGAATGTATGTTGTATTTGTTTGTGTTTGTTTTATACATTTTGAATGAAATAAAAGATTTAAAAAAAAGATCTCTGGCATGAAAGATAAAGAGTGATATGCTCCTTGAAGGAGCCTTCAGAGGTGATAAACAACTACACACACCAACTTGAGACAGCATGATTTCATTAATTACCCCCTGACTCCCCAAAGTGTGGACAGGTGTCGTCGTTCTTTCGGCCGTAGAAAGCAGACTGGATGTTTATGACACTTTCTTCAGGACAATGAATGACAGCCAATGAGTTCTGGCACACCAACGCCGTCATAAAACCTGAAATTTAAAAAAAATGACAGACATGATGAGCACATATACTTCCTAGTTTAGTTCCTCAGTACATAGCGCATGGTTTTACAACACTATCAGAGGGGTTCTCTTTACCATCATGAGGTGGAGGAGGTTCAGGTGTCCTTCCTGAAAGAGAAAATGAGAAATCATCACCTCTCTGCACACAGGCTCATCCTCATTGCATCCCCTGCAGTTCAAATCCGACTTCTCACCTCTTCGCTTGCAGATGTATCCTCTTTTGTTCTGACAGTTGTCATCATTCCAGTAGCCGCTGTTGATAAGTATGGACAGGCAGTCCTCACCAAAATAGTCATCTGGGTTCCCTGTGAGAGAATCCAGCTGTTGTACCATCTTCACTCATCAGACATCACTCGGCGTGTTTGGCTTCAGACTGACCTGCGTTCCAGTGGATGTATCTGAACGGGGAGCTGTCAGTCCACTCCCAGCCACCTTCTGTGACGGAGTCGTGTCCTCCCATCCACAGAGATATCCCAGTGGGAGTTGTCTGGATTACACCTGAACAGGAAAACGGATCATTTGTTTTAAGATTATGGACAAAAGTGTTTTGGTAACTATTTGACGACACTGCTGTATCCATAGAAAGACAACTAAAATGTTATTATGCCTTTTAAAAGTTTTTGTTAATCTTGATAAATAACCTAAATGTTCTACTTGAACATGATAAAGTTAAACATTGGAAATCAGTGACGTAATTTTAATTCATTTATGGTGCCATCTGAAAATAAAGCTCCCCTTGTGAATGGTTATAAATAGTTTATAGATATGTTATTAATTAATCTGTAAATCAATAATAGGTGTGTTATTTCATATTATCATATTATTAATATATGTTTGTTTATATGAAGAGACAAAGTGGATGGGTTTCTTGCCAAATAATGAGCCCTGTTAAGAGTCCCTTTCAAATTTAAAAATGTTTATTAAACATATTAAATAGTGATAAATGTTTATACTTCACAATAAAGCTCCATTTGATAGCTGTGGATATTTATAATGCTGTAATAAATTATATTATATGCAAAAAATTCTTACAAATGCCAAATAGTGAGCCAAAATGATTTGGCTCACTATTTGGCAAGAAACTGACCCGTTTTGTGTCTTTCTCAACTGAAATCAATGCATAAAAAGACTTAGTCATTTATGAAGTGTTACAGATTAATGATAACATATCTATAAATTATGAGGGAAGCCTTATTGTAAAGCGGTCTCATATATGTACATATAACAGCACCAACATGCTTAGCAATAACTAACAACGCTCAATTTCAAGAATCTTTTTGTGTAATATTTTATATCATTACTCAACAATGGTGTTTTATTATAGTGAGGAGAAGGACTGTAACATTTCTCCATTTTAAAAGATCAAACTGTGTTTTGGTTCAATATGAAATATTTTACTAATTTATGTTTATGTTTATTCATTTCGCAGACGCTTTTATCCAAAGCGACTTACAATTTTTATAACCTATAGGGCATGTTGTGATCTGTGGGGGAAACCGGAGTACCCGGAGGAAACCCACGCATGCATGGGGAGAACACGCAACTCCACGCAGAAAGGCGAGTTTTGAACCTGCGACCTTCGTGCTGCGAGGCAACAGTGCTAACCACTGCGCCACCATGCACAATAAATTTCACTGTTTGTGTCAAATACACTAATAAATATATTCAATAAGTAGGGAAATTTGCTTTTTTGTGCCACATTGCAGCAGAATACAGGTTTTTTTTAGCAGTTACTTCCCCTGTGAAAAAAGAAAATGACTTGCTTAAAACATAATGATAAAAACAGGCAAATCATTCTGGGAAAACAATAAAACAATCATTGCTTTAGCACATAAACAGTTCTGTCTCCCCTCCATCACGTATGACCTTGTTCGTTGTTTCAGTTACCGTGTATGAAGGCCTGCTCAAAGGGATCTGTGATGCTCACGAGATCTCCTCCTTGGTTGATACAGTCGGCCCGAGCTTCGGCCCAAGTTCTCATCGACAGGTAGTTAAACAGGTAGCAGAAGTCGTTGAAAGGGTCAGCCATCCACGAACCACATTTGTCATTCCATCCTGCGTCAAACACAACGATTCAAACATTCAGATAAACTCCAAAATGTCTGACGATTCTCAGAAAAGTGGAGCTTCAAGCTGACCTGGTCCGGATGTTGGAGGCTGGGGAGGAGGGCCTTGTCCCTTAGCTGCAAGAAGAAAGAAGAAGTAGAAATAAAGCAAGAGAACAAAAAAATGAACAAAATGTTGAGAGTAATGCACCTTTTTTGCAAATATATTCTTTAGTTGAAGTGCAAAAGTCATCATTAAGCATCCCGGCGAAGGAGTGAGTGGGCCCTCTGAGGTGGACGCAGTCCTCGTTGTTCTGCCAGTTGTCTGGTTGGCCGGGCTCCCACGGGAGGAAGTTCTGAGATCATCAGAAAAATGCAGCAGGGACTGAGACACCGCTCTGACATCATTACAAATGTCTTCACCATCAAATGGAAGCTCCTGGTGGCTGACATGACTCATCACTCACTGTGGCAGATCCGTCGCTGTACACAAACTGGTTTTCTACGTCGATGTCGTTCAAACCCACCCAGGCCTGTGCCGGCATGTGAGCTGCACAGAACACACAATGCTGATGTTTACACACACACACACACACACACACACACACACACACACACACGCACGCACGCACGCACGCACGCACGCACACACACACACACACACACACACACACTTGCTGCGTTCTTTGGAGACTTGTACGGCTGCTCACCAGTCAGGAAACTCAGCTCCTCCTGCTTCTGGAAGCTGACCAGATGACCCTGCTCACTGGCACAACGGGCCTCTGCATCGTGCCAGTTTTTCACTTCCTCGTTCTCAAAGTGATAGCAGAAGTCCCCGTGTAACAAATATCCACGATCACAGTGGCCATCTGAGGCAAACAACAACACAGTTACTCACAAACTGGGACAGAGATGACATTTGAGGATGGAGCGTGACCTTCAAACTGACCAGGAGATGCCGTTGGCTGGGGGTTCTGTCCACCTGTCATCTCACAGATGTAACCCAGACTCTTAAAGCAGTTGGTTGTTTCCCATTTGCCCTCGTAATTTCCTGAAAGTATGACGGATTAGTTCAATTCTGAAGGCAAATATTTGTAATCATCCGGGTGAGACAGGATGGGTCCTACCTGTGAAGATCTGTCCACAGTCCCACAGGCCCGCGGTGTTCTTGGGCCAGCCCGGACCATAGTTTGAAAAGGTAATAGGAGTTTTATCCACCCATTTAAAATCCCCGTCCTGTAACATATCTGATGAAGAAGAAAAGCAGAGAAAATATTTTAGGATTTAACATTATGAAGCAAGAAGTGTTTTCTTCAGCATCAAAATCCATAAATGACCTGATATGCCGATCCAGATGTCGGGGATGTCCACCTGGTGAAAGTCTGGAAGTTTCCCGTTTATGAAAAACTGTTCTTCTTCACTGGGAAGACAAACGTGACACGTCATATCTCCTCTAGGTGTGGAGATCAGGGTGCAATTCTGTTCATGGAGGTTCTTGTTTTCTGTTCTGTTCTTGTGAGATTATGTTTTGTATTTTTATCGCAAATGAAAAAAAAATAAATCAGTCTGAAAAAAATCCTAAAATGCTATACCAATCCTAGAGCAGATGTGGCTACATTGTAGCTCATCACCACTAGGGTGTGAATGTGTGTGTGAATGGATGAATGATGCACTTTAGTGTAAAGCGCTTTGGAGTCCTCTGACTGTGGGTCATTTATCATATTGCAAGTGAACACATTTTATTATTTAGAAAGTCTGTAGCTCGCTCTGAACAGTTTAAAAACACTTGAATGCGTGTTCTGTGTGCACACGCACTGAACACGGGACTGCAACATGATACAAGACAGGAAGTAGTAAAAAAGGAGGCACTTCTGTTCTGTGAACGAGTGAAAAATATTCACAGGACTGACAACAAGAACTGTCAGCCGAACTGTACATTCATTCATTGTTTTTATTCATATTTGTCTTCCCCCTATAGATTTAAAGACCATTAACATATGTTATGGAACACTTTTCATCTGTAATTAATTTGCGATTATTTATGAGTTAACTACGAAACTCGTATGATAAATTGCAATTTAGTTTTTTGGTGGATTGATGGTCCGAATAAGACTAAAATGCATACACGTCTGTGATGACGTTTATCTTTACCTGTTTATTGTCAGCAGATGAGCATTCATGCCGGAACACGTCCTTTGCGCTTCATGCCAGCTGGTCAGAAGATTGATGTTACTGACCACCCAGTAACAACTGCCTGCAAAGCTCAGCCAGCCAGGAGGGCAGATGGCTGGAGATAAGGTAGAATGGAGAAAAACATCAGAGTCCAGACAATCTGCACAGATTTTCAGAGGGAATTAGTAGCAGTGGACTTACTGTTGAGGAGACGTTTGCACATGTACGGACGCTCGTATCGGCACAAATGGGACCTCCATTCTCCAAACATGTCTGATTCTGAGTCTTTGATTATTGCAGCACAGGAGCCAACCTGTGGATTGCTGTCAGAGAACACAAGCTTTGGCTCAAGTCCATCAAATTAACACTAATGTTGAACAACCGTGGATTAGAGTCATGTGTCTTACACTGTGGGTTGACCCTCGCCCCAGTGGTTGTAGGACACCATCAGAGCATCTGACCACGTAAACTGGTCGTTCCCAGCCTCAACCTGACAGGAGATCTTGTTGCATTTCTGGAAAAAAAAATGTTTTCAGCATTCACATTTAATATTTCTGAAGAGGAATGGGATGATGTTCTTCTCACCAGTGTGGAGAGCCCGATCCAGAGGTCCAGATGTGTTGTTTGGTCCATGGTTCCTGTCACATAGGTGTTCTCCTCCACGGAGCTTATGGACACCAGGTCTCCGCCTTCCTGCACACAGTCGAGTCTGGCAGCCGACCAGCTCTTCCTGGTGTCTGATTTGAGCTTGTAGCAGCTAGAGTGAAAGGGTCGCCACCCGTTGACGAGGTCACACTGAGGGGTGGGGTTTGCTACGGAGACAGAAAATAAATACAGTTCTCAAGGATTGTTCAGGTCTTTAATGGACAATAACATGTCATGGAAGTCCAGAATGTATGAAACAACAGAAATACAAACATTTAGAAAATCTAAAACTTGATATTTGATGTGTTTTTGTTTATGTTGTCTCTTTAGGAAGCAGAACTTAGTCAGACTTTGAATTTCCACCAAAGAAATTCTATCTAACTTTTTTTCCCCCCTCAAAACGTTTAGCCACAAAAAAAGAGATTTAAGATGTTTTTCGCATTCAGAAATGATTTTTAATAGATGTGTTTAAATCCTTAATTTAACACAATAAATTAAGAGGTGGGGTTATTTCCTTGCCTTTTATAACTAAGTCTCTTTTATGTTCAAGAACATTGAAAGATACTTCAAGAGCAAGTCACCCCCAAATCACTTTTTTTTTGCTGATAAACTATATAAAGGAGTGTCTAATCATGCTACAGACACGTGTAGTCAATAATTTGGCAGTTCAGTGCATCTTGGTTAAAATTCAAATATTCTGCCTAAAACTGTCAGTGTTGCGCCGGGAAAAATTCTGCACCGTCTTTGAATTTAAATCTGCCACCGCTATTGGCTAAGAGGTATGCTATGATGTCATCTGGTATATTATGATGTCATAATACCATTGTGAGCCTGTGTGTATGTATTTGTTAGCGGCTCCGCCCTCTCGGTCTGCCAAGCAACAGCATTTGTTGCATATTTGAAACATGAAGTGGGAGTGAAGTAAGTTTCTTGTAGGGGGTGACTTGCTCTTTCAAGTAATTTTTTTATGCTTAGAGAATAAAATGTAGTTAATTAAAATAAGCTGTTAGCAGCTGATTTGCTACAGTGACGTCATCGATGAGTTTGCATTAAAATAGGTAATAGATGAAGATTTGTGAAATTTAAAATTGTGACACTGTTTCATCTATTTAGTTTCAATGCATTCAGGTTTATTTCTGCTAACATTTTTTTATTTGGACAGATCTATTTATGTACTTCTATAACTTCTGATACTTTTTTTGAAGTTGTCGTTTTTTATAGAAAGGTGTGAAGTTGGCTCCTAATATCAAATAATCATAAAATAACATTTGCATGACTCATAATAACGGTATTTGGATCAAAAGTTAAAAAAAGTGCTGTTAGTGCACAAATTTAAATCTGTGAAGATTTCGGATTAGAATTTGCACGTTTACTTACGGTTGGCGTGTTTGCAGATAAATTTCCTCTTAACGTCACAGTTCTCATCATTCCACTGTCCGTAGCTTTGTCCGCTCACCTGACCACAGTCCTCTGCATCGTTATAGTTATCAGGCTGGTTTGGCTGCCAGTACCTGAAGCACAGGTGAGAGGTGATCTTTGTTCATTTGGGGAAAATTTTAATTTTTAATTACAATTCAATTTACTACAACTTCAGGATGTTGTGACCTTTCATTCAAAATACATTTCAGTTGTTTAAAGAAAAGAAAAATGGAAATCTATTTTGAGTAAAATGAATCCATTCGGTCCTAAAATTGGGGTTAGCATCAGAATCACATACGACAGGTATTCTATGAAAGGACTCCCATCACTCCACTCCCAGACGCCTTCGACAATTCGGTCGTTCAAGCCGATCCAGTAGATCTCAGTACTTATTTGTGTTCTCACCCATAACTAGAAAGAAGACATAAAAACAGGAATTATACGTGAAAATAAATCTTTGCTGGACTACAATCAGTGGGTTTGCTCCTCACCCTCTCACTGATGTCCTGAATGCTCATCAGGTTGCTGTTGTGCTCCAAGCAATATCCGTTTGCATCCAACCACGACTTCGTATCGGTTGAAAAGAAGTAACATTTGTTATCATGTTCCCTCCATCCTGACTGACACTGACTGTGAGCTAAGAGGACAGAAGGTGAAAAACAATCATGAAGAGTCAAAGTGACCAAAGTGTTTCATAGGATATTATTTTGAAACTGTAAATGTGAGCTTTGAAAGCATCTCTACCAAGTCAGAACTTTAACCAGACGTAAAAGCTTGCTTCATTATCAGGGATCCGTGTTCTTTTGACTCTAAACCAGTTAGCAGCAAACAAAAGCAGGTTCCTGGCGTTTAACAGTAAGACAAATTGATACATATTCAGTTTGAAGTAATCTGATTACATATGAGATAGGTACAAAAGTGTCAAAGTGTCCCATGATTAGTGAATCATTTGAACACCATGCATCATAAAAGTCCCATGACAGATCCATAATTACTAACCCTGTCAGTCAACTCTGAGCATCTCACCTGGATCTTTGGGTGAATGTTTGACTTTAACAGCCGGAGTCACAACATAGTTTCACATATTTAACATCAGAGATCACAACAAGATGCAGAAGACCAAATAACGGCAGTTTTACCACCTCTGCAGTCAGTTTGTTTGTTTTTTTTGTTAACATGTGCTTATGATGGACATTTGCAATTATTTTGCGCAATTTTCCTAAAAATAGACATAAAAACAAATAGTTAAATAATAGCTTTAAATTACATTTTTACTCATAAATGTTTGAAAAAAAGTAAAATTATACTAGAAATTAAAAATTAGTCATTTTTTGTACAGAAATCCACTCACATTCTGGATTTCATTAATGTTTTTATTTAATTCTGCAGGAAAAAAGTTTTGTAGAACTGATTTTCATGCTAAAGAGCATTTTAATGGTAGTATTTCTGTTAATATTCTTGTTTTATGGAATCTAAAATAAAAACAAAAAAAAACATTTCCTGTGATGGACTCAATACATTTTACAGTTAAAATTTTGATTAAAAAATAATGAAATGATGACTCACCACAACCAAGAAACGAAGCAAAACTCAGCAGCATCAGAAGAACACTTTTGCCCATTTTTAATAAATGTTAGTTTATCATTTAAGGTGTTTTTAAACACATTCTAGTGGCTTATTGTTTCTACCTGCCCTGAGTCTGTGATGTGACGGGTCTCTACGTTCTCAGATCTCTGAGCATCTTCTCTTTGGTTCACCACTTTTCAACAATTGTCCCGAGTCCAAAGACTAAAAGCAATAAAACACAGATGTGGGGGGAAAACTCACTTCCTCTTTTCATCCACCTTAAAAACTACTGCAGTTAACAAAAACTGATTGATGATAAACACCCAATTTTAATAAGTGTTCCATTTAGCTCTATTTTGAGGCAAACCTTTAGACTTTACATGACACTAACTTTAATTTTATTTATTTGGAATTACCTAAAATATATTTATATCCTTTTGAAAATTATTAATGTTCCAAGATCAAAATATAAAGTCTTTATAAGGAAGCACTTTCAGTCACTGCTTTGCTGTATTTTAGTAACTCCATAATAAATGTTTGAAAACCACCAGAAATTTCCCTCTTAACATCAGAAGGCCCAATAATAATAATTCAAATACCAGAGGTTTCCTGGTTTTCCCTCTTTGAACAACACAAATATCTTTGCCTGTTATAAAATAATTAGGTGTTTAGAGAAACTTTAATTACACGCTAAGGCATCACACCTGACATTACAACTAAAGTCCAGAAGACTTTATAACAACCACATGACCCCCGACAGTAAACTTATACAGCTCAGCTTCTGCTGTAGTTACTTTTTAACGTGGTTTAATAGAACATTACATAACAATTAAAGCTAATTTAAAGGGAAACAATGCAGTTTTGGCTTGCTTTTAGCACCCCCTGGTGTCCACTTTTAATTCACTGTTGTAAAACCAAAAGTGAAACTTATCTCCTCGCCGAGCATTTGTCTTTTTAACATCTTAATAATGTCTCCTCAGCCTTAATTAGTTTCTACAGGAGTGGTTCATCACTAAATTAAACAAATCAGCTCTGAAGTTGCAAGTGCGGTATTCTTGCCACGTTGGGGGTCTGAGTGACATTTCATTAACCCTTTAAAGGGTCATTTTAGCACATAATGGCTCAAAAAAAGATTTAAAAATATGACAAAGTTGCCTTTAATAGATTAACATTATGTATTTTGTGATTTGCTTTGTTATCAAAAGAAAGAAAATGGCATAAAAAGAATGCTATCAATATTTGTAAACTAGTTTACTTATATCTAAAGACTCAGTTTCTTCAAATTATAAGCCAACTTTTTCTGATGATAAAAAGAGGACATCAACAATGTTTTATCAAACTTTATTGAACCAGTAAATATCAACATCATGTAAATAAAGCACGATAGAAGCAGTCAAACACTACGTTTACACATCAACATTTAAAAACACAATGTTGGCTTCTGATTTGATACCAAAATGATTGAAATTATTTACCAACAGCACTAAACTGTGCAACAGCATTCATTTTTCTCCTACAAAATGCAAATATGGTCTCTGAAAGCTCCTCTCTAAAAATAAAACTGTTGCCAGAGACTATAAATATTTCTCTCTTTGATCGTGCTTAATGAACATCTTTAAACCGAAACATGAAACCTTCTTATTTAGACAAAAATATACTCAGACTTTACATCTATTTTAGGAAAATAGTGCACAGCAAGAGATTACATAGATATATTTATAATGAAGAAATATATCAAACATACACCCATTTTATTATACAAAAAAGTCCATGTTTTGAAATATAATGGAACCTCTGAATCTCGTTCGCATCTAGAAACACACTGATTGGGATTTCTGACAGTCCAGCTATCAACACAAATGTTAAAGTTAGAAGTTTGCTTGTTTAAATGAGCAGTCACTCGAAAAAATGTTAAATTAGGTGCATTTTATTGCTTTGATATACTCAGCACAACTGCCACACCTTTTCAGTAATAGTGTGGAGGTAAAATAAGCAAAGTAAATTCAGCAGGAGGTCTTTCTGTCAAACTGTTTCTGGTTTCGCCGTTTGGCTCTGGCAGGAGTGAGAGTCCCCGAGTAGAAAACAGCCCAAATGACGATTGATTTGTCCAAAATGATTACTCAAGTACATCTGTGTCAAAACGCAGCTGTAACTGCTGGAAAAAATAAATAAAATGTCAAAGATAAAGTAAACTTTCATTTATCTTGGAGTAAGAGGAGAGGTTATAAATATAAAGCACTACCAGAACAGCGGCTTCCTTTTCAATTTTCAAGAAACCCCTGAAGACCCTGCTCTTCAGAGAGCATCTTCTAAACTAGCACCTTCCCTGCACCCCCACCCCCCCACCCCCCACCGTCCACTCCTTTGTTCCCTCCTCTCCATGATTGATGTCAAGTGGTTGTTATTGTTGTTAGCCTCAAGGGCAACATGCCGATTATCACTTGTAAGTCGCTTTGGACAAAAGCGTCTGCTAAATACATAAACAAACATATTTGCATTCTGAAACTGGAAAGGGCTTCAACTGCTCAGACTGGTGATGAATCCAAGATAAACGTCTTGAAAATTCAACTTTAAGTCTCTCTAGAGAACAGAAACAGAGACTTTTTGTAGAGGTAACACAAACAAACTGGCCCACTTTACAGTAGTTCTCCTAAACGCGAGCACTCTGATCAGTCTCACAACGTTTGTCTTAAACAAAAGGCTCAGACGTTATGGGCAGTTTAAACCAGTACAACCAAACAGAACTAATACAGTACTAAATACTTCAGTGATTGAGGAATTCAGATTTAAAATCTGGAAGTTTTCTTTAGATGTTCTTAGGCCTTAACTAAACACTGGCACTCACCGTGGAGCTGGTCAGTAATGACGCTACCGTCATGTGGTGTGCTTTGTGTTGTGTGCTTCTGCTGCGATCAGATCTGACGGGTGACCTGGCAGTCGGTCACCAGGTGAATCGTGGAGGTGTCGTCACATGCAGTTGACCACGTTGCTGGAGCCCTGACCGATGTCCCGGACTTGGCTGACGTGAGACGAACACACTGCGACTCCAGCTCCGGCCCGGCAGTGAGACACAGAACCCACCAGTTCCCATCTGGGTCACAGAGACACACAATCACCATGAAATTAGACACAAACAACATCTTGATAATGGAAAATCCAAATGAATTAAATAAAAAAAAGTGTAAAGAGTAACTAACTATTGTAGCATTTTAAAGGGGTACTAGAATATTTGAAACTTTTCTTTGAGCCTTTATGAAATTTAACTGGGGCTCAAAATGACCCAGGAGTACAGACGAATGGCCAAACGCAACATCAAAATACAACGGAAAGACTGGTTTACTCTACCGACTAAACCAGGACATGAATACTAATTGAACTGCATGCTGATTGGCTAATTTCCTCCATTTTCTCTACAACGCTACCTGAAGCAAAGACTCCACAGCTGTGTACAGCAATCGTATTACTCAATGGACAAGCTTTGGATCTATCTCACATTCATTCAAAGTTACATATTTCCAGTACATCCTGGAACCTTTGGGCCGTGATATACTTATGTTTATGTATTTAGCGCTTTTTAGACGCGTTGTCCAAAGCGACTTACAGATAAGGTTGCCCTTGAGGCTAACATGCAATAATGAATCTTATATATATATATATATATATATATATATATATATATATATATATATATATATATATATATATATATATGAAAGTCTAATGTTTATCAGTACATTACAGAAAATAATTAACTTTATCACAATATGCTAATTTAATGAGAAGGATCTGTATGTGAACAAAGGCACCTGCTGCCTGCACCACCGCAAGGTTAAAGAGCAAGTAATGCCTAAATTAACTTTTTTTTTGCTGATAACCTGTACAGATGAGTGTCTAATGGTGCTGTACACATGTGTAATCATTAGTGTGGCAGTTTAGTGCAACTTACTCTAAATCTAATATTTCAGCCCAAAACCATAATAATTCTTCAGGTTAAAACTCTGCTCCACATTTATTCAGAAGCAGCTGTGGCTGATGGCTAAGCTGAAAAAAATGACGTTATCAGCACTGGTCTCCAGGTGAGGCAGCCGCACCTCCGCCTGGCTCAACCACTCACCTGCCGATTTGACACATTAGCGCTCAGAGCCGTTCGCCTCCTTGAAAAAAATGCCCTCCTCCCCTTTTTCATCTAATGATCTCGTTTAACAGGAAATCCTCCAGAAAGCTGCAGAATCTGTCTGCTTTTCTCCGGAGGGGCAAGTCTTGTGTGAGTGCGTGCTTGTGTGCACGCGCTCGTTAACAACTAGTTTTTAGATCGAGAAACTCCGACAGCACACGCGGGGGGGTTGAGAGGGGTGCGGTCTCCCACTGCCTCGGTGCCGCTCTCTCGGTCCGCCAGGAGATTCCTCTTTCAGAAGCGTTCTCCTAACAGGAAGTGCGGATGAAATACGTCTCCACCCAGGCCTTGACCCTCACTTTAAGCAGCACGTATATTCTGGCCCTTACAAGTGTGCTCTGACCTTCTCTTTCATTCCCTCTCATCCAAGAAGGGGGTTAGAAGTAGATCCGACTAGTATTAGCAGTAGCTTGGCTTTGCGTTAGCAGTAGCTCAAGCTAGCATTGTTCTGCAATTAGCATTAGCAAAATTTATAAATAAACATCAAAGTAAGTTGGAATGCCTGGTAAAACATTTCCACAAATCTATTAAGATCATCTGAGAAGCTCTAATGATATAACTACACATAGGAGAACAACGGAGCTCCATGCGAGGCTTAATGTTTAGAAGGAATTAACTGACTGATGCGATTATCAGCCTGCCTGATCCAAACTTCTCCTGTTTGCTGTTCATCTAAACAAAAACAGACCAATATCATATATTCCTTTTACAGTGTCGTGCTAACAGAACTGCATTCCCAGTTTTGATTAAAAGACATTTGATTTTATTACAAAAGAGACAAAACATAAACAATAGCCTATATATCTGAGAAGAATGCCCAATCTCCTCCTCACCTGTTCATTCGAGGCTCAAAAGCCTCCACTGTGTTCAAGTAAATGTTTCCATTGTGTCCCCCGACTGCAAACACTCTTCCCATGACAGTGGCCACTCCGACGCCACCGCGTGGGGTGGTGAGCTCAGAGACGTACTCCCAGCAGTGCATCCGAGGGTCAAAACGCTCCACAGAGCTCAGGGGAGAGTTGTCATCAAAGCCACCTTGAAAAAATAACCAGAAAATGGTCAAATTTGTAAAATATTGTGCTCATTACTTCCTATGACAGCATAAAAACATGCAAATTTCTGTTGTGCAATAAGAATATTACACTCTATGAATCAGTTACCAAACAGCCTTTACAACTTGTCTCCATATCACGTCTTTGTATATAAAAATAAAGGGCGTGCACTTGTAGCATGTGAAAACAGAAACCTGAAGTGCACAACTTAGATCTGTTTATGAGTCTGAGTTTGTGAGAGAGATTTGCTCATGTCATCGCATTCCTCTCACCCACTACATAAAGGCAGCCATTGAGTTTGCTGACGCCGTTTCCAGCCCGCCGCTGGCCCATCTCGCTGACCTCCATCCACTTGTTGAGGTGAGGATTAAACCGTTCCACGCTGGAGAGTGATGCCACGCCATCATTTCCTCCGACTGCATACACGTAACTCTATCAAGCAGAGGTGAGAACGAAATAAAGTTACGATTAAATCCTTGTCAATCATAAAAGATGTATTGTCTAGAAGTTTTACCCCTAATGCCACAGATCCGACCCCTCCTCTGGGCGTGTTCATTGGAGCCACAGCACTCCAGCTGTCATCTTCAGTGTCGTAACGCTCCACATCATTGAAGCAGGAGTTGTCATCCAGACCACCGATAGCATATATAGGACCCCCGAGAGCTGCCAGGGCTATACCCCTCCTGACGAACACATGCAGATGGTTAGTTGGTTAAATTATCATTCTGACCCATTTCTCAGTAAATGAGATTTATAAAAAGAGCATTTAGATGTACCTTTTAGTGTTCATAGAGGCTTTCATCATCCACTTGTTAGTGAGCGGGTCAAACATCTCCATGTTTCCCAAGTGTTCATTTCCATCATGACCTCCAACAGCATAAACTTTGCCTAAAGAATTAAAAACAAACACGGGGACATTCAGATACTGAGCTGGAAGCATGTCTTAGACTTTTTCTGTCTGGAGACAAACTGGAGCACGGTTCAGACCTCGGTTGGTATACTTATTGTCACATATGTCAAATTATCACAAGCTCTTTGTTATCTACTAACCCTTAGACTCTGCAGCAACACATGAAACCTTTCTCACCTCCGATGGAGATCACGCCCACGTGGCGCCGCCTGCTGTTCATTTCTGGACCAAAGAACCAGCTGTTCTTGGAGATGGAGTAGCATTCAATGCTACGAAAAGGGTCACCAGAACCTCCCCGGCCTCCAACACAGAAGAGGACCCCTAAAAAAACAAAAACATGGAACATAACAAACTGTCGGTACACTGAGAAAATATAAAAAACTTGCATTATCACCTGAAAGCTTAGAAATAAACACAAGACATTACAAAGGGCCACAAATTAAGCCTGATCTGATATTAGTTTTTATTTTCAATCAACATCCATGAAGTCGTGAGATCAAACTCACCAATTTTTTTTCTTAAACTATGCAAACCCCAACTGCTAGGTGGAGGCAAATTTTACCGCCATCCTTCTGAGGGAAAAGCAAGATCTTGTAAGAACACTCCCCTATCTTTGTGTTCTGAGCAGTAGCTCATTTCTTTATCTTGATAAGAAAAGGTGCTGACTGCTGCTGAGCCATAAAAGATGCTATATGATCAAAACAAAACACTGTGTCATACCTGCGGTATGCTTCCGGGGGACGGTGCGGAATGAATACTCAAAGTCTGGAACCGCCTTGTTGCTGAGGTGGAGGTGGTAGTTCCTGGCTTCATCCATCAGGTCACGGCAGTTCAGGTTACTTTTGATCATCTCGTCTTTTGCAACTGTTCCTGTCAGGAACTCCACAGGCAGCAATGGAAGCCGCACCTGTAGGAGAGATGGTTAAACATCTTACATTAAACTGTGAACATGCAATAGCACAAATTTCTTACAAGAATTCTTGGCTGGTAAGCTCGGTTGTTAAAGGGATACTATGCAATTTTGCTTGCTTTTAGCACCCCCTAAAGTCCGTTAGTGAAACCAAAAGTGAAACTTAACGCTGTTTGTCTTTTTAACACCTAATCCAAATGCTGAAATGTCTCCTCAGCCTACACTGGTGTCTACAGGAGTGATTCATCACTAAATCAAACCAATCAGCTGTGTTCTTGATCTAAAACATGCAGGAATCATGCTGGAAACCAGGCATGTCTACTCCACTTTACTAAGTTTAACACGTTTGTCACTCTGAAGTTGCAAGTGCGGTATTCTGGCCACAGAGGGCAGTGGGGTCTGAGTGACATTTCGGTATCCAGCACGTTTTAGTTTAACTCTGTTTCAACACACCTGATTTCAATCAGCAGGTGATTAACAGGCTTCTGCAGAGTCTGATGAGCTGCTGCACTGGTGATTCAACCACTGAATCAAGTATGGAGTAGAGAAACCACTAAAACATGCTGGATACCAGCCCTCTGTGCCCGGAATTGGATGCCCCTGCAGTAAAGGGTCCTTTTAGCACATAATAGCTCAACAAAAATTATTTTAAAGTTGCACAGTATCCCTTTAAGATCAAACGTCACAAAAACAACAACGTGGAAGAATAAAACACCACCCTTCTCTAACCTGAGACATGATCTGGTCCAGCCAGGCTTCATGGTGCTGCGGGTTTGCTTTCAGCCATTTCACCGCTGCATTGTACACCTCTGTCTCAGAGTGGATGTTCAGGTCACTGGAGGACAGCAAGGTACGTAGGTGTTGAGGCGACACACACGTGAAGTCCTCACATTCCACCACCTCAGTGAAGTGCTCACAGGCGTAGCGGTCAGCCATGTCCATCAGGTCAACACGATTGTGGCTCTCAGCGAAGGTTCGGACCGCCAGGCAGTTGGTGGGGTGAAAGTGGGCCTTCATGTACTCGCAGCAGGCTCTAGCCACCAACTCAACCTGGCAGAGGTGAAACATTTTAAATGACACAGATGTGTGGTACAAAAAAAACAATCAGTTCTGAGCTTCATCATGCTTCATATAAGAAGAGAGAAGACTCCAGTTCCGGGTCTACCCAGAGACTGTGCTTTGTGGCTTTTACCTGAAGGATGCAGGCAGCATAAAGCAAGGGCTGCACGTTGTCCACAGTTAATGTCAGTTTGGAGGAATATGCAAAGTGCACCAAGTCCTGGATGGCATCTCCATCAAAGTCTTTTATCTCTATGAGTTCCTGTTTGGTCTCTGACATATCTGACAGGAACATTGCCCTGAGAGGAGAAAGAGCAAACCACACGGAAAACAGCTCGTATTTAATACTTAAATTAAATCTAACTGTTGTGTAAATTACAGGGTTGAGAATATGCTGGCCAAATGGCACAGCTGCAACGTGAACATTCAAGGAAATAAAAGAACAAACAAGCAGCCCACTGAACAAACCTGAAGTAAGGGATAACACAAGCAAGTACAAGCTTGTGACATGGTATCAACCTACTGCCAACCTAGGAAAAGGGACAAATACAGAGAATATATGATTATATGCCGTAGCTCAGTATTTGCTTTTTCGAATAACACTGAGGTCATTAGAGAAAATACAGTGGGTACAGAAAGTATTCAGACCTCTGTGAATTTTTCACTCTGTTATATTGCAGCCATTTTGCTAAAATCAATTACATTCATTTTTTCCTCATTAATGCACACACAGCACCCCATATTGACAGTTAAACATAGAACTTTCTGCAGTTATTAAAAAAGACAAGCTGAAAAATCACAGGGTTCCAAGTATTCAGACCCTTAGCTGTGACACATGTTTAACTCAGGTGCTTTCCATTTCTTCTGATCATCCTTGAGATGGTCCTACACCTTCATAGGAGTCCAGGTGTTTGATTATACTGCTTTGACTTGATTAGGAAAGCCACACACCTGTCTAGATAAGACCTTACAGCTCACAATGCATGTCAGAGCAAACGAGAATCAAAGGGACTGCCTGAAGAGTTCAGAGGCAGAATTGTGGCCAGGCACAGATTTGGCCAATGTTACAACAAAAAAAATCGTCTGCACTTTAGGTTCCTAAGAGCACAGCAGCCTCCATAATCCTTAAATGGAAGATGTTTGGGACGACCAGAACCCTTCCTAGAGCAGGCCGTCCGACCAAACTGAGCTACCAGGGAGAAGAGCCTTGGTGAGAGAGGTCAAGCAGAAATGGTAAATGGCTTGCATTTGCATAGTGCCTTTATAGGGTTCTACAACCCCCCACGGTGCTTCACAACACAATCAGTCATCCACCTTCCATCTTTCAGTTTTTAAAAAGAACTGAAAGATGGAATTTGAAACTAAACACAGCAAGAACACACCAAAGTCATCCACACGCTGGTGGAGATTAACTACAATATAGCCACAGCTGCCCTGGGGCGCACTGACAGAGGCAAGGCCTGCCAAACACTGGCACCACCGGTCCTAAACCTAAATATCCCTGTGGCTGAGGTCCAGAGATGCAGTCAGGAGATGGGAGAAAGTTGAAGAACATCAACCATCACTGCAGCTCTCCACCAGTCATGGAGTTTGCTAAAAGACACCTGAAGGACCCCTAGATGGTGAGAAATAAGATTCTCTGGTCTGATGAGACCAAGGCTGAACTGTTTGGCCTTAATTCTAAGCTGTATGTGTGGAGAAAACCGGCACTGCTCACCACTAAACCATTATAGGGAATGATGAATGCGGCCAAGTACAGGAATATCCTGGACATTCTCCAGAGTGCTGAGGACCTCAGACTGGGCTGAAGGCTTACCTTCCAACATGACAATGACCCTATGCACACAGCTAAAGTAACAAAGGAGGGAATTCAAGGCAATTCTGTGACTGTTCTTGAGTGCCCCAGCCAGAACCCTGACTTAACCCAATTGAGCATCTCTAGAGAGACCTAAAAATGTCTGTCCACCAACGTTCACCATCCAACCTGACAGAACTGGAGAGGATCTGCAAGGAGGAATGGCAGAGGATCCTCAAATCCAGGTGTAAGAAACATGGTGCATTTTTACCAAGAAGACTCATGGCTGTATTGACTCAAAAAGGTGCTTCTACTAAATACTGAACAAAGGGTCTGCATACTTAGGACCATCTGATATTTCAGTTTTTCCTTTTTAATAAATCTGCACAAATTTCTAAAATTCTGTGTTTTTCTGTCAGTATGGGGTGCTGTGTGTGCATTAATGAGGAATGGCTGCAACATAACAAAAAGTGAAAAACTGACGGGGGTCTGAATACTTTCTGTACCCACTGTATGATAAAATTAAACTATCCTTTAAAAATAAAATAAAATAAACCAAAGTAAACTTGAGGATGAAAAACGCTGAGAAAAACTAACCTTCAGCGTTACGTCACAGAGCTCTCCAACTTCGTAGAAATGCCTGAGAGAATTATGGAAGTCCTTCCAGGCTTCATTGGCCTCAAAGACAAAAGACCCATCAGGCTCACATTCCGCTTTGAACGCCCTGCTTCCTGGACGCTTCTCCTTGGATTTCAGTTGCTTGGCATGATTTGGCACCACATCCCCTGGTGCCATGGTGGGCTACATGAAACAGACCCTACGAGAGAGTAGGAAATAAGAAAACCTAAACATCATACCAAATATCATGCCAAATTAGAATATGAGATTAAAATACAGCAGCCAACAGCTATATCCCATTTTGTTCTTATTTATCTGAGCAAATCTAGTAAAGTGGAGCATAATAATACAGGCTTTGAAAAGCAAATGGGGTCTTGTTCGTGAGTGAGGGAAAGATGAATCAGAAGATCCACAGGCGGATTGGTGCTGTGTCTGCAGTGATGCGGGCGTTGTACCGGTCTGTTGTGAAGCGAGAGCTGAGCCAGAAGGTGAACCATTCGATCTACGCTCCTACCCTCATCTTAGGTCACAAGCTTTAGGTAGTGACCAAAAGAACAAGATCGCATATACAAACGGCCAAAAATAGTTTTCTCCACAGGGTCCCTTAGAGATGGGGTGATAGGCTTGGTCATATGGGAGGGGCTTGGAGTAGAGCTGCTGCTCCTCCACATCAAGAGGAGCCAGTTGACGTGGCTTGGGCATCTGGTTAGGATGCATCCTGGACGCCTCCTTGGTGAGGTTTTCTGGGCACGTCCAAACGGTAGAAGACCTAAAGGAAGACTCAGGACACGCTGAAGGGACTATGTCTCTCGGATGACCAGGGAACACCTTGGGATTCCCTCGGAGGAGCTGGCCCAAGTGAAGGGCCTCTCTGCTTAGGCTGCCGCTCCTGCAACCCGACTCCAGATAAGCAAAGATGGATGGATGAACAACAAATTTAATAAAATGTCTTCAAATAACTTCAGCATCACAACGAACTGGTCATCCCCAACTCGTTGCTATTTTTCTGAAACAAGGTCAAAAGGCTGCTGGGAGACCGACGCTGAAATAGAAACTGGAAAAAGGATCTCCACCTGGTGATTTTAGATTATTTTAGGAAAAACATAACACCTCCAAATTGGTAAAGGCAAACTTGTTCAGTGAATGTAGAATATTTAATTTCTCACATTTGTGTGATTCATAATGTTTTCCTACAAAGCTGTGAAGCTGCAACATTAAATGTGACCACTCATCTCATTTAAAGAAACGCAGAGAGAAACTTTATTAATCTAATGAAGTCTGTGGCTCCTCTAAACAAAAGGATGTAACGTGTTGACATTAGAAACACAAGACATCTCTACAAAGTAAAAGTTACAACCAATTGGACCAAAGTCTCAACAGTCTCCATAACAATTTAAATGTGACTTTAACTTTTATAACTACCATTTCAAGAGGTCAGTGACAGATTATAAACCTCTTAGAGGCTCAGCATTGAGTTTGACACAAAGTAGTACAGACCCAACACAAAGTAATGCTTTGGTCCTACTTTTTCATTTGTTGTAGGTATAGAAACTAAAATCTTATCCCAGTGGAAACAAGAAAAAGTGCATTGTTCCCAAAAATCAACACCAATAAAATATACATACCATGAATTTAAAAGACAAACTTTGATGCCAAGAAAGCTGTTGTCTTAAGAGACAGCAAAAGCTATTTTAGGTTTTGTGTGAACAGTTCATCTCACCAAATTGACGTCATCAAACCAGACACAAAGAAGAGAAGATTAGTTTAGCGAGCTTCAAATCCAGAACGATAAAAGGAGCATTAAACGTGGACAAAACCATTATAAATCTGGCCATGTGGTAAGAGGTTCTGCTGTGACGGTATTCATGCAACCTCTGATATCATTTCCAAATTTTTAAAAGCTACAAAATCTCAAAGTACGTGCCAGACAGTCGAAACTCACATTAATTATTTTAACTTAAAATTGAAGTTTAACATGTGCAATTCAAGGCGTAAAGCAAAGTGGATTAGAAAACAGCTTTTATAGCTGCATTCATTGTGTTGCAGGGACCCGTGAGACGACCAGAAGGGGAGGAGACCTGGGCTCCCTTTTCTGATGGAACGAGACTTTGCGAGAACACTGGATGCATCTTGGAAGCGTCTGGCCTGAGGTTTCCAATTAAATTCCGTCTTAAAAAACCGCTAACTTCGTCTCCCAGGTGTTGTGATTTATATTGTATTGCCAGATTCTTACCAACATTTATATTAGTTAAGGAATTATAAAAAGGAATAGTAGTTAATAGTAAATTAAGGGCTTCTGTAGAGAAAACATTATTCCACATCTGATTGTGAAAATTTTTAACTGTTTTTTAATTATCTTTTTTACAGATAAGCTCAGGTTAAAGCAGTGAGAGACAAATTATATTTTAAATTCTTCTGTTTAAATTCAACAATTACCAGTCACTGTTTACATGCAAACATCACTACAAGCTTCGGTGTAGGTGATGAGTGGCTGTGTCAGTAGTACAGTCAGTATCGCTCACTAGCGTAGCTACTTCACTTTCCAAGCAATCTTGAAAAAACTACAGTCAAATGTGGGAGAAGTGGGGCAACTAGTATGTAGCAAACTAGTAAAGGATCTTTTCAACAAAAAAGCCAAGCAATCAAACAAATAGCACAACTCCTACCTACTGATTAATGCTGAAGAAATCGTCTCCGCTGACTTGTCTACAGATGAGTCTGAATGCAGACAAAACAGCGGAGACCAACTCTTCCCCCACACCTCACAGACCATGCAGTGTCTCCAACACTGAATAGACTCGGCGTATCAGCCCTCATCACTAGTCCTCTCAGCTACAGGAGCAGAAGACGTCGAGTCCCATCACATACACTAATGTTCAAAGGCTCCCTCTGGCTCTGCACTGCTTTGTGAAGTTCATCTTTGAGGTTTTTCAGCAACTCTAAACAAATCACTGTCACTGTTGCTCAAACGAGTCTGTGGGTACATTTTTATGGTTTTAAGTAAATCCACAGACTTTGTTACAATTTTAAATAAAGGGGTAAATAAAGTGGGGTTGTCGATATTCAAAAAATCCTGCTCAAATACTCAAAGCTACTGAAAGCAACTAAATTAAATGGCAAACAGTGGTTGCTCCAGATACTATTATGGTACAGCCAGCCTTTAAGGCACACCTCTGCCTCATGCTGAAAGGGAAAAATGCTTAATAACCAAGATTTAGAGAGATCACTGAGCAATATGTGAGAGAAAGAGGCATTTTATGTACATAAATCTTATTGGATTTTTGAGTTTAACTCATGCCCATTGGAGTGTTGTGTTTACAATGTTGAAAATAAATGTGTTTGAGGAAAACAAGGAAATATTAAACCCCAGTCTTTGTTCAAAAAAGCCATGGGTCTCTACTGCCTCTATGAACACTACACATGAAGATAAAGCCCAGCCATCCATTTTCTGTCAGTATTTGATTTAGGAATTAAACTCCTAAAATGAGCCGTAAAAAAAATCCCTATTGTGGAATCTCAAATAGGGAAAATTAGCATGGTCTCACCTCTCCAGGCTGGAGAAGCTGCAGCTCTACTTCGAGCCCCTCCCGGATTTGGGAGCTTTGTCATCAAACAGCACTTACACACTAGCATCGGCTCCACTCTGCCTGGACCAGGTTGGGAGTTTTCTCATTTAGGTAGCCTTGGCTTTTCCCACGCGCAACCGGAAGTTTTTTCAGCCCTCTTTTCGAGATGATTTGCCTGGAGCCAAACTGGTTTAACATGCCCACTGCTGACTGATTGGCTGGCTCAAAAATCATGCCTACCATTAGAGGGAGCCTCCGACTGGCATAGAATCATCCCACGGGGCTTCCCCATTATCATTCTGGATGATGTGGAGTTAATGAGCCTCTGACTGAAGCTGTTCTTTTTGGCTCTCCCTGCTGTGAGAAGCACACACACACACACGCACACACACACACACAGCTTCCAGACACAACAAAGCAGAATGCAAAATCAGAGTCAGAGAGCCTCCAGAAGCAAGACTGCTCAGGCCACTTTAATTTAATAATGGAGACACCACGGACTTCCCTGCGCTCTTGTTACCCGCCCACGTGCTCGGAGATGCGCTCATGACATCACAGACCACAGCCCATGTGCTCAATCATGTCCGCATTCCTAAGGCAGTGTGGAACAAACGCGGCCAGGCTGGAGGGAGTGGGGCGGAGCCGATGCTAGTGTGTAAAGCCTAATTTATAATTCTCTGTCTTTGCGGAGACACACAATGCCATTATGCTTCACACAAAAGCTCTCTGTTGGGCTCGCGGTAGGTGACAGAAACATACACCAATTTTTAATTATCTGTCGAAAGATTGTGATTGGTCAGGGTGCTGCTTCCTATACATTCGTCAACAGCACTGCTTTTCCCCCCTCAAAAAATAAAAAGATATTTAGCGGCAGACTCAAGAGTGCATCACGGGAAAAAGTATGAAAAAATAAACGTTTATTCAGCAGTGACTAAAGGAGTACAAAAATATGTAGCGAGCGTCTTATTTGTGGACAGAAAAGACGAGAAACGTGGGTTAAAAGGTGCCGATCTGATAAAGAGGTGGATGGGGGACATATTTGTTCCGAGTTCAAAAGTCTCAGAAATACATTAAAACAATGTAAACGCAATAGTAAACACACTATCGTGGACCGGGTATGTGACTGTAATGGTGGCAGGATACCTCAGAACAGCGCTACCCACTCTCTTGTCCTGGACGATCCCCAGCTGTTGGAGAAGTCTGAGAGCAAAACATCTCTGTTAATGCGTGCACATCTCCATCACGGCGCGGGAGTAGTATAAATTAGGCTTTAGTGGTATAATAACCGCCTATGGATGTGTCAGACCCCTGAAATGGCTCATTTTGGAAGGTGCTGAAACTGTCAAGTATGAAAGTGCTGAAATTGCCTTATGACATCCAAAGAAGTTCATCAACATGTTTTGTTTGGACCATATGAGTTTTATATCTTTTAAAGTCATAAGTCTCATTTAAAGCTGTGCTGTAAAGAGGTCAAGGCAGCATTAAGTGCAACAATGTGTGTGAAACGTAGTCAACAAATGTCACTTTACAAGATTGTGTCGTTTTCATCTTTTCCATGTCGTTTAGCTATTCTAGACATAAAAGCAGGGGTTAAATTTAATCACAAACGCAATTCAAGCCACAACATTACCGGGAATACAACAGGACTGTTTACCATCCAAGATTTGTTGACGTACTGAGGCTCATGAGGGGCATGACTCCAAATTAAAGTTATATGTGCTGCAGCTCCATGATGGAAATGTGTTTAGTTTTCGATAGCTGCACAAATTTCAGGCAAAGAGGCAAGCCAGTTTTAAACGAGGTTTTAAACTATTTAGCATTACTTTTAAACACGTTTATATTTAACCATCAGAGATAGACTACGATTAAACGCTTAGACGATCCATAAACACAACAAATAAATATAGCTAACAAGGCAAAAAGTGGATTTATGGTTAGCTTGCCTGCTAACAACCATGTAGCATCGTCATGACAGCTAACCTGACAGGAAACCGTAAAGATTTAAGCGTAAATTCAACGCAAGCTGATATAGAGGAGTACAAATTACAATTAAATGTGGCGTAATCTGTTCGCAATTTAACATGTTATAAAGTTACATACCTCATGTCGTAGCAAGATATAAAAGGCCGGTTTATTACACAGGCATTCTTTAGAATCGGAACGTGTTGTGACCCCAGGTGCTTTCTGGGTAATGTAGTTAAAGGCAACATAGTGTCAGTAATTTTCATCGACATAAATATATATTTAATATATATAAATATATTTAAAAAAAAATTGTAAAATAAGTTCATGATCTTATAAAGTTATAAATATATATTTAATATATATTAATATATGTAAAAAAAAAAGTAAAATAAGTTCATGATCTTATAAAGTTATGAATAAATACGTGTTCATTTTTATCCCTTTCCAAAGTGTCTAAATGTTTATTCTGGACAACTTAATGACAAACTGTAATTACATCAAAACCACGTATTTAACACTTATTGAAACATAACTCATCAGAACAATAATACAAATGTTGATTAAAAAAATCCAATCTTCTATTTTTTACAATAATTGTGTTTGACTAAAAATATTATACTAACTAGCACAGCAAAACTTAAGCCCTGGAGAGTAACAAGAGGTAAAGTTTGTTGATTTAGCACTACCATAGAAAGATAAATCACAAAGAACAAAACAAGTCATAAAATGATCAGAAAAACAAAACTAAATATTCTAAAGTACAAATGAAAGATCAAAATCAGAAAACAAAAAAGACTTACAAGTTTTAAATAAATTATCATAAATCAAACTACTAATATATCATAAAACAAATAAATTATAAATTCACTGTTAAGATGATAAAAAATACTAAAAATATATATAAAAAAACATAAGATTTAAGCAAAAGCAGATTAAAATTAAAGGGTCTTCTGTTGCTTTTGGAAGATGACCAGACTGTCTATACTATGTACGGATAAGGGTGGTTCCTTCCAAAATCATCGTCCTACAGCCTGGAAAAAAGAGATCACATCGATTTTTAGGTCTGGTCTTTGGTGCTTCTAGAAGGTTCTGGTTTGTGGACCAGTATGGGATTCTTAGAAACCCAATACCTGTGCCACTCATTAAAATTTGATAAAAACACATATTAACACACCTTTGCATTCTGGGAGATTAATTTCCTGCTGTACTAAGGAATCTTGAAGAGGTCATGAATTTGACCTCTACGTGTGTAAAAAGTCCAAATGTGGCAATAAGAAACCTACTGAGAGGCCCAAGTTAGTGGATACCACCCAGCAGGAGAGTACAAGCTAAAGCTAAACAGGGTTCAGTACTTTGATTCTCCAGATTTGTTTTCATTAGTTTCATAAAAGTCAGTGTGAGAGTTGGAATAAAATCACCTCATTGACACAAAACATATCTGCAAAATTATTAATGATGGTTTATTTAATGAGTGTAAATGCACCCACTTTAATTGCTGACAATGACAGTAAGATGCTAAACATACAAGCAGCTTAAAGAATATACAGTTTTATTTGACACAGTCAAAGTTGTGGGTGTGAAGGCCGGTAGACAGCATGAGGGTCACACTTCTACTTGTACTGCTTCCTTTTCTTCAGGAGGGCAGCCTGGAGAGCAAGCTAGAAAGAAAATTTAAAAAACAATTTCAAAACCAAGTTTCCAAAACAGCGTTTTATCTTTACAGTCAATAAAACGTGTTTATCACGGAGGGGAGAGTCACCTGTTTCTCTCTGAAAGAGCGTTTGCCTTTAGTCCTGACGTTCTGACTGTGTTTCATCATCATGAAGTTCTTCTTTCTCCGTTTCTCCTTGTTGCTGCTGCTGGCGTGTGGGTTCAGTTTGGTTCGCTTCTTCACAAATTCCTTTCGGTCACTTCGTCCTGCCTGGAGGTCAAACGCATCGTCAGGATATGTTTGGGTTTGTTTTTTTGCTTCAACAACACTCAAGCAGAACTTGATTTCCCTAATCTCTTCCCCCCCCCCCCCCTCCCCCCCCAAATGATGTTGCAGATGTGACTGATTTTACCAAAGCTGTCGCCAGCCGAGTCTCCTTGTCTGCTTTAGGCTTTTTATGCAGCTTCTCAATATCTCTCAGCATCAGCAGCTCTCCTCTGAGGAAGAAGAAGACACATTATTCAACTACAAGATGTTTCATTGCAAAGAATCGGATTCCTGACAGAAAGAATTTCTCACTTGTCGTCGTCATCACTTTCCACCATTTTCCTCTTCTGGCCCTTTCCTGGAGCAGCGCTGATCTCTTTGGCCATCTGAGCCAGGCGGATTTTCTTAAAGTCGTCCTGCGTGAGGAGCCTGCTGCCACTGACTGCTGCCGCCTTGGCTTTCCTTTCTTCAGCTGGAATACTCTGAAGCTTCTCCGCCTTGCAAATAATTTATTTTTTGTAAAAAAAAAAAACAAAGAAACTACAAGTTTCAAATAAAAACCAACTTATGCAGCCCTTCATGGTTCGGTAACAACTTTTTTACTAGGAAATCTTTATGTCTCTTATTTTGAAAGTTACTGTATGCTTTTCACCACTCCTGTGCTTGACTTCCTGTCTGGCCCGATCTTAATCTACTTAACGCATTTTGGAAGCGTTAAAGTGTTAAAAACAATGGCTAATCTGCCATTAGCGGCAGATTGCAGCAGCGCATTAGGCTTTGTAGATGTAATGACGAAACACATATGGTGGAAACCAGAGGTCACGCTGCTCTTTTTTCAGAAACATGGTTGTTTTGTTGCATTGTAATGTTTCAAAGTCACAAATTTCAAACAAGTAAGTTTGTATTTTGGCCCTCTATGCTCTATGAACTGCACGATGAGTCCAAACGAAATGTCATTTTGTTAACCTGCTCTGTATGAAGGGAATGACAATAACGTCTTTGAATCTTTTTTAAAAATAAAACACGAATCCATCATTTTCCTGATCTAAAGCGCTCTGGATCTTCCTCCTCACCACTTCTCCAGCATCTTCATCTGATGAGTGGTGGACATCCACCCATTCTCCATCCTCATCATCGTCGCTGATACTGGCGCTCTCCCAGCCATCTGTGGAACAAGGAAGATCATGTCCGACGCAAATTACTCCCACATGGCGCATGAAAATGGATTCTCCATTCCACATATCTAATGTGATACGGTCCGAAGCTGACCTTCATCTTCCTCTCCCTCTTTCTTCTCCTCGTCCACCTCCAGGACTTCAGCTCCAGGGATATAGTCTCTGGCCTCGAGCTCACCATAATCTTTTATTTTGGCCTCTGCTGACGCCTCGGTGGGTTTCCCCTACACGGGAGTAGAGTTTCGGATTATAAAAAAAAGCAATTTTATGATTTGTGGAAACTGGAAAACGTTTACGGTTTTAATGCTCATTTCTGACAGTAATAATTAAGTAACAAGTAACTACTTCTTACTGGTATACTATTGTTGTGATATATGCATACCAATACTCTGACTTTTAGAAAGTATTTCAAGTATCTGAGACGTCTTATTTCTCCTTCTGTGTATTTCACAAATCATAATCTCTAATCTGAGGCTACGTTTTAACTTCTGATCCCGTTTGTTTGGTTTAGAGTTTTCAGTGACTCACTCGGTCCTTTTTGTGCAGCATCTGTGGATTGAGACTTCTGAACAGCTGGATCAGACCTCTGGCAGACATCATTACATCTGAAAAACACATGCAGCACGTATAAAAACAGGACTAAGCACTGGCACGATGGGGACTTTAACACAGATTCAACAGACAAGTGTAGATTATTCTCTCACTCTTGTCCTTGTGGGTCTTGTACTGGGATAGGTCCTGCAGCAGGTCTTCAGTGATGGAGAGGGGACAGCGAGCTGCCACCTCCTTGATGGCATTAAGGCTAGAATGGGAATTTATTTACATGAAAAGCTGTAAAATCATATGATGGATGGACAGTACAAAGTTTCAATATAACACATTTAAACATATCAGACATGCTGTGTTCTTACCCGACTGTCATGGCCTCCCCAGAGTTCCTGTCGGTCACAAAGTTATTGGCAATCGTCATAATCACTGGTTCAATGATCTGCAAAAAGGAAAAACAGACAATATCATTGCAACATTTTGTTAAATGTAATTGTTACATATGAAGGATGTGTGGTGTACCTCAGGGGGAACCAGCTGGTGGGAAGCCTGGGCAGCACACAGGAGGATCTTTGTCACTTCTGAAAAGACAAAAGATACGTCTTTAATGGACGGTAGCAGATTAAGACAATTATTTTAGTTGTAAACTATTTCTTAATATTAACGGTCACTTCTCTGGGAGTGAATCAATAACAGTTGCTGGCAGAACGTTTCCATTACTTGTTATTAATAGCGCTTATTTCTCAGTAACATCAACAATACTGAAACGAAATTACTCATTTTACATCATTTTTTAAGTAAATGTTATCACACGGGGGGGAGAAATCTTTTTTAGTTCTGAAGCAAAGGCTCATGGGAGTTTTAACCTCTTTAAGTGTTCTATGGCAGCTAGCTGTGCTGTAATGCCAACGCTAGCTTGTATGTTAACAGGAACAAGTAGAAATTCTGTTTCTGTTGCGTTTAATTTCTGTCCAATTTTTGATAACAGTCCAACAGGTGAAAATGTCCTTGTTAACTTCTCAGCTTTTGGAAAAAAAATAATGCTTTTTTTTGTACTGCAGCACGAGTTTAATTTCAGCTGCAAAGCTAGCATCCCACCACAAGGGGGTGCTACAGGCCCCTGAGATACTTACCTCTCTGATGGGGCTGAAGAAACCTCTGGATGAAGGCGTAGAAATTAAAGAGAAAGAGCTGCAGAGAGAGATTAAAATGAAAAATACATTTCCATCCAATTAAAAGAAATAACAGATCACCTGTAAATAGTAAACGGAAGTTTAGCAGAATCACAGGCACAATTACTAACGTGTTAATCTGATTTATTCTAAACACATTTTGCATTCACAGACCTCGTGGATTCCAACCAGGCGAGAAATGAGATCCATCATCATAATCTTCACCTCAAAGCGCTCCTTAGAGTTTTCCAACTGCTTTAAGAGTTTCTCTGAGAAATCTGGACGTGAAAAGACGTTTGACAACACTTAACTGTGGCACAAGCGAGCACCCAGCTCTTAATCGGCGGTCGTTGAGATTCTGTAGAGCGAGCAGACGAGTGTACCTTGAGGATCGTGGATGAGGTGAATCGCTGAAAAGTTGAAAACTTCCACTTTCTTCTTTTTCTTGTGTTTCTGCCAGAAGAACAGGTAACGACAGATATGAGAGCTGTTTTAAATCAGCTTGGTCTCAGTGGAGTTTAAAACTCTGGTACCTTGAGAACTTTCATAGCCTTTTCCAGCTTCTTCTTGTTTTTGGAAGTTTTCTTGCCTGTGGCGTATCTCACCATCAGGTCTCTCGAGGATGTTCCCTCGTCCTGAAAAGTTGATAAAAAACTTTTTTTTAAATGAACAGTGAACTGTAATTTCTTTTAAATCAGAGGGTAACTTTGTTCTTGATACTTGCCTCAGATTCTGAATCACTCCCATTCTTTTCATCTTCATCTTTACCAAGAAAGAACTTCATGCCTGCAACAAGAATCTAAAAGACAAAAGCAGCAGATTACGTTTGACCTCGCCAGATTATTTATTATTTATTAACAGCAAAGCAAGGAGACACGTTTCATACCTTTGTCACCTTTGAGAAGCATGCCGTTGTAATAACATTCACTGTTTTGGCATCGTTCCTGTGACACAAAATCAAAACAATTCAATGTGAGTAACGATGAATTCTGTAAAAATAAACTTGTTCTGATGATTTGTTCCACCTACCACACATTTCTCTTGTACAGCTCCACCATCACATCTAAAGAGATCTTTGCTGCGATGGGATTGCTGTCTCTCAGCATGGTGTACATGAAGTTCTGCAGCGTCTGAAAGCAAAAAAGAAAAAACCTGAATATTTGTTCAAATCATCACAGCAAACTTACAGACACACTAACACGGAGTACTTACAGTGTTGACCTTGTTGTTTTTGTGTTTTGCGTTGATGTTTTTGATATCTGATACAATGTGTGTGTACAGGGTCTGTGGAGGCACAAAAGCAACTTCAGGGTCGTACACCTTTTCTGATTTTAAAATCAAGCACTTTCAAGGTTTCCTAGAATCCTAAATGGGTGTATGAACAGGAAGCATCTGTGAAAAACATTTCTAAGGATGCATCGATATGAAAATTTGGGCCATTACCAACATTAATATCGCTGTTATGGCTGATAACCAATATCTATCGGTGCATTGGGGTGTAACGATTCACGGGGGGGGGGGGGGGGGGGGGTAAAAACATACACATGTGCTGAATGTTCCCAGTGACTACTGATGTACAGTTTTCATCCTGCAACGAAAAATACGACACGGAGGAAGCCCGTTATTTAATACGAGTTTTAAGAAGAAACTCTGGGCGGTGTGAGGTGAGTTTTTAAGGCTCACTGCAGAAACAAAAACATGGAGCATCAACAGTCAAACACAACACTTGTCTGTATGAGCGTGACACTCAGAGCTGCACAAATAACATTATGTTAGATCAGCAGCCTGTGATGACACCTGGTTCTGCTCGCTATAGAAGCCGCTTCACATATTATTAAATAAATATAATAATAATAAACAGAAAATTAATCGAATCGAGCTCTTCAAAACACTGAACCGAACCAAATCAATTTTTGCGAACCGTTACACCCCTAATATAAATAGAACAAAAATATAAACACCCACTTTGCTTTTGCTCCCAATATTCATGAGCTGAACTCAAACATCTGAAAATGTGTCCACATACACAAAAGACCCATGGCTCAAATATTGTTCTGAAATCTGTCTACATGAGTGTTAGTGAGCACTTCTCCTTTACCAAGATAATCCATTCCACCTCACAGGTATGGCATATCAGGGTGCTGATTAGATAACATGAATGATGTACAGGTGTGCTTTAAGACTGCCCACAATAAAAGAACACTCTGAAATGTGCACAGTTTTGCATTATGGGGTGTTGGGGCAGAAAACCAGTCAGTATCTGGTGTGGCCCCCATTTGCCTCAAGCAGGGCAACACATCTCTGTCGTATAGAGTTGATCAGGTTGTTGATTGTGGCCTGTGGAACGTTGGTCCACTCCTCTTCAATGGCTGTGCGAAGTTGCTGAATATTGACAGAAACTGGAACACGCTGTCCTACTCGCCGATCCAGAGCATCCCAAACATCCCAGTATGCTGGCCATGCAAGAACTGGGATGTTTCAGCTTCCAGGAATTATGTACAGATCCTTGCAATATGGGGTTGTGCATTATCATGGTGTAACATGAGGTGATAGCACAACAATGGGCCTCAGGATCTCGTCACAATACCTCTGTGCATTCAAAATGCCATCAATAAAATACCCTAAACAGTGAAAACCGAGACTCATCTGTGAAAAGAACATCGCTCCAACGTGCCAAACGCCATCGAATGTGAGTGTTTGCACACTCAAGTCGGTTACAACGACGGACCGCAGTCAGGTCCAGACCCCGATGTGGATAACAAGCATGCAGATGAGCTTCTCTGAGAAGGTTTCTGACAGTTTGAGCAGAAATTCTCTGGTTAAGCAAACTGATTGTTGCTGCAGCTGTCCGGGTGGCTGGTCTCAGGTGATCCTGGAGGTGAACATGCTTGAAGTGAAGGTTCTGGGCTGGTGTGGTCACACGTGGCCTGCGGTTGTGAAGCTGGTTGGATGTACTGCCAAATTCTCTGAAATGCCTTTGGAGACGGCTTATGGTAGAGAAATGAACATTAATTTCATGGGTAACAGCTCTGGTAGACATTCCTGCAGTCAGCATGCCAATTGCACGCTCCCTCAAAGGTTACAACATCTGTGGTGTTGCACATTTCAGGGCGTCCTTTTATTGTGGGCAGTCTAATGCACACCTGTACATTATTCATGCTGTCTAATCAACCCCTTGATATGCCACACATGTAGCATGCCCTATAGGTTAAAAAAAATTGTAAGTCGCTTTGGGTAAAAGCGTCGGCTAAGCACATAAACAGCATAAACAGCATGGGAGCAAAAACAAAAGTGTTGCGTTTATATTTTTGTTCAGTGTATATGTGTGTGTGTGTGTGTGTGTGTGTGTGTGTGTGTGTGTGTGTGTGTGTGTGTGTGTGTGTGTGTGTGTGTGTATGTGTGTGTGTGTGTGTGTATACACACCACACACATTTACGCTTCTGAGATGATCACTATCACATGTCACAATTACACATCATCACATCTGAAATCGATTCACAGACGGTTGCTAATATCAGCTCAGTTTTATTAATCTGACCGATACCGATATGTTAAAAATGACTAACATTGGCCGATACCTTCACAAAGACAAATCAGGACAATAAATACAAATAGAATTAATTACAAAGTTTGCAAATTTATACACCCCTAAAATTACAGCCAAGATCCAAAAATAGAGCTTAATAGAGAATAAAATGTAAACATACTGAAAAGACAAGTTTAAATCCTAAAAATATTATGAATGAAAATATGTTTGTAGTTATTTGAGGACGGAGCATCCTTACCTTCCTCAGTAGTTTGTCATGACATCTCAGCAGCTCAAAGAAGAGCTCTAGGAGTTCAGTTGGGTCGATCAAATCTTTATTCCTCAGAAGAATCAGCGCTTTACAGAACGTCTGTCAACAACAGAGGAACCAATGACATCTGAAGCTCTGGTGTGGAACCAGTAGGACCAGTATGTCACAAACCCTCTCACCATTCGCAGATCTGGCTCCAGAACTGTGTGGCAACTCATCAACAACTCAGACAGCTCCCGAGGAAAGGCTGACAGCTGCTCCACGTAGCAGTGAGCGACCTGGAGAGCAGATTTTATTAATGCAGGTTATGTTCATACCATACACAGTCTGCTGCTCAGTATAAACACGCAAGCTCAGTTACCTGAGACAGAAACATGACGAGATCTGCCAGCTCCTTGTTGGGTTTGTCAGGCTGTAGTTTAAATATTTCCACATTGGACTGATAGTGGCGGTATTGCTGAAGAAACTGAATAGAAGAGACAGAGATCATACCCGCAAACTTGTCCACAGCTAACGAGTTTAGCTATGTTTGCTACCTACCTCCTCAACGTAAGACTGCGGATCCCTTTTAATCAGATTCTGGAGTTGCGGTAAATTGTTCGGTAGTTTGTTGTTTTGTCTTCCGGGCATGGTTGGATATTATTAAAGTGATGTGTAATAAAAAAAGAGGTGGAAAATGTTGTTTTAGAACGAAAGCGTGGCCAATGTGTAAGCTGCCATTAAAAAGACGATGAGAGTTACACGTCATATCTGGTCCCGTTCTGACTCATTTCCGCTTTGCGTGACCGTTCTCTTACTGGCGGGACTTTGTCTCGGTTTTTATTTTAAACAATTAGCTGTCCTCTGTTAAAAGCCAATTATAAAAATAAAGTGTCAAAAAAATAGCTAACAGAAGTTGCGCAGATTGTCGCGAGAAAGAGAAGGATCCGGATTTTTGCCCATTTACATACACTAATTATTTTGATTTACATTACATAAAGTGTTTCTACTAAGTAAATATTGCCACTTTATAAATATAGATTCATGTTCTCCTTCTACTCCCTCTTCCCCTCCATAATACAATTCCTAGATAAGGAAGCATGAGAAGAATCAAAGTGTAGTTACGGCTAGTCGCCACTGGAGGGCAATAATACCTCTTCTCACATGTTAAAAGCAGTTGGTTTAGTTTCTAGCGCTGTAACTGGCTGGCTTTATTAATTTGACTCCACACAACCATCCTGTTGAACCCTGTTTTATGAACGTTTTAACTGTGTTTTTAGTTAAATAATAAGAGAAAAAAGTCTATTACAGTGGGTTCCCTGTTGGTAACGTTTCAAAAGCCACAACCTTTTATTTTGGAAGGACTTCCAATACGTTTTTCTACTAAAAACTAACCATCGTAACTTTATAAAAGTAGATTTAAAGAACAAAAACATTGAATGTTTTTTTTTCTTTATCAACGTCTTTGTAATGAGGATGGAACCAGAGTGTTGTTCTAGATTGTTGCCCCCAGAAGACGCTAAATCTCCATCTTCCTTTCTTTTCCAAATGAGTCCATCCATCCAAAATTTGTAAGCATAACAGATACAAGTGTAGTTTCAGATCTTTATCTGTCTTTATCACTTTGAGTTCATTACACGCCATAATCTGAAGCTCACATCCCTCTATTCCGTCCAAAAGTACAAATATTTCACCTGCCGCTAATAACCCAACAAAAACACAAGATTCATCCGTTGTAGTGATGAAATCATGAGTTTTAGCACCACCTAGTGGAAGGTCTTTGTAAAGACACGTGTATGCTGCTGACTTCTGCACAAAGTTTTAGTTGTTTGCACGAATTTTGTCACTTGACTGAATTATTTATTGCATACTAATTAAACCTAATAGTACAACACAGGAGTTTAACTAGTTTCATGTTTATCATGTTTAAAAAGATTCCTTAAACTAATTAAACCGTATTCGTAACATTGGGCCGTGGAAATACGCAACTTCCAAAATACTGGAGTTAGAGCTGCACAATATATCGCAAATATATTGTCATCGCAATATC